CGTTTTCCCTGGTGTGATGTATCATGCTTTACTATCTGTCTGATGGACAAATCTGAGTTTGGTGGAAAGTTTGGCAGAGGAGGGATAATGGTCTGGGGCTTTTTTTCAGGGTTCCCGCTTGGCCACGTAATTGCAGTGAAGGGCTACAGACAATTTAGACAGTGATATGCTTCCAACATTGTGGCAACAGTTTGGGAAAGGCCCTTTCCTGTTCCAGCATTACTGTGCATCTGTGCACAAAGCAAGGCCCATAAAGACATGGTTTGATGAGTTTGGTGTGGAAGAACTCCAGTGGCTTGCAAACAGCCCTGATCTCAACCCCACTGAAGACCTTTGGGATGAGCTGGACGTTGATTGCAAGCCAGACCTTCTCATTCAATCAGTGCAAATGCTCTTTTGATCGAATGGACACAAATTCCAAAATCTTGACAAAACCTTCCCAGAAGAATGGGTGCTCGTATAGCTGCTAAGGGGGGGCCAATGGTTTTTGAATAGTGTGTTTATATAGGTGTGATGGTCAGGTGTCCACATACTTTTTGCCATGTAGTGCATGCAAGCAAATCATTTTTGTGAGAGTCAGCTTGGCCAGGCAATGATGCAAGAAACCAGGTTTGTGTATCTCAGGGTGCCTGCATTCATGTGCTTACATGAAATACACTATATTGCCAAAAGTATTCACTCACCCATCCATTCAGGTGTTCCAATCACTTCCATTGCCACAGGTGTATAAAACCAAGCACCTAGGCATGCAGACTGCTTCTACATTTGTGAAAGAATGGGTCGCTCTCAGAAGCTCAGTGAATTCCAGCATGGTAACGTGATAGGATGCCACCTGTGCAACAAGTCCAGTCGTGAAATTTGACGTCTGACATCACAAATGCACTTCTGGAAGAATGGTCAAAAATTTCCATAAACACACTCCTAAACCGTGTGGAAAGCCTTCCCAGAAGAGGTGAAGCTGTTACAGCTGCAAAGGGTGGGCCGACATCATATTAAACCCTATGGATTAAGAATGGGATGTCATTCAAGTTCATATGCGTGTGAAGGCAGACAAGTGAATAGTTTTGGCAATATGTTTCTGTCCTAAGGCAGAAAATGAAACCATTTCTTTCCAGCCTTTTTGCGTGTGAGGTTGCCTGTCAGTCTGACAGACAGAACAGAGCACATCATGCTGTAAATGCAGCATAAAAGAAGCAAAACAGCTTCAAACTGATTAGCACATAGTTTGGTTAGCAAGTATGCTAACTAGCACACTAGCTATCAGAGCTAAACTTGTAAAGTTACAGATCACATTCCTTTAAAATGTACTAAAGTTTCAGCTGGATTAGCTATAGCTCTTCATGTCTGTCCTTCAGATAGATTTTTTTCTACAATGAAAGGCTTTTTACTTGAAGCCATGTTGAAGCTGTTTTTAAGTCTGAGTTTACTTTTGTACAGTGCAATGACTGCAGCTAATAACAAGACTAAACTAAAATTCTCCCTAAAAACTCTTTCCAAAGGGTGGAGATTTCTCAAAAAAAAAAAGTCATAGATATGTCACTGACTCTGAGTACGAGTGATAGCCTGACCAAAGCGTTTCAGTACATTAGAAATGGAATCAGCAGCAGCTGTATGCCAGAGCTTTACTGAAAGAGTCACCATGAAACAGTGTAAAATATATGCTAATGTCCATGTTTAGTCTATAACAGCCAAAAAATGGTTCATAGGAATTGCCATTAGCTTAGTGCTAACATGCTTTGCATAGGAGCACTAGCTGAACTTAGCATCATATTCTAGAGGTTTTTCTCCCTGTTTTTGACCGAATTTTCACATTTCCTGCCTGAGGAGGCCAAGAGCTATTAGTCACGATTTGCCACTGGTGCATGCAGGCCATCCATGTCTACGAAGACCATGAAGAGGTGTTGTTCTGTGTTGTTCTGTGTCTAGACATGACACATGGATGCATCTTGAGACACAGAAAAGTGAGGAGCTCAAAGGATGCTGACCGCAACCAGAGTTAAGAGAAGAGAAGAGAAGAAGAGAGAGAGAAAAAAACATCTCAGAGTTCACGAATGGCAGATACAGAAGAGTGCTGTGTGCAGATAAAGAGCTGAAGCTGTTGTTGAGAGATGGTGTGTGAGATAGGGGCCTCCAGCGATGGGAGTGTGGTTTCAGGGGGTTTGTTCAGTGCGCTCTCATCCTGTATGATGAGGCCTCATGTTCTCTGGCACGATGCATCGAGACTAGGCCTCCACTGCACAACTTTCACCGTCTAACCAATAGAGTTCGGCCCCTCTGACAGCCGCACCAGCACTTGTAACCGCGAGACGGCAGAGGGAAAAGATGTGTCACTGAGTTTTTGAAAAGATGACAAAGCATGGTAGAACAAAGCTGGAGGAGTGTGCTTCCCCCCCCTTTTCCCTTCACCGTTCGCACATTCTTCTCGCCTTCTGAGCAGCTTTAACCACAGCAGCCGCCCACGGACGCACTCTAGAGCTCGAACCAGTCACCCCACACTTACACTCCACCCTCCACCCAGCACAAACTCGCTCCCCTTTAACCTCTTGCGCACTCTCTCTTTCCCCAGCCCCCACATGTGCCAAGTATTTCCAGCTTCTCTTACTCACTTGCAAGTTTCTTGAGACGTTCATTTGTGTTTCTAGTCAATTCTAAGCACGACAGTAATTGCAAGACCAGAGCAAGTCACCGGTAGGGGGGATGAAACTAGTGAATACCTACGACTGTTCTAGGCGTCAGTCAGCTCTGTTACTTGATGACTAAATTACATTTACATTACAAAGTCTCCGTCTAACACCTACCACGTGCTATTCTTCAGGTGAAGAGTACAGTTCATAGAAATGCTAGACGGAGGTTGATATCGAAAGGGCATTGATCTAAAGCCGTGATATGCAATCTTACATCAGGATGTACCAATGCGCAGGGACATCACCAGGCCTCTTACAGGGTGCTTGCTGCCTTGTCTGAAAGACCACAGAATTTATCACTGGATGTTTTGATGAGATGACCATGATCATGCCAGCTGTCACACAACTGCATACCAAAGATACTACTATGGTCAAGGCAGATTACCAACCATGATAGGCTTTGTTGTCAGTGCTTGTCATCTGGTGATAAAGTGACACAGCAGGAGACTTTTAGTCATTTTACAAGGGGAACTCTATATGCTGCATATTATAAAAGGTACGTATGTTTTTAGAAGAGATCCAATCCTAGGGACTTCCCAAACATCAAAAAGAGTTAACACAAAAGTGAGTAAATTTGACGCCGTGTTTAGGAGTTCAAGAATCTGCGTCCTATGTATGTTGATACAGGAAGTGTGCAGGTACACAACCAGGTAACCACAGCCTCTCCTCTCCACTCTCTGTAAAAGTCCTAATGCCTCATGTTTTAAGCAACCCTACAATTCAGTTGGCCACTGACTCATTCCACCACAGCCATGGACTTATGAGTCAGTATGAAAGCTGTTGTGTTCATTATGCAGTTTAAATGTAGTCTGTGTTGAGTATATTTGAGGTGCAGACCTGCCACATGATTTTACAGACCCTCGTATTATGTCTTATTCTTTGATAATATGAAGGTGTAATAGGTGTGACCAGTAGGATGCAGTACAAACCTGATAATAATAATAATAATAATAGTAAAAATAATAATAATAATGTGGCTTTAAGATCTTATATTGAGGTGGTATTATACAAAAGCCATCACTACATGTGAGGAAACATTTCATAATCAGTTTACCAAGTGTCAAATGATTGTTTCCCTTCTCACTGACTGCATTTCATTTGAAGATGATATAAGTGCACACTAAGGCCTATGGTAGATAGAATTCTGCATCCTGGCCTCATTCTGATGTAACCCCAATTACCAGAGGTGACAGGAAGTGGGCTGGACTCGCTTACCGCTTGTTTTTGTTTTTCAGATTGGAGGAGCGCTAAGGGGAGATAATTTTTTTTTTATTTCACTTTTGCTTTACCTTTCTGCACGTAAACTGCAAACAAAATGGAAGAATATACGGCAAAAAGACTACTTTGAATGTTGCAATTTGAATTTTAGCATTGTGTTACTTTAAGGTGGATTTAAAATGCATTGATTGATTGATGATTTGGATTTTCATCATTTTGAAAACTTCAAATGTCATCATTGTGTTTTCAGTTCACCTTAAAGCAACACAGTTGTATGCAAAAGTTTGGGCACCTCTGGTCAGTGAAAATAAGTACACATTCTCTGTACACACTTCTGCACACAATAACAGTGCATTATTGTGAAAAATGTAACATATTTGAAAAACATAATAATAATGTGGCCTGTGCAAAAGGTATGGCAAAAACTGAAATGTTGTATTTAGGTCTGTTCCCTCTAGCAGATGGGTTAACTTATTTGTACTTAGAAAATCAACAAAACAAGACATTCGTTTTATATATATATATATATATATATATAATGCTGCTGTATATGTATGTATATACATATATATACATATATTTCCAGGAAAAAAGCTGCATCATTGCCCCTATTCATACAAAGCAAAATTATCAATGTATGAATCTTGCATACAGTCTCTGTTTTTTGTATGTTTATTTAGGACTTCAAATCCGACCCCTTTTTATTAATGATCTTCATATAAATTTACTTTGAAGCGTCTGGTTGTCCAGTTTTCGGTTCAGTTTCATTTCCTTCACTGCTTGTCTTTCCCATGAGTATTCTTTGTTTCGCCTAAACCAGTCTGTCTGCTCTTCTACCTTGTCTGGCCTGTTTCTTCTCAGTTCGATGTTGACTGCTGACTTGTCTCAACAGGTTAAAAGCGCATTGTGTGTGCAGTGTTTTTAAATCTAAACCTTCTTTTTTATTTTCCATCAGTGAAAAATATTATATAATGATATATTCATTCTCTCTCTGTCTCTCTCTGCTTCTCCCCCCCCCCTCTCTCTCTCTCTCTCTCTCTCACCCTCTCTCTCTCTCTCCCTTTCTGTTGCGCGCGCTCTCTCTCTCTCTTCCTCCGCACCATGTATAAATACTGAAAGTTCAGCGTAGGTACTTACTCCCTTTTTGCCTGTGACTCCATGTTGTGAACACAGTGCAATGCTGCCGTGGATTTTTTCTAAGTTGGACCAGTGAATATTACAAGCTGACAAATGGCATCCTGCGTTTTATGGATATTCATAACACTGTGTCCCTTTCTTTCTCATTCTGAAAGTGGAGATGATGGTAAGAGATCTTATTTCATTCAGTTGAAATGTTTTAGGTGTAAAAAGTTCAGAGTACGTAGTAAAGTGCATGTCCCACACGTTTGTAAAAGTGAGCCCAAGGTTCTAAGACCAATGCTCTATTTTCTCATCTCATTCCTGATGGATTAGTGCAGCCTTGTAGGCTTTTTGTATTCTTGATGGCTTTATTAAATACTTGTGTTGTTATAATTGATGTATTAATTTTTATTTGTATGTGTTTTATATGTTGTAGAAAGTTTTATCATGCTGTGTGAAAGGAAACTATATCAAGGAACTTAGTTTGTTAGTTTGTAGAGACACGGGAGAAGGAAAACGTCTTGTGAAAAAGATATCAGGACTTTCTGTTGAGTCTGTATGATCTCCTAACAGCTTCACCTGATGCAGAGCCCAGTGTTTTCTGCTCGTCCATGATCTCCTTGGAAATTAATAGCCTCATCTGTGGCCTGGTTGATGACGCTGCTGAAATTGAATATGCAACACTTTGGTACACCCTTTCTGTTATAAACCAGAGAGAAATGATCAATAATGAATTTATCTAAATGTACCCTGTTGCTAAAAGTCAGACTGAAGATAAGCGTTTTTTTCTCAGTAAAACAGGTCAAACTTCATGTATCAATGGCACGCTGGTGAACGACACCATAACTTTTCAGGAACTGGATATTTTACAAAAATATGAACTGCAGACCCACTTCAAAGATGGAGCAAAAGAAAATCAAAATATTTACTTGGTGAAAATAGGTATGTGGTTATTATCCTTCAATTAGAAATCAAATTGTCATTAATGAGTGTTTTCCATACTGTGTAGTTTTATTTTGCATTTCCTACAAAGCTGTTATCTTCACCTCTGTCATTGCAGTTAAAATCCCAATTCCTGTGGTAGACAATGCTACGTACAACTCTGATGAGGCGATTATATCCATTAGATACAAGCATGACTACGTAGACAAGCCTGACTTCCAATTAGACATCTGGGGAACAAGACGCACAGATGAGATGGTAGAGACTTTATTATGCATTTCTTTATATTGGCTCTATAATTGCACAGAAAATACGAATAGCATTAGCATTCTGATACCATAGAGCTGTTTGCCTTTTTAACAGACAATAACCGTAAATTACCAGCAAGTGACCATAGGTGGAGACAAGCTGAGAAACAGTAACACCTACTATGTACGTGTTAGAGCCAAACCTGTGGATTATTTTGACGGCAGTTGGACCGCCTGGAGCCCGGTGAAAAGTTTCAGCCGTACTGCAGGTGAGAGTTTCCTCTGAGTTCCTTCACATCATCTTGTGTGGGCTGAGGGGAACATATTGCAATCAGTTGCTTTGAGGGTTATTATTTATAAATTGCTCATTGCAGAGACCATCTTTCATACAGCCGAAGACCCTTCAATGGTCACATATGTCATTCTTTGCACATCTCTCATTCTGGTGTTTGGCATTGTGTTGATGGTCCTGCGATGGAAGAAAGAGTGAGTCTGTGTTCTCCTCTAAAATTGAAAATAATAATTACCACCAAACTTTGGTCAACACAATTTTTAACATGCATTTTGTTTCCTCTAGGATTCAAGCCTACATTTCTCCAAACATCCCAAATCCGAAGGCCACCCTTGCCCAAATACACAGAGAAAAGGAGGTAATTCACTTTGGACTTTACCTGCAACTGCATCTACTTGTCTGTAGCTAGAAACCCAGAAGTACAAGAAGCTTAAAAAAAATAAAAATAAAACCACTTTTGTTGCAGCGCCCACCTGTCAGTTTCAGCCCAGAAATCTTCAACGACGTCAGTATCAACCGGGTGGATTACGCTGAAGAGAAGCAACTCGCTCCTGAGGTTGACGAAGATCAAGAAGACACCACAGGAACTTGCTGGAGTGAAGCTGAGGGTTCGAGATGTTCTCGGTCTCCGTCGCTGTGTGATAAACAAGATGGAGATGAAAGAAAGCTTGAGGAGATGTCCCACCTGAAGATTAAGTTGCTGGATCAGCCCAAGGAAGGAGAGAATGAGGGTGGCTGCCAGAGTCTGGCAACTCTCCAAAGAGATTGTAAGGATGAGACTTATGTTACCATGTCCAGCCTCTATAAAACACAGTAAGGCCGGAGCCACAAATGTTGCACAACAGTTAAATCTCACTATAATGGCTGCTCATTTTATTCTTTCTTTATGGAGGACTGCCAGATTTGGTGGATGAAAAGCAGTAAGTGACCAGACTCAAGCAAGTGTGTTGATGGAACTTAAAAGAGCTTGCTTGCATGACACCCACATTACCTACAGGCCTACACCCTGCAGAAAGATGGTAACAGTGCTTGGGCAACTGTGACAGGGACAAACAATCCAGTATCATTCGCTGCTAAGAATTATCTCTGAATGTTTCGACGACTTGGGCTTGAACTTCAAATGATTGTTTTAACAGTGCTACTCTGTTTGGCTTTGCAAAAAGGTGGCACCATTTCCTTAGCCATCAGTCAGGCTTTCTGACCCACAAGCAACACGTTTAATCACATTACAGGCAAATTTGTGGCCATTTTGTGAGCTTTCATGCAGGGTGACAAACCACACGTTTGCAAAGAGGGCATTCTGACCGTGTACTCAAATGTAGCAATCAATTTTCACAGTCACAAAATAGCACACAATGATTGCAATTAGCATTTTTCTCATTCCTTCCACCAACACGTGTAATCTGCCAAGGCTGCTGTGAATGTGTGCACTTCGAAAGGCATCACTGCCAACAGCATACAGTAATACAATAACTGCTGCTAGACTTCATTTACCCATTGCTTATAGAGGTACAATGAGCTGACACGACAGCAACATACAGCATTTTCTCATTTGTTACTTGTGTTTAGTTCAGTAAATAAGAAGGTAATGTATTCTCATAGAACTTTTTCGCAGCATTAGCATATTTTCTCATTGTCAAGTAATTGTTTTACATTTTGTTGTATATTTAAATTTGTGTAAGGCTTTTTTTTAGACATTACTGCAAAAGGATTTACTTTAAATGGCATGGTAGTTATGATTTTTAAATATATACTCAATTATGTTAACCAGTGCTTCATTTAGCATCACCTTTAATTCAGTTTCTTGCTATGATCACTCATACAAAAGAGTCATTTTATTATCACATAGCATTTACATGTTTGTACAAGACATTTAATGAATGATTTGTAGGACTAGAATAATAGATTTTGCACATCAGAACCAAGTATATCAAAACAATTCTACTAACTTAATCTTTATGACCATTGTGATGATTTAAAGGGCCCATATATTTTTCTCTAATTTAATTTTTTCCTCCTGAAGGCCAATTATGATGTTTGTTATTTTATGCACCAAAAACAGCCCCAAATCATTTTTACATTTTTAACCAACCTCTCTTTATTTCTTAGAATTAAACAGGCTGTCAACATAAATGGGCAGGGCTTGACTGCTGTTCACTGAATAGACGCATGAATGCAAATGAACTGGGTTTTGTGACATCACAAAAACAAGGAATTCAAAATGGGCTGTTTTTCCAGATTTCCAAATAAGGGCTGTTTAGACTGGGGTGTGAGTGGTACTTTAACAGTATTTATATACTTCATCAAACGCTTTTACTTCAAAAAAGGAAGGGAAATTTGTTTTTCAGTGATATGGGCCCTTTAAGATGATTTTCTCATTACTAAGACAAGGTCAAACATATTTATCCATATCTGTACACGTATTATCCATGGTATAGATTGTTAATATGTTTACTATGCACAATGAAAGATTAAAAAAAGTTACAAAATGGTGGCATATTTGTTTTCAGACATCACTGAAACATACAGGTCACCTATGTGGGGTCAGCATGTAAAACAGTGCTTACTAATGCAGCACTGCACCCAACAGCTGTGCCATATTCTGTTATCTTTATTGTCCCAGAGGCTGCAATTATCTGCATTGTGTTTGGAAGAAAAGGACACTCAGCAGAACTGCACACTGCAGCTAGCTGGGTGCAGGATTTATATGTACAGGAGTAGCATGTGCTCCTTGACCAGTGCTGTTTTATAGCTTGAGAATTTGGGAATTGGCATATTAATGAGGAAATCAAGAGGACAATATGGGAAAATGTTCAAACGTTTATGTAAAGCTGAACAATTTTCATGATTGACAAATATTATTCCATATAATTAGTATTTTAAAATAAATAGTGAGTAAAAAATGAAGAAATTAACAGAATGAGACGCTCATAGTTTCCATGCCGTTTTCATCATGAGAATAAAATACACATCACTCTCGATGGAAGCACTGACTCCACTGTAGTAGTTGATAAATTCTTCTTTTGTGACCTACAGACAGGAGAGTAGATGAGATTATTACCACAAAATATGTGAAGGTTTCTATTATCATTATAAACATCAAATGGGGAAGTGGAAGGGTGAAACAGAAAGGATGGAACTCCCCAAGGCCAGAGAGAAAGAGAAGTTGTATCTACGAGCATTTGCTGTGGCTGTAATTTGCTCTGGCTGTAATTTGCTAAATTTGTATTTCTCATTTCAGGATCCAAGCAGGTGCAAAAGACACCTTTCCTATAGTCGAACAGAGATATAGTGTTACTCTAGCATGCTCACCACATCACCTGCTACTCGTAGATAACAGAGATGATTTTGGAGCAGACTAACACTAATACTATTGTTTGCCTGCAGTGAGAAATACTGTGATGTGTTAGGAATTTGCTATTTATTGATTGATTGATTTTCAAAAGGGAAAGAAACAGGACAGTAGATCCAAAGCCGTTGAGGTCTGTGATTTCAGAACTCGCACAGTTATACTACTTAACTATTTTAGAATGTATTTCAGTCATTGCTAAAATAATTTTAACCTTCATAAAACCATTTTGAACACACAACTAGGACCCAAAATCCCCCATTAAAAAACAAACCTTTAAAGACCTAATGGTTCTAATTCGGTTTATAATGCTGCTCTTAGTGCTTGAGCAACAAGTGACTAGTAGCTCAGATTAAAGGCTACATTATTAACCAAAATGTTCACAAGGTCTTACCAAATCTTCAGTTTTAAATGTTACCATGCCAGACTGTTTACAAATAACACTGTGTTGCCTAGGTGCCACTATAACACTGCTAATACGCCACCTCATAATTCGACGAGCATAAAACAGCAACACTTAAAGGGGAATTCCACTGACTGCTTTTTTTTGCAAAATTTCTGCATGATCATGTAGTTAAGATATAAACAAAGTTATTCAGAGTGGTCTGACATGAAATGCTCCTTTCTAGAGATAGGTCAGAATTGTTCACAGTGGTGGTGATACAGGAACCAGACATCTGAAGCGTTTAATAACTCTAAAAGCTCCCTCACAGAAAGTTAGTACATGAGTTAGCTACAACGACACCGCGTGTTGCCTGTCCCTTTGTGTCCCCACAATGTTTTGAGATCATGTTCGGCCTAATATATTCATATATGTAAGGCAAAATAGTATCCAAAGTGCCTTTTTTCAGATTTACCACTTTTTTATGATTACCTACATTACATATAAAAGCTTGTTTTGGATAGTAAATAAAGTAGGTAAATAAAATAGCAATGCCTGTTTTTTTTCACCACCACTGTAAAAAAATCTAAAGCTTTAAATTTCTCTATAATGAATCATTTCACATCACACTACTCCGAATAGCTCAACGATTGAACTCTGCAGAAATTTTGAAAAAATCAATGGTATTGCCCTTAAGTAATTGTAACATTGTAGTAAAACCACCCCTGTTGATTGAATGAGGGTTAAAACTCCCATAGATCTGAATGTAACTGTCATTGTTGCCAACTGATTCAATCAAAACTATTTCCAGCCTGTTATTGAAAACAGAAAATTGGAAATTTCCAAAACAGTGCCAAGGTCTCTTCTGACTTCTCGCTGAATTCCTCAGTGCAGACAGCACAGTATAGCAAAAAGGCTCCCTGTACATAAGTTCTATACATTGTAGTGCTTGGAGTCTTTTAGCACTGCTGTTTTATAGCTGCTGCTGTTAACAGGACCACAAGCTATGATGTCAGGTGCACTGATTCCTGACTGGGAAAAGAGGATCAGTGCTGTATCTGAAGCAGCTGAAGTTACTTTTGTGCAGAATGAATGGTGTAATGTTGATTCGAGACCAATTTTATGCTACAGAGAAACTGATTTGATGGAATCAGGGCAGGTCCTTTAGGAATTTGATGTCCATTTGCTGATTCGTTTGAAGACCATTTAGAACCCGTCAGATTACAGAGGATGAAGTAGCTCCATCCAAGCTCTTTACCCTGAGACAAACGTTTGAAGATATTAGTTAAAGTTTCCAGGCATTCTTCATCATTACTATAAAGTAGACATCTGTGTCAATGGAGGCACTCACACCAGCGTAGTAATTCAAAAACTCTTCTTTTGTGACCTGATGCATAAAACAGATTAACAATACTCTTCACACAACTGTTTGTTCCATTTAATATTCCACATAGTAAAAAAGAGTAGAGAGATAAAAAGAACTCAGTAACAGCATAAAGTTGTCTATACATAATTTCCCTCCACACTGAATCAAGAGCGAAACACACACACATTGCTTTTTCCTGCCAGCCCACACTGATGAAACACATGATATGCATTACATACACAAGCTACTGCTCTGTACTTTTTGCATACCTTTCCGTCCTTGTCATCAGGAGAGTCAAAGCTGTCCAAAAATTTGCGGAATATCTGATCCTCAGTCCATTCCCCGTTCTGATATTTGGGGTGATTTTTGACATTGTACACTCCTCTCAGATCTTCAACTGTGATTACACCATCGCCAGTCTTATCCAGCTTTCTAAAAGCCTGTAATATCACCTCCTTCCTCGCATTGGACATGGGTGGCTGCAATTACAAGCATTTAAATGAGCATTTCCTCAAGAAGAACCAAAAATACAGAAGCCTCAAACCTTGTGACTAATACTTTTACCCTGAGTGTGAGGAGAAACTCATCAAAGTCAATCTGTCCACTGCCATCCTTGTCAAAGATCTGAAAAAGAGCCATGGCCTCTTCTTTCTCCATGAGAACACCATAGTCATTCAGGCCCTTCAAGAACTCTTTTATGTCCAGGCTACGGTTGTTGTCATCGTCCATGATCCTGAAAGCTCTATCAAACAGTTTAAATGGCAGCCAGACAAAATGGTTGTTTATTAACCATTTTAAAATCAGCGCAAGATGTGTAAAGACATGCTCTAAAGAAGAACATCTTTAAAAACACTTGCTAAAGCCTGAGTGGACTGAATGAAGTTACATACATTCTATCAACTGAAAATCATACAGCAACCCTCCTTTATAGTCAAACTGGGAGGTTTTTGTTATTGGGATATGGTAAATAAGTGACTTATCAATATGTATTCTAAATGTATTCTAAATACTTTACTTTTTATGTATTGTAATAGAATATGTTACAGAATACATTTAGGACAGTGTACTCAGTATTCAGCCATCACCACTTTTTCAATGTATTTTGCCCAACTCTGTTCCTGAAGCATGAAAACACTACTGATAATGTCTCAAAGTCAGTCCAGGAACCCTGTGATCTGCACATTTTTGTGTTTTTCCTATTCTACCACACCTGATCCAGCACATGAGGAGCTTGTTCATAAGTTCATGAGCTGAATCAGCTGTGCTAGCTGAAGGAAAGCACACAAGCCCGCAGGGTGACTCCCCAGGACTGGGGTTTCCAACACAGCTTGAAGCTAGCGGTCCAACCCCTGAGAAAACGCGGTAGGGCTGTTGTGTTAGAAAACCTATCCAGGCTGATAAAAGGCGGTATGGAGGGCTTTACCTGCCCAGACCCTTAATCCCCGCGGATCCTCGGGCTAAACACTGCAGCCGCAGCCGCTCCACAGGGTCTGAAGTCTCCGCAAGCTGCTTTTTGGCATTTATCGCCATCTCCCGGTCGTGCCGCGACGTCGCTGCCATTATAACCCCGTGTCTGAAAAGCAGATTTATAGTAATGAACACACAAACACAGTCCGAGAGACAAGCACATGTGGGCAAACACAGTATCCTGAAGTGCAGTTTACTCCAATGAAATAAGTATCGTTTCAATAAAGCAGCTTGAGTAGACGTACCAATGTTAGTTCTTTGCATGTTTAAATAGTTCTTCTCCATGATGGAGAACCTGCTGTACATTGTTCTTTTAAAAAAATTTGAGAAATACTTCTGTATAGCACCAAAAAAGATTCCACTATTCTTACAAGTCATATGAGCCTGTCTGTTACAATAGAGAAACACTTTGCTAAGACTGTAGCCTCTATTTTATCCATTTAACGCATTTTTTGGGCTGAAACTCAATCTGTTTCCTACTGCCTATATAGTTAGCTAGTGCACTGCTTAGGTCATGAAATTATTTGCTTCTACACCCAAATAGTGCATAATAAGTGTTAATAGTGCTAGACAACGAGTTGTGCGGCTTTGGCTAAACATAAATGGATTTCTCTTAGACATACAATACACTATTTGGGTGTAGAAGCCATTATTTCGTTGTTTCATGGCCAACTTAGGTTAGTGCACTACAGAGGGAGCATGGAGCTATTTGAGATTGAGCCTTGGTCTGAAAATCATAAACCTTCAATGTCAGAGGTGTGACCAATCGCAAAGCTTTACAGATGCTGCCACCAACGTAGCTAACAGAACAAAATTAACATAAAAAACGGTTAACAGTTAGCAACTGAATGACTAAGTATTTCCTCACAAGTAACGTTACATGTAACTGAATAAATGTAGCTAGCTAACTAACATTTTTAAGTAAAAATATATATATATATATATATATATATATATATATATATATATATATATATATATATATATGTATATATATATATATATAGCTTGCTATAAAACACAGCTTTTCCTGATAGCTCATGAAACACATAGGTTAACCTAAATAACGTTAGCTAATTTATTCATCACGGATTACCACTGTGCACCCTATCAGCACTATCAGGAAAAGCTGGCCGTACTAACCGACTATGTACTAAGTTGGCTGGATAAAACACAGCGGATGCAATAGTTATGATGTATAAACATTATCGAAAAGTAATGCGTTTATATATATTAATAAACTAAAAAGAGATGACGGTTTGGGTGTTGGCTAACATTACCTGTCTGAACGGTCCTCGGCCTTCTTCACAGCGTTCCACTGTAGCCATGGAGACGAAACTCTCACTTTGTTTGGGCTGTACCATTTATTTTACGCGGGGGCGTCTAGTAGTGAACTGGAATACTCCACTTTAGTTTTACAGGTAAGAGAGGTGACTATTAAACTGAAACAAACTCTCCATTCCAGCCTCTGCATCAGATTCATTTGGATCAAATGTAGAGGGAGAAGAACATTTGCCAAAATATTGCATCACTGTTTTTCACTGTAGTATTGTATGTAATATGTACTGCATATTCAACCATGCACTACTGTATAAAAGGTTGTATCCAGCGGTTTCAGTAATGTAAAACAATTTTTGCCGCAAAAATGTGTAAAATGATTTTAGTATGCCAGTCCTCTGCAACTTCACAGGTTTAAAATAATTAGTAGGAAGCTACAAAGCTGTAAAAGAAAGGCATGTTAGATGTATCTCAAATAATGAACAGAGCTGTAGATGTAGATTCTGAAATGACTCAAAAACTGTACAGCATCAAGGTCCAGAAATATAAAAATATCCAGCATGCCTTGTTTTTCAAAAGTGATGATCAATCCTCAAGGCAGGTTAGAATTACAGTATATGATTTATCATTTAATAAATTCTTGTTAATCCCCAAATACTAGAATTATTGAATAAAACATGTAAAAATACCTTTTGATGTCTAATTTATAATATTTAAATCTACAAATCTATGATTGTTATTAATGTATAAAAAATCACTAAACTATACAAATACACACAAATAAATAAATAAATAAATAACAACAGTTGTGAAGTTTATTCCATCTTTTATTGACACTTTTAACATTACAGATTATATTAAGTATTTTAAGAGTGGATCACTATTTAAAAACACTGAGGACCAACACCAGGTAACAAATTGAAACAATCCAGCATCAATAGTATGTGTGTGGTTGTGTGGTTTTCATTAATGTTTCACACTAAATCAACTGTTGACATTGTCATAGTCATATCCATCATGTAAGAAACCAGTATAGTATTTTCATAATTATACAGTGAACTGGACATTTTGAGAGTTAAGGAATGAAATGAGAGAAATCCGTCGTACGTCTGAACAAAGTGAGAGTGCAGTACACTTCAGCGTTAAGATTTTCTATTAAATTTGACATAGAGTTTTCTCAGCGAACACATTTACATGGGTTTAAAAATTGCCCAGGACCATGTCTGAAAGCATTCAGGCAGATGCAGCAGAGAAGGCATACAAAAATGTACATCAAATGTGATTGAGGAGCTGAGGTATTTACATGTGCAGGGCATTCTGAGAGTACAGTTGATGTCATGCACCTGGGAATCATAGTAAGTGTCTTTAAAGCCTACGCCATAAAAAAATGCTGCTGATTACTACGTGAATGTTAATTTGCCATTTTGACAAAGAGTGAGTACATCAAGAATGAAATCTGCATCACAAGTTCCAAGTTTGACACTTTAATTTGTGCTACAAACTCTCAATTAATCAGCATTTTTTTCAACTTGGCAAAAAACGTCTCATCACCATCTTCTTCCTCATTTAAGCGAACAACTATGACCTTTGTTAGTCTCTAACAGTAACACTCCTTTATGTACCATGTCATAAATATTTTTCACACAGACAGTCTTTTGCATTGGTGAATGGCAGTGCAACGGAAAAACGCCACGTGACATTATTCCTTCTTTGTGATGTGACACTTAGCAAGTAACACACAAGGTCACTTATCACTGTCCTAACAGCAGCATACAAAAAAACCCAAACAGTTGAGATACAGTATGTATTTAAATCAACTTCACCCATAAAACAATGTGACAAACGCTGACATAAAAAATAACAACTTCCTTCATTTGCTAAATAATTTGATGTTTACTTGTGGCTGATGATATCCGCACTGGAGTGCAACAGTATGTGATTAGTTCTCATTTTAAACTCTGCACCTGGCAAAGATAATTTTGGAGATGAACACTACCCACAACCCTTTTTCACCAGACCAACTGTCTGCACAGTCCCACAAAAATATACAAACATAAAAGTTCACATAGCCTAGATGTGGAATGAGAATAAATATTAGATTAGTTCATGTGCATACATATGTACATCTGTACACCTGTGCTGAGCTTTTATATGGATGGAATATTAAAACAAACCTGACCTGTTGCAGCATTTTACTTTCTTAAAGATGCATTTCCTTCAGACCAAACTTTTACATGAATGTCCTCTGTCACCCTCTGTCTCATCAAGACACTGTGCAATACTGTTCCAGTCAAAACTGGCATTTAGTACAAGTTATTCAGTTGTCATTATAAAGAAAACGTATAAAACATATGTAATGGGCCTCAACAGCTAAATATAAATATAATCACATTTTCCAGCTTTTGGTGTCCACTGTTTGCTTTTATTACAGCGTTCAGTTTTTTAAAGAAATCTGCAGGGGTATTTTTCCACAGATTTAAAGTTCAGTCATAGAAGTTGGTTATATTTTCTGCTTCTCACAATCCAAGCAATCCAGAACACAATTAATGATGTTGAAATTTGAACTCTGGGTGGTCAGTCCATTGCTCTGACAACATCAGCAACTTTTTTGCATTTTTTTTTCTTTTTGTCTATTTTCTTTTATCGGTATTGGCTTCTTGAAAGCTACACCTCCTTTCAGACCCTTTGATAAAAGATGAAAGCTTAACCTACTGTTTTGATGGTCTGTATGGTTGTTAGTAGCCCATATTTTAATAATTGTTTGAACACCAGTTTTGAAAACACCTGCTTTTCCACTTATTTTCCTTTGACTTTCCCCTTCCTTACGTAAGTGGATTATGTTATATCTAATCTCCACGAATAACTTGCACTTAATGGCCATTTGGACTGGAAATTAATTAAATGAAGGGTGGTCTCTGATTTTGCACTGTACTGCATTAGTTTATAAAATATTTAAATTGAATTAAAACCAGCTTTGCCCGAGGATAAAATTATAAATAATGTTCTTAACTGGTCAACACACTGCAGTAGACATCAATAGTCCAGAAAGCACACCATCGAGATAGAGTTGTTTGAGTTTACTGTAGATATTTAACTATTCAATGAGCCTTATCTGGCATGACTTAATGCTCTGACCATTTAGGTTTATACAGTAACTAACATTCCTTCAATACCTGAAAAGGAGCTACTCTGAAGGCAAAGGAGAAAAAGTCTCATTTTCCACATGTAACAAACTGACTACCTGGCACTTGAGAGTTGGTGTGTGTGTGAGTGTGCGTATGTGTGCATGTTCCGTACAATACGATTAGGTACATACGTTTCAATCAGGGATGCGCAATGAAATACCCCCTTCCTTTAGTGCCTGTTCTGTAGGTACAGTAACATTCTACATTCAAGAGTGACAGAAGCACCATGTTCATCTGAAATCACTCCTCAGACCGAGCAAATAAATACATCACCATCATCTCTTTTACTTCTCTTCTCCTGGAATGCCTTTCACACATCATCAAAGATTCTGCTCTGGGAGGAGGACATAGACAGATATCTCCCTCCAGTATGTCTGTAGCAGAGAGGAAGATAGTTAGTGCATGCAGAGAAATCATAAAAGCTGGGTTCTCTTCTGGTGATTACACATCTGTACCAAGTATAAGTTTTGCTCATTTGCACTGCGAGGATATATGTTCATTTCAGTACACATGGTAACACTTTACTGCAGTCCAGAGCTTTTTGGGGTGTAGTGTCAGGCTTTGCAGCTCAGTGTATGTCACAGTGACATAACATACACTACATGGACAAAAGTATGTGGACATGCGACCATCACACCTACTAATGTACTGGCGTGCATTACACCACCAAAGCATGTCATTGCGCATAGTGATTTTAGGCTTATGTGCAGCTGTGTGGCCATGGAAACCCATTTCATAAAGCTCCCGACACACAGTTCTTACGCTGACTGCATAGTGTACTGCCGCTGTTGCTTCTAGATGCTTCCATTTCATAATTAATACCACTTACAGTTGATTGTAATGTCATTTCACCTAAGAAAACAGAACCCAATGCCAGAAAAGAGATATGTCACTTGACAACAAAGTTCACGAAAGCAGCTTTTATGATAGATGACACCTATTGGAACAAGCTTTTATTAATGTTTATGGAGGTTTAAGTCATGACAAGCTTATGTAGATGTAATGTAGCCTTATGAACACTGCCCTACAGTAAAGTGTAACCGAACACATCTACATGTTGCAGCACATCAAGCTCAAGCTAAAACCACAACAACATCATTGTTCTTGTGCTTATGTTCCAGAACAGGGAAGTTTACATTGGTGGTGGAAAATAAATCAATAGTTAATCTTTATTTTGGCTTGAGCAATACTGAAGGCTTGAATATATAAATAGAACCTCTAACCAATCTAACCTGTTTTTTTTATTTACTCTCGTACTGCAAGCATCTTGACCCATCACAGTTCCAGATAGATGTTTTTGTGGGTGTTTTGATGACTCATCCACGTAATCCACACACACACACACACACACACACACATTTTCTAAACCACGTATCCTTCTGGGTCGCAGGGGGAGTGCTGGAGCCTATCCCAGCGGTCATTGGGCGGAAGGCAGGATACACCCTGGACAGGTTGCCAGTCTGTCGCAGGGCAGACAGACAGACATATACATTCACACACACTCACACCTAGGGGCAATTTAGCATGTTCAATTGGCCTGACTGCATGTCTTTGGACTGTGGGAGGAAACCGGGGCACCCAGAGGAAACCCACGCAGACACAGGGAGAACATGCAAACTCCACACAGAAAGGACCCAAGGCCCATCTTGCTGTGAGGCGAAAGCGTTACCCACTACGTCCTTCCAGTCTTTAACCATGTCACAGTATGTGTTTTTAATATTCTATCGTAATCGCAATATGAAGCAATTTAGTTTCAGTACTAAAGTTTTGTCGATATTGCGCAACACTAGTTGTTACAACAAGTAAAAAATACACTTTAAGCATAGCTACCATGGCCGAATAGCTATAAAATTAATTAATAGGCTGATAATAATTGATTATCAATCTCACCTATTAGTATTTGATTCCAGTGGGTCTTCGGTTAGTGCTTCTGCATTGAAGTCCAAAGGCTCAGCATCTTGTAGGAGCTCAATGCAGTCCCTCCCTGAGCGACTGCCACTGCGAGAGTATTTGGCTTCTATGGAAGAGCAAAAAGGATAAGGTGTACCAATACTAAAAGCTTCCATACTAGAACAAACAGAAGTGAAAAAAATGGTATAGGCATAAAACGCACGTCTGTTTGTGTTCGAGCTGAGTGTTTCAGCGTAATTGGTTTCCTTCATCTCCGAGATGGAGGCCCTGTTTCTGGCTGCTGCCTCGTCTCTCTGCCCATAGCGCTCTCTCCATTCCTGTCACAGAGCAACAGCAGAGATTTTACCACTCCTGTCTGACACATTTCCATAAATAATATATATATGAGGGCCACTGAAGGCTAATCGCCTGAAACAAACCTTTGCATTCTTTTTTATTGTTACTAAACACAAATACTTAAGATATATGTTTACAACATATTTAACTATCATGCTGTTAAAACATGACATACAAGTGGCATCAGAGTTAACACTTTAATGTGGTAACATGACAAATGATTAACACTGCTTTCTTTTTTTTTAACCAAGCGTAATTCCAGCCTGACGTCTAGCTGCTCACACACTGTTTCTATGGCTCCACAACTGTTCTCTCTTTGAATACAGCTTTTTAAATGGTAAGAAGTTCCACTGGTGGCTTTCCATATCCAGCAAATGCAGTTAAAAATTCTTGTAATGTAATGTAATATTGGGTATGATTTCAATTTATTTCAATGAATGGCTCCAATCAATATTAACTCTGGTTACTGAACTGGGGTCAACTCACACAAACAAGCAATCACCAGAACAGGGAAGTTTATAAATGTGTCTTAAGTGAGTAAGGCTGTTTGCAGTGGTTCTCAGTTCCAGTCTTGTGAGCCCAAACAATGCACAGTGTTTTGTTTTCCCTGCTGTAACATGAGAACGTGGATCTGAGATCTTCATTCTTTCCTAAAAACAGGAACGCCTGGGACCCCAACACCGATTAATCTAATTTGATCTGTTTTATTTTTCAACCTAGGTATATTAAATGCTGTGAGAAAAACAGTAATATAAATACCCCGCAGTGATAAATATTAGATATGGGAACTCACTCTTCTTCTGTTCTCCCCATCCTCTATTCTCTGTCGTTTTCTTCTCTCTGCAGCCAAAACAATAAGCAGAAAAAGGATTAGAGACTTGGAGCAGGATTAGAGACTTCTGTATGACATGTAGATGTTAATGTACTTCTATATGTATACAGATGAATATCCCCAACCCCCAGAAAGACTCACCTCTGCGAAGTAACTCCCTGCCCTCATCGATTAGGTCAGAGGTCATTTCATTATCTCCCATAAACTGCTGGAAGCCCAGGAGGTTCAGACAGCGGGTGCCAAGGCTGCCCAGAAGTCAGGCATATGTAAAAGTTATAAATAGAAAATAGAGCACAGGGCTGTAATACATGTAGACATTGCTGCAATACTTTGTATATTAGATTAATTAATTATCATCACATAACACATTTTCTATTTACACAATAATAATGTTATTTATAATGTTTGATTTCATTAGAATACTATTATATTTTGTTGTCATCTATTTTTACAAACCTGAAGTATGTGGCAATGCAAAGAATGACTATCAGCATAGGATAGTAGATGTAGAAGCCATTGGCAATAAAAGAGAGAACTCGCATGGAACCCATGATCTAAAACAGAAAGTAAGAGTGTAGTACAATATTCATGTGATTAAAATTAAATGTGGTCATTTGAAAAATGCATGATTTGAAGTATCTTCAATTCTACTTATTTTCTAAAGCAGTGGTTCCCAGTCCTGGTTCCAGAGCACCTCTGTGTTGCACAATTTAGTGTTTTCCCTGCCCTAACACATCTATTTCAACTCAGGAACAGCTTCATAAATCGCTGATTAGCTGGATAAGGTATGTCAGAGCAGAGAAAATGGTCAGTACTCACTGAAGTGTACGCAGTCTGCTCCTTAGCCTGGTGAGAGATAGCAGAGTCCATGTGGATCAATCCCAGAAAGTTCAGACAGAGGGGAGGAGTCAAGCGGCAGAAAAGCCTGAAGAACAAGAGTGGATATTTAGACAACATTAATGCAATTATAGCATCACAGCAGACCAAGCACAGGATCACTGAAGAATAAAAGGAAGCTTTTTCAGGGAAGTTCTCTCTTTTATCCAGATGACATACATGCCACTGAACTGAAGGCTGTAGGCATCAGTTTGGTGGTGAGAGGCCAGGTAGTAGTAGTTGAAAACACGAATGCGAAACACAGTGGAGTACACACAAGTGCACAGGAAGAAGATTGTGATGAAGCACGCCATCTAGAAGATAAAATGAAACAAGGAGGAAATGAAAGTAACACCATACTCTGGGATTCCCCGATCATGACTTAAGCATATTTGAGAAGTAAATTCAGTATTAATAGGAATTTTTCAATTAATTACAGTTAATTTTAGTTCTGTGGCTTAGAGCTTGAAATATTTGTGTGAACCCAACCTCACATCGGGTTCGGTCTTCATTTTCAGAATGGGTTTACATTTCACATCCTGCCTACCACTTTTAACAGATTACATGTTATGTATACACTACATAACATTTAACTATTTTCAGACCTATACTTGTGGAAACCAAGAACTAATTATAGTTATCATCCAAAACTCAGTTTAGCTAATCAGAGCTTCATTATATTAAATCAAGTGTGCTGATAATGGAATTTAACAAATCTCTGTGATGGTTTGGGGCATCAAGGAGACATCTGGAGCCAAATTTTGTTGTTTTTTTAAATAGCTCACAAAATATCAACTACATTTTTCAAAATAAGAATTTGTTTAAAAGCTTAGCTTGATAAACACATTTGTTAAAGCGGAATTAAAACTTAATTTTGGGCAGTTGGTTTATTTATTATATCATTATTTTAAATATCTAGTTGTAAATTTTATTTGTGTGTAATCTAATGAATACCCTAGCCGGGCTATGATGGGCCAGTTCAGGTCAGTTTTGAACAGAATTTTGATGTTGATGACGTGGTTTGGGTCAAAATTTTGTTTGGCTGTGGTCAGGATCAGACTCAAAATTTGATGATGTGGTTTGGGTCAAATCAGACACAATTCTCAGCCTGTATTTGGGTTCATTCCACAATTTCAGGCCCAAATGAAACTCTAACTAACTCAATGTGTCTGGAAATCTTTTCTTTGATGATTATAGAAATAATTCTAGTGATTAGTGATTAGTATATATTGTATTATTAATGTTATCTATTCTCCAAGCAGAGTGAATGGTTGATTTAATTATAATAATTGAATTAATGTAATATATAACAATATTATATTATAATCATTTAAACACTGAGCTCAGTTAAACTTACCTCGATGTACAGATAGTTGTAGTCTCTTTCTGCAAGCTGGATAAATACAGCGAAGAGTGAGAGAACAGGACGAGTGCTGAAGAAGGTGCATTCAGACCAGACCACAGCCACAGAGAAGAGTGACAGAACTACAGCCAGCACACGGTAAAACCACTGCTTCATCATGCACTCCCAATACCACTCTAGTAAAGAAAAAAGGAGAGCAAAAAAGTAAAATAATAATAGAAAGAGAGAGAATGATTATTGTCACTGATTTGCATATAACAAACAGTTATTCAGTGCTTTTTGTGACTTACTATTAGCTAATCTAAGTCTTTTGACTGACCTACAGTAGGCGTGTAGATGTAGCGGTTGAACCAAGTTGCGGGCTCTGTGGGTGCAAAGCTATGGACAAACTGGCATGATGTGCTGGTCTCGTTCTTCGCAACGTCCTCAAGGTGGAAGGCTTGGTCGAGAAGAATCTGCCACTGCACACGTGTACGATTATGTCTCTGGACGGCATAAATGACCTAAGAGGAGAAAATTAGACATGTCTATATTAAGAATATAAAAATATTAATGATGCAATTCTATAACTGAGTGGCTGATTTTGACCACACCTGCTTGTGAAGCTTCACTAGACTCCTTTCACTGGGATAGGTGTTTTGCTTGTCATCAAAATCTTCATAGTCATCCATATTTCTCCCCATCTTCTCTTGATATTCAACAGGGCACTTTGTGGGAAAGTACAGTTACAGTATTTAAATGGTCACTGCTGGCTGCCATTTTTTAAATAAAAATGTATACAAATGTTGTTTGTATAACTGAATGATATATTCTCCTTACCTTTCTAAGGATAGTGTCAATGTATTTCCTGAAAGGGTGGTTATACTTGATGGATTCGTTGACCTTTCTCACCTCCTTTGGTCATGGAAAATAATACATCATAACAATGCTCTTCCACAACCTCTTTCAAATGTGTCTGCATGAGTATATATTTATATTTATATACTTATGACAATATTTATCAATACTGCCACATCACAGTATGTCTTTCTGAACATACTATGGATATTGTCAGTGCTCAAAGAAATCTGACATGCAGAATGTTTCAGTACAAAAAGAGCATAACTAGTTTTGGTTATCTGGATTTTGTGCAGCACAGTATATGAATGAAAATCATTGTATTCATAGGTTTTAATAGTATAGGAGAGGCACTACTGGTTCTGTTTTGTCTGATCCAACTTATCAATTCTCAGAAAAGCAAAATATTGAGCATCATGTATAGTGAAAATGTCTTGAAGTATTGTGACGTTATATATTTGCCTACTGTGCACCCCTGGTAAATGTAGCTATGTATGTATTGCCCCACCTCCATGACATCTTCCAGGTTCTCCTCTGCGTCTGCTTTCTCAGCCATCAACTTAGCAGCTTTGAAGTAGGTCTTGATGAGCAGGTGTCCTTGCCGAGAAGCCTCCCAGTAGGAGCGTGGAATTTCCACCAAGCCATAACCCATCAGCAGCACTAGTAAGAACAGACCCCATGTGTTGGCTGCTGTGATGCCTATGGTCTGCAGTTCATACCTGGTTAAAAACCACACCAAAGATAAGATCAGAACCAGGCTTTATCGCCCAAGTATGTTCACAGAAAAGGAATTTGTCTTCAGTTACTCATTAGCACAGGATCCTAAAGTGGTAACCACAGTAAGTTACACAGTCACAATGCACAGTAGCTGAGAACACAAATGTAAACTTCCGAAATTACACAGGCATCATACCCGAATTCTAACAGTTCTAAAATTAGTGAGAAATAAACTGCAGTACACAAACCCAAATATGTAGGCTGTGGAACAGATCTGCAGCATTACACTTACCAGGAGAGGTGCCACTGTGGATGCACAGCAACATAGATGAGGAGCGAGCCAAAAATGAATAGGTAAGTACCGTAGTAGATGGCATTCTCAATCAGAGCTGTTTTTATTTTTCCTGTGATGGAGAAGCCCCCTGAGCGGGCGTAGGATTGCATGAAGGGTAAAAGAAGCCTGGAAACACAAAGACATGTGATTGACCAGCAGGATCTACATCCATGCAATACATAATGCAAAAAAAGATATATATGAAACAAATCATATTCTCACAACCACAATGAATTACGATTTATGATTTTGAGGAATTTAGATGGTCTTCTCACCATGTAAGACACTGTGAGGTCCAGTACACAACCCTCCAGAACACAGGCATGATACCATTGGGAATGTAGCTCCATGGCTTGTGACACACCTTTGGAATGCTATGAAAGAAAAGACAAAGACTGCTCTCATGGACTGATCGTAACAGAAAATACACAGTCTCAACACATAAAATGTGCCTGTGTAGCTAGGACTATTATTTTTAAATAAAATATTATTTTAAAATATTTCCTCTTATTGTCACCCCCAACCTGTGTTGTCACTGTTGCAATAAAACCTTTGCTTCTTCTGTAAACGTAACTTTACAGGAGAAGCAAATTGTCGCTGTCCGAAGAAAAACAAGTATCTCCAAAATAGTAACTTTATAGGAGAGGGCAAAAACACTCTTACTTTTCAGTGTAAGTTAATGTGAAGAGATTTTATTCCAAGTGATTTTAGAGCATTTATATTGGTCCTTTCATCATGAAATTTCACACAACGTAAAGGACAGTTGGTGTGTTGAAATGATGTAGAAAAATAAAAATCAACAAAAATAGACATACATGGTTTTCTTTGGACAGCAAGGAAATAAACATTGGTAGCGCTGTATTTGAAGGCTACCTACATAGGGATTTTATAACACATTCATAAGCACTGAATAATGCGTTTATAAACGAATACTTTAATATTCATAAACAGCTTATCCTATAAATCACAAGACAACAAGATGTTTCATGAAGTAAATGACAGTGTATTGCCATAAGAGTCCTTAAACTAAAGTGATAGACATTTGCTCCATTTGTAATCTGCTCTTTACTGCAGCCACTTAATAGAAATTGTATTTTTGTACTGTAACTCAAGTAGAAACATATATGATCGATATATGGGGCTCTAGGTCTCTGTCTTATATGTTAAATTACTTGGGAATAATGCTTCATAAGTATTAAAAATCAAAAAAACAACCCCAGTCACTTTAGTTTAAGGCCTTTTTTTATCAATACAATGTAATTTGATTCATAAAAGATTTTATGTTATCCTGGGAATAATGGCACAAGCTGTTCATTTACACTTAATATTGCTTTATAAGTATGTTATTCAATGCTTATGCATGTGTTATGAAGTCCCCATGTGGGCAGCCTTCAAGTACAGTGTTACAAAACATTCTCAGCTATAATGCATGTTCCTGTATTGAGAATTTCTTCCAGGATATTTTGACTGTTTTCATTCATCCATTCATCATTGAATGATTCCATAATGCAAAGAGAAACTGCTGTTTTCAAATACTCATGGTTTTGATATAACAATAATTGTACACACTCTTTTTAAACAAAAATGAACACACTAATGTAGGTCTCCCCAATAAAGACATTACAATGTCTTTGCCCCATCCATTCCAATTTTATTCTTCAAAGGCCCCTTTTATAGCACTGTATCTATGTGAATAACAGAACGTAGACTTACCTAGCAGTGGGTGCCACAGTTGCATTTCCTGTTGTTTGGTTGGTGATTTCTGGGCCTACAGATGGTGACTGAGCATGTTCGCCATGATCAATTATGCACTGTTTATATATTGTCTGAAATATAGAATAAAATTCACAGGATTCATGCTGTGAAACATTTTAAAATAATCAAATACATATATCAATTTCAAATAGTGGACTAAACGAACCGTGCTGACATCCAATGGGAGAATGAAGACGATGAGAAAGCACAAATACCAGGCCAGCAGTGTGCCAAAGAGCACCATGCGCTGTTGCTTTTTGAAGTCCCCATAGCGATGCAGCAGGAACAGAGCCAGAAAAAAGACCACGACTATCTCAATACCCAGCGCAGCCCCACTCATTCTCTCCTGCTGCAGTCCTCTGGACTAATCAAAACTGTGAAATCAGGCAGGAAGGACAAAAATACATAAGACATGATGGCAAGATACTACAACTCTCTTACATGGCGGAGAGGCAGAATACAGAGAGGGCCTTCCATGAACTAATTACAAGAGAATACAAAGCACTGGTCTCTGACAAAAGCCAATGGCCCATTTGCTGTTCTGAAAGACTCCTTTGTTTTTCTTCACTACAGCAAGAGTAGGAGTGGACGATACGGCAAAAAATACTGTATCACGATACTACAAGATATTTTCACGAAACATAATATGCATCATGATACATAGTTTTTCCGAGATTTAATAAGTTGGAACAAACAAAATAGAGCCTGTAGTGCCACATATGAAAAATAATGTAATAAAAATAAAAAAACAACAATGATTTTTATTCAATCTTCTACAAACTGCACTAAATCCGGTTAAACAGACCTAATTATGCTCAATTTGTAAAGAAACGTAATTAGTCAGTGGTCTTTACTGACAATATATACAATAGGTGCATAATTTATCATGATAACAATAAAATAACGTCATATTGCCCTTCCATAACCAAAACATAAGAAAGAAATGATCTTGCTCTAGTTTTTAAGCCAGTGTTTCTCAGCTTCAGTTATGCAGTCCGACTGCACTGATCTAATACACCTAACACAGCTAATGAAGGACTTGATCATTTTCTTTGCTAATTATTTGACTTCAGGACTAGAGATGAGAAACAATGTCCTACGCCATACATAAAAGAATCTTTTCAGTTAGGATGCAGTATCTGCTAAATCTTTAAAGCTCTTTGTTTATGAATCTCATTTACGAGTAAGATAGGGCTAATTTAACACACTACAAATAACCTAGGTTAGGTGACCCACTGTGTAAACAGTGTCAACACCAGCTGTAGCTAAACACTAAGCAATATCAAACAACATCATACAGTATCAACAAATGACATATGCGATAAATCACGTTCTACATCTATAACGGCTGTGTAGTATTACCGATAAAAGACCTGTCAAACTGTCTTACCATCTAATTCAGCGCGTCCATTATCCTGTTTTGCTAACTTAGCTGCGAACTACAGAGTCATATTTATGTTATTCGTACCTCGGCTGTGGTGAGAGATATAAACGCTGCTTAAAATGCTGCTATCCGTTGATTAAAGAACACAGAGGAAGAAATATTTCCTTTAAATAACGTTATTTGGATTGGAGCCATCACGCAGCTTCCCCTAAAATCACAAACGTCACCCAGCGACCGGAGCAGCTCCGAGGAGGAGGTGCGTCATCCGGCGCATTCACGCATGCGCAGTTCAAATTCTGCTTCATGCATTCCTTACGCATGAAGAGCTCTCAGTCAGCGATGAGTTGTAGATCAGTGATTCTCCGCAGCACTACGCGAAATCGCCCAAGGAAATCATGTTTACCAAAAGTCTATGCTTGCAAAAATCGAATAAATTAATTTATTCAAACTTTAGTTATGAATTGTTTGTATAAACACTGTATAGCACTTTTTCACCGTCTATAAATGGCTTTGTAAATGGCCTTTAAATTTTTTCCTGACTCATCTCTTTAATCCATTTAAATTATCAGTGCATGTTTATCTCAGTTCACTTTCACTTCAGATTAGCACTGCTGATATGCAGCAGTGAGACAGTAATATGGGCTCTCAGACAGTTCTTTTCTTATTCTGAACAACAACTGACCAGCCCAGTGTTTTCTCAGCATGAAACCGGGGAGGGGGGTAACACGGGAGTACACGACACACATGGAGGGTGGACAAACTCACACACAAAACCCACCCTCCACAGATACAATTTACTACAAATACACTGACTATGCTAACAACAACAAAACATCAACGACAACAAATTCCTCTTTTTTTACACCAGGAGTGTGACACCTCCCGAAAGTCACTTTGCATGGCCTGTAAGCGCTTCATGGCAGCTGGGCCCGTGGCGGACACAAGCCTCAGGGGATGGCTGTCCCGTGGCCCATGCAGCCCAAACTAAGTCTCTGGGGCAGTAGCTCCTCAGCATACCCCAGGTGTGCTGTCCTCCTATGACTCTGACGGGCAGGCGAACACCAGCTCCGTCGATGACCACTACATCGGTGTGCCGGAGTGATGAAACTGAGCAGGGCATGCTATATCCCACTTCAGACAGCAGTGTGGTGACGATGCAGAAGAAGACACGGATAACATAGCAACATAGACACGGACAATTGTCCAGATACAATTTATTACAAATACACCAACTGCACTAACAACAACACAACATCAATAACAACAAATGTCTCCTTTTATTTAACATATCACAGTCAATGTTCAAACTTCCAGCAATTATAATTCTAACGTGTAAAATAAAATATAATTTTACTTGTGAAAACGATTACTTTCTTGTATGTTTAGTTCATTGTCTTTTTTACCATTTTATTGTCTTGCCATTTTATTGTTTATCACTGAGATGTATTTCTTAATCTGTTATCATTTTGTTGCTTTTTATTCCCCCTGTGACACTTAGCTGCATTTACTAGGATTCCCCGTAGTGTAAACCTCAGCTTAAATTGAAATATGATGATGATGATGATGATGATGATGATGATGATGACGATGATGATGAGAAATGGTTTTTCCCATCAAAGTGAATTAGGACAAAATTATTAATTCTTACTAATGAGAATGCAAATGACTTTTTACATGTAATTTATTGTTTACTAAAATTAATAACTTCAACATAAGTATACTAATAACATACTTATATTTCTGACATAAATAAACAAATAACATTAAAAGCACTTACCATATGAAGCTTCTATTTTTTCCACACTTATTAAACATGAAAATGTAGAAAAAAAAAACAGTCAAAGAAAGAAAGAAAGAAAGAAAGAAGCTCTTTTTGCAGTAACTAAAGTGAATGGAAAGACAGCGTGTTGTTCCTCCTCCTTGCCGGAAGGTGTCGACACTCAGGGTTGTCCTCTCCGCTGAGTTCAGTCTGGGCGGTGCAAGCTGCGCGTTTAAACAGTGCCGCCTGCACACAGAGAGCGGAGCTCAGCGCTGTACAGCAGATCAGGGAGTTTTACTGCAGACATATAGGCAAAATACAGCGCACATACAGTCGAAACAAAGACAAAAACAAAGAGATGGCAGTCGAGAGGTAATTATGTGAACATCTGCGTAATGCAAAACTCACCTAATGTAGTTTTAGGATCACTGTTAAAGCCGTTTTGACGTTTAACTACAAAATAACCTACTAGCTAGTAGCTCATCAAGCCCTGCTTCGAAAATACAGCAAAAAGAAAGAAATGTCCTGCGAGAGGTAACAGTATGACTATTTTGATTAAGGGGTAAACCTTTCTGATACAGTCTACTATTAAAACTAAAGCGGGTTTGATGTTTATTAGATACATAGCCGACTTTGCTTAGCGTTAAATACTAGTAACGCCAGTAATTGGCTAACTTAGACCTGCACTTCAATCTTGCTGTATATCGAGTGATTCGTTTGGTGAAGTTCTTTACTAAGTGTACTTTCATGGGTGACCTACTACTAGATTACGGCAGTTCGTCTTTCTGAAAGATTGATAAGTTAAAGCGGGAGAAACGAGGCTGATTGCTACTGTGTGTTTAGCTAGTTAGCTAGCTTAGCTCCCTCCCTTCCAGCAGTTCTGGCGCGCCTTGGCTTTTAGAGCTCGCATACTAAATTGGGATAACCATCGGACATATACTCTTTAACCATAATGTAGGATAAAGTTAAGCAGTTGATGACTGTTATTTCCTCTTTTTGTTCTCCTAAATTTGATGTCAGTTTGTCCTGTTGTTGAGATGGCGCGATCAGTGGGAACTGCGACTGTTAGCGCCGTTATGGCGGGCACCAAAACAACTTTGCTAACTTTGATACTCGGCCTGATTTTACAGTTAAAGAAGAAAAGAGCTCATGAAACCATTTCTTTTGTCAGATAACTTATATATCTTACGTATTTTGTTTAATAGGTGTCGAATTGTGTTTATTTAGACATAATGCCAGTCTTGATCTTAGCAAACAGGGCTAGTTGGTTGAGTAGAGGAGGTTTGGGCATAACTGAGCTATGTTTGCTCTTAAATACCTCCTTTTTTATTTAGGCATAATAACCAGCTAGGTTTTATTGACTCCTAAGCAACCCACCTTGTTTTACAGACCGCTTCAAGAGCTTCCGTGTCTGAATGAGAATTTGGAGGGATCCCTGCTGTGCATGTCTCAGACGAAACGGAAGGAAAGGCCGTGCTATGGTGAGGAGAATACGCCGCACGAGCTCATCCAGCACTGGTCGCCTCCTCGCAAGCAGCCCCGGCCCTGTGGCAAGGGCAAGGAGAATGCTTTTGTGCTTGCCAGACGTCCCAGGAAAAGCAGAGATTCAGCAGGTCAGTTTTTTTGGCCTGACCACGAGTCCATGAGTGCTCAAGGGAACACCTTGCTGGTAACTCGTGCTTATATAAATGAGATTTGTCATATGTAATCAGTACACTTAAGGTTTTGACAGCACTATTTTTGATTCTGAGGTCATTATTAGATTATTTTTTCTGTGTATTTTCTGCTCAGTGATTCTACAAAGTCCTGATTTTATACAAAACAGTTTGGTCTGTATCAGAAAAAATGCTAGTTTTATTGAAAAACCCCAGGTCTTAAAACACAAACTGGTACAGTACAAAAATCTGAACTGCCATAACATGTCTCCATTTTCATCCTCCAATATGGAAACATCATCTTGTCTCAATGTGCCAAATTTATGCAGAGTCTGACACTGAGCATCATAATTAAGTTACTCTTTCACATCTGAATTACTTGATAGATAAAGTGATCACTGATAGTGGATTCAACAAAAATGGGGGGGAAATGAAGAGACCCTGTATAGACAGTGTATTGAAATAGTGTTGTTACACCCTAAATCACAATCATATGCAACTTCAGTTGCATTAAAAGTATGCTGTATGAAACATCTCCCACTGCCTATACTGCTTCTCTGTTTTCCCTATTGCAGCCGCAACCCTAGCTGGATCAATCAGTGAATGACAATGAATGTGAAACATAAATGTGCTTTTTCTGTTTTGGCCCCTCCTTCAGCTGGTCTGTGTTGGGACAGTCTCCCAGATGAGCTCCTGCTGGGGATATTTTCTCGCCTCTCGTTGCAAGACCTCCTGAGAACCTCCCGCGTGTGTAAGCGCTGGCATCGGCTTGCGTAAGTTACGTCGTGTACCTCTGCTGTTCATGTTAATCAGAAATGGGCACTCAGTCATCTCGAGAAAACTGTTTAGTAATTGAATGCTTGTCTTGAGAATTAACTTGTTCAAGTATCTTTGCAGTTTTGATGAGTCCTTGTGGCACAGTGTGGACTTGGTAGGAAAGGCTCAGTTAGATGCAGAGCTTGGCCAGGTGCTCACCGCTGGAGTCTTGAGGCTGCGCTCTCCACATGTCTGCATTGGTCAGCCTGGCTTTAAAAATGCAGAGTGAGTGCTGGGCCCTTTCTGTACAAGTTTGTCATTAATATATACATTTTACTGTTTCATGTTTTGCTGATCCCAATGTTGTAATGTAACGCAATCTTATGTCTCTTGCAGTCTTCTGCGTGTCCAGCATATGGACTTGTCCAGCTGCACCGTACAGACTTCTGTCCTGGAGGACATCTTGTCCCGCTGCAGACGGCTGCAGAATCTCAGTCTTGAGGGGCTGATACTCTCTGACAGCATACTACAGTATGTGAAGTTTAAATGAATAAGAATATATTGTCAACATAAAAGCATCTATGAGAGTGTTGATATTTGTTTTGATTCTGAAGCCTACATTTGTGTTAAGATGATTATTATTTATTTATTTATTTAATATCTTTATCTGTTATGCAGTTCTTTAGCTCAGAATGTGGAGCTGGTTCGACTGAATTTGTGTGGCTGTGCTGGTTTCTCTCCTGAGTCCCTGGCTGAGATGCTTCAGTCCTGCACCCAGTATGTATATGAAGCAAAAGATGATAATAACTTATGATAATATAAAATGTGCAGTGAAAGACAGGCATATCAGGCACATCATTTATCGTCTACCGTTACTTAGCCCTCTGTTCTGTTTGATCCAGGCTTGAAGAGGTGAATATGTCATGGTGTGACTTCAGTAGTCAGCATGTTCAGGCCATTGCTACCAACGTTCCATCAAGTGTCACTCAACTTAATATCAGCGGATACAGGCAAAACATGACCATGGAAGGTAAGGATAACTGTTGATTTAAAGAAAAAAGCTGTATTGGTGAGTTAAATCAAATGAAATTTGCTGAAGCACAGTTTAAACCTCTGCTGTTGCCAAATGCAACAATAGGTTTACACAATGGTTTATTATACAGTTATACAATAGGTTTATTATTCAGTTAGCAATCTCAAGTTTTATTATCCTGTAACCACTACAAATTACTCAGTTGCTGTTATAAAAGGTATGTATTTACAAGAATCAGGATCGTGTCCTTAGGATTTAAGATGCTAATTTGGTTTCTTTATAGTAAGCTGTTTGTTTTTAAAAGAGACTTTTGTTATTGTGGCATCACTTTAGGTGAATTTAAACTATGCAGCAATTTTGAATTCTCTCTTTACGGGAACTTTTGTCCTTTCTCCCTAGATGTGAAGAACTTAGTGGAAAGATGTCCAAATCTCACAAATTTGGATTTAAGGTAAGTGATAATTTGGGTTGGGAATTGCAGGCAGTCTAAGCGCTCTCTAGGCTTTTGAGTCCCAATATTGATGTCTTTTTCCTACAGTGACAGTGTACTCGTGACTACGGACAGTTTCCCGTTCCTGCAGCAACTGTCCTCACTCAGGCATTTGGCCCTGAGCCGCTGCTACCAGATTCACCCAGCCGCCCTCATGTAAGACACGAGTGTATCTTTTGTGTTTTTATTGAAGGATGCACCAATATGGAGTTCCTGAGCTGATATAATAAGCTTTTTTTGTGGCTGATATAAATAAGCTTACTTGAGCTAAAATAGGATGCAAAATGGATATACATATTACGATAAATGTATAGTTTAATTTGTGCTTTTATTAGCTTACATTTTTTAATATCCTCTTTCTTTCTATTACAGACATTTCGAGAAGTTTGAGAAGCTGCAGACCTTGGAGGTGTTCGGCCTGATACAGGATAGCTATCTGCCCATTCTCAGTAAAGGGCTGCCACATATACAGATCAACACTCAGCCTTTTTCTAGTGTGGCTCGTCCTACTTCAGCTACAAGGAAAGACCGCACTCTATGGGGAATGCACTGTCGACTGGTATACAAACCATAACCTACAAACGCAGGACAGTTGAGAGGTGAATTTTAGAAGGTTTCACATGATGAATAGATTTGAGTAATAATGTGTTAAAGGGAGTCCACTGGAAAGTTATTTTTCAAGTGGCATGAAAATGTTACCTGTAGATGTTTTAGGAAAAGTGGAATTGTTTCAACAGGCCTAACTCCATATTCGCCCCACCCCCACCCCACAAAACAATCTTTAAACATTTTAAGCCCTTGCAAATCTGCAACCTTACTGTTCAGTACTTGATGTTTAAAGTGTTTTAATAATGGTTGATTTTTAAAAAAAAGTTACATACCCACAATTTAAAGGATGAGTTCTGTAGTTTTAAACTTGACTGTTTATCATGACTTCTGTTTGTCTTAGAACCTCATTTTAATATTGGTGTCCATGTTGAATGATTGTTGCTTTGGTGAAACGTATTGCAAGGCTATGATGGACATTACTGGGTCATGTTTATACTCATGGGTGCCTTAACTTTCCTAAAACATCAGAATGAGTGTCTGCAATGAACATTAGCATGTGTTTGGTTCAAAAAAAAGGTCTGAAGGTCCTTTAAGCAGACCAGTTCCTGGGCAATAATGTTTTGTCCTGACAATCACAAATGTAGGTGCATTCTCATAATGTAACCACTGTACCATGAACATTGTTGTATTTCAAACAGTGTAATGGCAAAGGGGAAATTACACATCATTTATTAACTTGAATGCTTACGGATCAGCAAAGACACATTTATGTAAACTTGGTGATCCTAGAATCTACCTACAAGCTGTCATGTTCTGGTTAATGAAGGCATTTTATTGTTCATAATATGTTGCATATCCATGCAAGATGGTTTTAAATGTTCATTGTTACCAATGCATTAAGGAAAAAAAAGGTCTACACTTTTGCTCAGCTGCCAAAATAATGGTTTGAGATTTTAAACCATTTAAATTTTAATAACTGAACATTTGGCAGCTTTATTTGTGGTCTCAGACAGAATTAAACAAATCACGTTTTCAGGACATTAAGCTTTTCTTTGTGACCAAAATACCTGGAATCTTGAAATCTGTTGGTACTACTTTCCATTATGAATGACAAACTTGAATGATTGACTTCTCTATTGAGAACTCAGATATACAGTGTATTTTTGTGAATATTTACATGTTCACTAATTTTAAATAAATATTCTACTTTTTATTTACTCTTCTCTTCCTTTCTGATATTGCTGAGCTGTACCCCTGTACAGTGTTTTCACTTGTACAGTATAGAAAGCTTATTTCCCTTGAAATTTCTATGCTGCTGCTTCAGAAAGCATGTCAGAACATTTTTAAAAAGTTTTTAATGGAGAAACCAGAACCACAGACATTCAAAAGTTGCTCTCTCTAAACAAAAGACACTTTGGCATGTTCTTTGTAAACCATGCCAATTAATGCTCTGAACTGCCAATAGCACACATGGTCTTTTGGGGTCATACACTACTATTTAAAAGTATACTGATTGACACCTCTAGTAATTTTAACAGCATTGGCACAGCAGGTGATGACCTCGAATAAGTGGTGAAGTACAGAAATGGATGTACAATTCAAATTGAGCAATTTAATGCGTAGGGTCTTTAATGGGGGCAGCTATGAGTAGATTTCTCAAAGAACTGCAACAGTACTTAAAAAGATAGCTGCAGGAAAGCAACCAATTAGAAATAAGTCAATTCACATCAAGACTCTTCAAATAATGCAAGACAAAATGTTCTTACTGTAGCTGTAAAAGTAAATTTTCAGTTCAACGTTTCCTCTATAACAAAGACGAAGAACCTGGCTTGAGAAACCTACTGCCTCAGTAACAGGTTTTTGACCTTGTCAGTTTTCATCTCCAAGGCTCCAGGCTTGAAAGATAAGTGATTAAGGTCAAATACAGTAGAAAGAATGTCCTGGTTCAGCAACTTTTCATTCAGTCCTCAAGGATTACAGTTTTTAGCGAGTCTTCATCGTGTAAGCTGATAGTTGCAATAGCACCGTCATTGAACTCAAAGGACGTTCCTCCATCTACCACCATGCAAGCATCCCAGCACCTTGAGCGGACACATACCCTTAAAGCAATACAGGGAGATTAAACATTTTCAAATGACAACCTTTAACAAGTCATCTAATCAGATTAACCTGATAACTGACTAAACAAAGTCTCAAAAGTGACAAGTGCAAGTACATCAACATAATGACTCATGAACCACTGATGTAGGCAACAGCATAAATCGTGTTAAGCATTTATTTTATTAATTAAATCTTGCCCTGCATGAGTTTTGGCTATTGGAGAAGATAGCAAAGCAAACTCCAAAACTCTGCACAGAAAGAAAATCAGCTCAGTGTATCCAGACACTTTCTGTATAGAAAGTAATACTCACTTGCTTGCAAAACCTCTTTGGCGGCTATTGGAAAACACTCTGTTAACGATGGGCTCTCTAACACTGAAGAAAAGTCTGTTCTCCTCTGGACTGAAGATGAGTGACTCGTTGTATGCCTCGGTCACTAAATACATAATAAAACAATATAAAAAGATGAAAATCCCATGACTTTTGAAGTTCTCATTGCATGAGTTTTCAGAGAAAACATTCCATTGTCACAATGCTGCACTCACCACTCTCAATGACCTCCCGGTTTAGAGGAATATCCAAACCAGTTTTGACTTTACCTACACAAAATATAATTATGGTTACTTTTAAACCATTTTTTATTTTTTTATTCCAATTACTTTTTTCTCAGTCTCACAAGCTAATAGTCCTTTAAGGGAAATTCCACCATTTTTTTCAAAATTCTTGCATAATACAATAAGTGACATGTAAACAAAGTCATTCAGAGTAGTCTGATGTGAAATTGTGTATTGTAGAAAAACAAGCAGCTTGGATTTCTTTACAGTGGTGATGACAGGAACCAATGGTTACGGTATCTACAGTGCAAATGCTGCAGTTTTATTTACTATCAAAAAAAGACAGCAAACTTTCATGTGACTTCTGAGTTTTTATGTGTAACGTTAATAAGGATAACCCACTACCTCAAACTACACTGAACTGTTGTGCAGACAGACAGTTCAAAATTGGTGGCTGTTTGTTACACTACAACTGCGGTAATAAAAAAAAATGTTTTCTTATTGCCTTACAACACCATGCATGTACCTCTCTGGTATTAATATATTCCCTTATCTTAAAAATATGGTAAAACTATTTCTCATGCATCAAGCAACATAACCTTGTCATAACTTTGTGTGAGGTATATTTTAGAGGCATTCAGTTCTTTGGATGTCTGGTTCCTATCACCACTATTAACAGTTCTGACTGAACTGAGCATTTCACATCAAATCACTCTGAATGACAGAGCACTTAATAATCTGATAACTGCAGAAAATCTGATTTTGTCAGTAGTCCAATCAATGTGTTCACATGAACATGAGTAATCAGATAATGGGAAAATTCTGGGTTTACATGAGTCAGGCAGTAATTAGATCTTTGCTTTTGCAACCGGCCAATAAACTCACAGAACAAGACATGACATAACCAGAGAACTTGTAGAGAGGAGAATTACCACTCTGTAACGTCTTCCGGGTTTCTCAAACACTAGAGGGCGCACCCGAGCGAGTCCGAAATGAATGGGTTAATATGGAACATTTGAATAAAATGATACGTTATAAATGCTTAAACATTTTTAAGATAAAAGAATGCATCCATATCCTGAACACAGAGCACCGCTGTTATATTTTTGGCACAAACAGCCAATGAGCTTCTCTGGTCACCAACCAATCAGCACTAGGAAGCAGAAATGCTAGCACTGTACTGCCCAAAACCCATTTACTGTAGTAAAAATGAAACATACAGGTTAGTTTTCTTTGCTTTTTTTAGTGAAATACATGGTTCTACTCTCTAAAACTAAAGGAAAGTTCTGGGCAAGTGAGAAACTATTTTAACTTTCTCGTTTTTAGCCGTTTAGCTCCATTCACCCCATTCATTGAGGACTCGCTCATGGGCACCCTCTGCTGTTTTAGAGTCCTGTTTTTGATATAACGGGGGAAATAGGAAGTGGCCAGGCTCTTCATAAACTGGCTCTGACGTAACCGTAATACAAAGCTCAAACTTCATGTTGTGGCTTTTTTTGAAACATGAAGCCATATTAGCTGATAATGTGAACACGTCATCTACAAGATAAAGAATATTTAAATTGATTGTCAAGCATGCCCTTGGTTTCAGCGTCACTCCAAAAATGTTTTGTTGCCTTCTTGTGGGTGCTGCATAAACACTGTTTGCTTATTTCTGGTACCGCAGTCTGGTTTCACCCATGCGCAGACAGAGAAATCTGAAAGAGATCTGAGTAAGAGTATACTAGCACTGAGAAATCAGATTACGGAGCTAAAATCCAGCTCTCTTTATCGGACTTCTAGACCTTACTCCAATCTAAGAAATTGAAGTATGCTGTTTACATGACCATTTGAATAATCAGAGAGCTGCAGAAATCTGATTACGATCTCACTGTTTACATCTTAACGATCTAATCCAACAGCAATTTTGGAAAAACTGGTGGAATCTCCTTTGAGCATGACAGTGGAATTATTGAAACTAGCCACAGAGCATTAAAAAGAATATGGAGAAGGCACTACCCAACTCTATATGACCAACCATACCCAGATTAGCTATAGCAAACCATATGGGGTCTCATTTTCATTTTGTTCATACCTATTCTAAGGACATCCTCCACAGCTTGCTCCACCAGTTTATTAATGTTATAAGACCTGCATGTAACAATGAGAAATGTGTATATTAGGTACCAGCACACTTAACAGCCCTTTAAAGCAAGCTTAGCGGGAAGACCTACCAGGCTTTGGATCCGGTTCCAGTGCAGATACTGAGTCCCGAGCTCTTCTGCTTCTCCCATGGGCCATCATCAATGGAGATCTCATAGTAGGAAGCCCTATGGAGCGAGAGGGTAAGATGGGGTTTGAAGGATTTATACTTCACCCTGTGGCAGATAGAGATCCACAAGTAAGGGGAGATGGGCAAGGATGCATGGAGTGAGGAAGAGAGGGGTTGATGAGATACATCAAGCTTAATGGACAGACTGATGGCAGACAAACAAAAATGGTTAGGGAGTCAACAATAACATGGCATAGGTGACAAACATATACCTGGACGAGAGCGACTCTCCAATGAAGATTTCGTTCAGTCCTCTGACTGGGAGTAGGTGTGGTGTTGTGTAGCTGTTATGTGCTGTACCTGTCACCAAAACAACAGGTTACCTCTGTGACTCTCAGCACTTTACAGCTCCATGCAATGAGTGTCACACACATTTTTGTTATTCTTTTGTCTCTATACTCTTTAGATATGGACTCTTTTGACAATGGCTATAGGGGGTAAAGTGCAGACTGGTGGCTTTAATTTAAAAGAACACAAAAAAGGCCCTGAAAGGATTCACACAAAAAGGCAGTCACATGCACAACACTAGGGTATCTTAGTAAATTATGTACTGCAAGATATTTTCTGTTTTTTGGCCCCCAAAAACTTTTTGGTTGCTGGATGAGGGCAATACTATACCCTGAATCTCGTAGGTTGTATAAAATGGATCAAGCTGTTCTTGACAAAAACACAAGGGGGGAAAATGTTGTGATCATGGTCAAGTATCACCTTACAAAATTTTTGAAAGTATTCTTCAAGCCTGTCTACAACATCCAGACTCATGTTTTCAGAAGCATTGTTACACATTCATGTTCATGCTAACATACGTTTACACACTTTTCCACCTCACAAGAATAGCCTCTTCATATTTAAAATATTTCAGTTCATGACACTTTTGTTAAAGGGGTCATGGTTATTTCCTATCCACACTTTTGGATAAAATATTAACTTTTGTTAAAGAGAAACTCCACCAATTTCTGAAAATTTGAGTCATACAAAGTGTTTTCATGTTTATAGTGGTGGTGATAACAGGAAGTAGGAGTTGTGATGACAATGCAAAAATAGCCATTGTATTGTATTAAACAATCCACCTACACATGTCTACTGAGTTTTTATGTTCTGTTGATAACGTTATAAAGTGGCAAATCTGAAAAACATGTTTTCTTGGGGGCTATTTTACCTTCCAGTGCTAGGCATGTACTGTTCTGCCATGAACAAATTTTAAAAAATGTTGTTTCGGCTGAAAAATTCTCAAAACTATAGTAAAACTATGTCTGAGCCATCAGGCTATATCACTGAAACCATTTCATCTATGAAATGCAGTGAACCATTAAACATTTCAGACCTCTGGTTCCTGTCACCACTGACATGAACAATTTTGACGTGTCTGGTTTCTTTAGCATGGCGCATACCAAACCACTCTGAATGACTTTGTTCACACGTAAACGGTTATAATATAGAGAAACTTAGAAAAATGGTGGACTTCCCCTTTAAGTCTATCCTATATGAAGACAGCATGGTAAAGGAGGAAAAAGGCAGATAAGAGAGAAGGAAGGGAACACGAAGGAAATAGTTGACACGGGAGTCATACTGTGCTGGGACTCGGTGGAGCTGCGGTGCGCCTTGTTGTGTTGCTCCAAACTCAGCTGCTGCTCGTGCAAATCCACCGGAGTGGGATTGATTCCGGTGCCCTCCAAGTGCATCCGGATCCGCTGCCGCCACTGCCACCTGGTGGAGACAGTGGAAGAAACAGGACATAAAAAGATGTCATTAAGAGTTATTAATAACATTACTGTTTCAGGAATCTGCAATTCAGCCCGCAGCTGAAGGTAGTGTGAGGACACTATCAACTCAGTCTCCTTATCGACTCCTTAGTACATAAACAATACACTATACAATAAATGACCCACCTGAACTCTCCCTTCCTGAGTTTGTGTAATGCTTCAGAGAATGCATGCGTGTAGCGCACAGGCAAGCATAAATGGCCCTCGGACCTTCATTTCCAAAAAGAAAAAATGTATATACATCATACATTTGAAAGAAAAAAAACTCTATTCATCATGTGCATGTGCTGATGCTTTTTTACCTTTCGGGATCAGTATTGACTCCTATTACAGGTTTGTTCTTATCAAACACTTTACTGGCAACTAGTAGCATAGTGCCATCACCTAAAAAGCCGGAAGACAGAACACCGACAGACTGGTAAGCTAACACACAGCCAGATCGGCATGCAATTAAATTCATATGTATTTGCTGTAATGACTTCACATGTTGCGCCATGCCTGAAGATCCTGCAGGCACTGACACAAAGCAACAAACCTCCAGCCGAAACAATGGCGTCCGCCCATCTGACGGTGTCTTCATTATACTCCCCTCTTTTAACCACATGGACCTCGACCCCTTCTTTTCTAAGAAGAAAAAAATTGGAGTCACTCATAGAATATTCACTCACTGTGAACTTACCATCTGCTGCATTTTTATAAATATCAACAGTGTTTCTATGTCTCAACATGCATCACTTACTGCAGATTGTCCACAATCTGTCTAACATTTTGGGTGTGTATGTTGTGTCTTTCCAAAAGCCCACAGTAGCTGGATCCTTTCAGGGCAAGCTGGAGTTACAGAGAATGAAAAAAGAATGAACCACAAATGGTGCTGAACACTGAAAATAAACAGAGTTATTACATGTTGCCCTATCTGGTTCATGTTTAGGAAGTGTGGCCTGCTAAGATACTTACAAAGCTGGGTATAAAGTTTTCATTGTTTTTTCTTTAGCCTGGTTTTAGACTAAAGTGAATTTTTGAAGAAGAAAAAAAAGAAAAACCCAAATGATTTTTCAGTCAGATCATCCCAATACACTGTATGTACACCAAACTGTATGAAAAACTATCAGACTTTTTTGTATGGGACATTATATTATCCTATGGCCATGTAAATAAATGTATGGCATTCCACACGATCAGTTTTCTTACCAGCTGTTTAAGATCCTCTTCTGACAGGCCTGCGTAGAGATACCTCTGTTGCTCGAACTCATACCTTGTCGTCTTTGTCACAACAGCAACTTTTGATGGTTTGAAGCCGGATTTAGCCTGCCAGGCAACTTTACATACAGCTGTCTGATGGAAATAAAGGCGACTACAACAGCTCCCACTGAAAATCGTCACAACTGGATTTCCATAGCAGAGTAAATTTCTTAAAGCTCTGGATGTCATTCTACTGACAAAAATATGCAACTAATGAAAACTCAACCAGAAAAAAAGAAGAAAAACGCTGGTGAAACTGTTAAGTTAGTCCCTTTGGTGTCGGTCATCCGAGGTCTGGACCTCGTCGTGTCCAGATCCTGCTAGACTAACCCACACAAGCCCGTCTGGCTTGGAACAGACTTTGAAATACCAAACATGGTCTCATTTCATAGTAGCCAGCGAACTACAGTAGTAGAAAAAGCTCTATTCATGTTATTCAGGAGTAATACACAAATTACACCAACGCCTGTAGCGAGTAGCAGAGAAGCACTATAAGAATGTGCTTGACTTTGAGCAATAAACGGCAACGAAACTAACGCAATGCACGGACAGTACAAACTATGAGCACAGCCACCTTCTTTAGCTAGCTAGCTTAATGCTTTATTCAGACACTTTCCCAACCTCCCATACAAATTCGAAACCTATCATCTAGACTAATTTTACATTTGGTAGTGCTTATTAAAAGGAGACAGCCGTCTACCTGTCAGTTAAGGTGGCTTATGTTAACTGGGTTTGCCAGAAGTCACATGCGTGGTCAAACAGCTAGCTAACTAACTAGCTGAATTATTTTAAAAAGCTACGCAACTACCCTTAAATGTCGTCTCGGATAATAAGGCGTGGATATAAACTAAGTTACAGTGGCAGAAACAGGTCTGGGCAGTAGGCTCATTAGTACAGAGCAGACTGTGGAGGTGCGGAAGGTCACTGTAGTTAGCTGAGGCTGAGTTTTTAGCTGCTACCGCGTCGGATAACTAACGCTACCTGCTGCAGCTTTAAGCTTCAAACTCCGCGTCTACCGCTAAACCGAGTTCTTCCTCACATCCTCTCCTAACTGTCCTGGCACAACTTTAATCGACATAAAGTGCGAGGCTCGCAAACGTTTCTACATTTCAAATCTAGAATTTCCTATCGTAAACACATTACTTCCCACACTCACTGCCTCTGCCATCTTTTAAGTACGTAGAGGAACGTACGTTGTTGGGTCCGTTCCGTTCCCTTCAATGCACGCTCCCTCCTTACTCACTAGCACTTGACTCGTAACGCTCGTTTAAGCGGACCTTTCTGCTTTAAGACATGCTGTTTGATATGAAGTTTTAAGATTTGTTACGTTGTTGCTGGTTATATTTCTGGACGAAGTGCATCATTTCGAATGGCCTAGCTATAACCGAACATCTCTGCACCGTGACAGTAGAAGAAGCCTAGCTAGGGGAAGTGAGCAGCCTGTGGTGGAATGACGTAGTGGAATGAAAAGTGACTAGGCCAGTCCTAGTTAGGATAAGCGACAAAGTTTGTGAATTATTAGGGCGGTTTTCAGCTATTGAAGAGATAAAGGCCTCAGTATCTGTGGCAGTTTAGAACCACTTATCTCATAGATCAAAATAAATTGTTTGTTACTGTTCAGCACCAGATGGGATCAGTTGTCTTAAGGAGCTTTCTGTAATCAAAAAACCCCAAAGGGATTCACCGTTAAGCGGATTTCATTCAACGTGTTTGCTGCTGTGATGGTCTGTCTTTAGTAAAATGCACGTGTTAGAAGTGCTTTCTGATACTTTCGCAGTTTCAGAGGTCACAGAAGGATTGTCTTGACCTTTTGGTGTTTAACTGCTATAGCTTTAGTGCAATTTAGTTATCATCGTTAAAGAGTAATAATACACAATTAATATTGTCATTATGCAGTAAAACTGCAACATTAAACTGACCCAAGCTAATAAAAAAGTAGTTAAATTTGGTTGCATTTAATTAAAAAATTTAAATAGAAGCTTATCACATACAACTGTAATCAAATTAAAAACGTTAATGTTGACTGTAAATAACACAGTACAGTCTAATAACACAACACAGTACAGCCTAATTGCACAATATATTTAAGTCTACAGTCGCGTCTAAAGCCCTTTTGAAACTGCATTAGTTCTACCTGTGGAGATCTGAAATTTTGAGTGATTTTCAACGTGGTCTGTAATTGTAATCCAGTATGAATCTGCCATGTCCATTGTCTGATAAGTAATAATTTCAGAGTGAATTAACGTCTATAATTCACAAAGGTCTGGACTCGCTCAGTAATAGTAGTCCTATTTGAATAGACATCTCAATAATGTAATTACATAGAAAACTATGGCAGAATATTCAGGACTTTTTTAAAATTCAAAAGCAATTTTGAAAATGCTAATTAATATGTGCTTTTACAGTTGCATTTCCGGTGTGAGTGTGCATTGTCCTACCTTTAAAAAAAAACCCATGCATAGTGACGCTTGCCTTCCTCAGGGCATGAGCTGCTACATGTGGGCATTAAGTCTCAGATTAATAAAACTGAGATTAGTAACTCATCTTCAAATTGACTTATCAGTCTACTCCGTTAATTGCCACTAATTGAGTTTCTCTTTAGGGGTAGTCCAGCAAGCATGTTTGCTGCATGCCGCGCACTGATTTTAAAATAGTTAATAAACAAGCATTGATGGTGTGTCATTTAAATTGGTATGATTTTTATTTAGTGGCTAAGTATTCTAACACTGTTCTCCTAAAAATGTGAAAAGTAACTCTTTTCTGAATACAGGAACTTGATTTCTGTATTCTGAATACATGTTCCCAATACTTGTATTCCACTACATCCCAACCCTGAGTATATATACAGTATATATACGGTACAGTACAGTCTAATAGTACACTACATTATAGTCTAATAGTACAGCACAGTCTAGCACAGTATGGTATAGTCTAGTAGTATAGTATGGTCAAGTACAGTACAGTAATCTAATAGTATAGTACAGTGTAGTCTAATAGTACCATATAATCTAATAATACAGTACAGTATAGTCTAATAGTATCATACATTCTAGCACAGTATAGTATAATGTAATAGTATGGTATAGTCTAGCACAGTACAGTACAGTCTAGTAGTATAGTATGGTCTAGAACAGTACAGTATAGTCTAATAGTACAATATGGTCTAAAAGTACAGTACAGTATAGTCAAAGAGTAAAGTACAATCTAATAGTACAGTATAATGTAATAGCAACCCTGCTGGAAAAAAAACAAACAAAAAAAAACCCAAAAACAATAGAGACCAGCAAGGATTTAATGCTGGTCTAAGCTGGTCTATGATGTTTTACATTGTTCTAGTGCTGGTCTGGTTCTGGTTTAGTTGGTCAGCCCAGCATGGTCATGCTTGCTGACCGGCATACCAGCATCCAGAACACAACATATGCTAGTTTTGCTGGTGACCAGCCATGCTGATCTATGCAGTTTTTTTTTCTAGCAGGGAAAGTACAGTATAGTCCAATAGCACAGTACATTCTAACAGCACAGTCTAGCATATTATAGTGTAATAGCACAGTATAACACAGCACATTATAGTTCAATTGCACAGTGCACTGTAGTATAATAGCACAGCACACAGTGTAATGTCATAGTACAGTAGGGATTGTAGGAGCCAAACCATAAAGACCATCTTTTGCATTGTGTGTAAATATAAATAGTTAATTAACTTTTTATGAAGAAGTGCATATTTGTATATACTGCTGCTTAATGTAGTATTAAGATGCTAGAAGTGATATTTGTACTGATTATGTAGATACAAATGTCTTCAGGCACCATTTGTTTATGTGCAGAAAATAGGTGCACTGTCGCTTTAGGAGCTAAGCTGCTACGGTGCTGGGAGGACATGTTTTAGGCTGTGGGGAGTGAGCTGCAGAGGTTACTGGTAGCAACACAGTTTTCTTACCGTGTTTAGCGTTACGGTTTGTGTTGCATCTTATATTTGGAACAACCTAACCATGGTTTGAAAGTTTTGTTTTAATTTTATTTCATCACGTGTACAGTCTGGAATAAACAACCGTTTTTGTTCATTCGTACACGGAGCCCTGTGGAAGTTTCCTTTTCTTCTCTGAACAACGCAGACACGAGTAAAGAAGTTGCTTCAGCTCACACAGGCATGGTCTCTCTCTCTCTCTCTCTCTCTCTCTCTCTCTCTCTCTCTCTCTCTCTCTCTCTCTCTCTCTCTCTCTCTCTCTCTCTCTCTCTCTCACACACACACACACACACACACACACACACATCTCAGCAGGTAGTTGACGGTGTTTCCTTTCTCATGAATTACGACTGATGTCGGCGACCTCGTAAAGTGGCAGGAAAACAGCGGAATCAGTTTTTTCTTCAGTGCAGGTATTTCACATAGTCTGTATTTCATACTTTCAATCGTGTTTGTCTTGGTAACATCAGCGGCTCAGTATTGGTGTGAAGTGACGGTAAGGCTACAAATAGCCTACATGTTGACCATACGCTGGATCCAAAAGTTTCTTTTGAAGCCCAGAGTTTAATATTCGACCTTCGCTTGACGTTCAGGATTCCGTTCGTTCTCACGTATAATGTTAACTAGAGTTACAGTTTAACTGTACAGTGTGGGTAAATGACAAAAACAGAAGATACTACAGTCAGTACTTCTGAAGTGCAGACCAAGGTATGGCTATCGTGTTAGGGGTCATCTCGAAATTACCGGACAAAAGAGAAACGCTCACAAATCAATTACAGTGTAAAACTCTGTTTGTGACACGTTATCATCACAAGAAACCAACCCAAACCTCCATAAACTATTCTGTCTGCTCTGCCACATTATATAGGTTATTTTATCAATATCAGTTTCCGTTATTTTTTTACAGTTAGAAAGCAAAACTTTATCTAAGTCTCTGACCAGTTCATCTAATGATTTCAGACCAACATGTATTTTTGTAAACTTTTTTTTGTGAATTGTTCATTTTTCATAGCCAGATAAATCTCTTTCAGTATATGATCATATCAAACCATGCTCGAAACAGTTTACACAGAAATACACAGATAAATTTCCCTTACACAAGACTGGTAGAAAACATAGCATCATCGCATTAATTAAATAATGCACACCTTTAAATTATATAAAAAGGCATTTAAATGTGATTTACCTCAGTGGCAGAATAATAGACTAATGTATGCTATTAATGTAATTCCAGAGACCCACATGTCTAAATGACTTCGAGCAGGATACAGAAGCTGAGCGTGGACAGACAGCAGGGCTGGAAGGGCTATGGACACCAAGCCTTTGTGTCCTGTCTGACCGGCCTCTATAGCTGTCAATGGAAACACCACCAGCATACTGGAAGCCAGTTTGGTCATTTCTGCTGCAGTAAGGTCAGTGTGAGGGTTTCAGATGCACACAGAAAAAAGTAAATTGTAGGTAGTATTTCATGTTCATTCATAATATTTTTTCATGATTGATTTAATTCTTAAAAACACTGTTAGCACACATGTTTCAGTTGCACATGGAAAAAGGACAATCCATACAGTCATAAGTAAAATTTTGATGACCCCTGGTCTAATTATGTTTTGTTGATTTAAAGTTAATACATCCTTTACAGAGAACAAACTTCTGCACATTTTAATGCACAATTACTGTTTATTTGCTGAATTTAACACACAGATAATTAACCTGTTTTATTATTAACACATAATAAGTAACCTGTGCTAAATTTATGGCACATTTCATATTTTATGTTTTACTTTTTTTCCAATATGTTACACTCAAATAAGTAGAAATTGTGCGCAATGCAGAAAATGGCACATTTAAGTTTGTTCCCTGCAGAGGTGTGTTAACTTAATTCCTTTTAGAAAATTTGACAAAACCAGGGGTTTTCAAACTTCTGCAAAGGACAGGATCATAAGGTTTGCTTTGTTATGAACACCACATGCGTTATTGTTAGGCTTGCAAGACTACTGAGAAACAGCACTATATTGGGATTAAATATTGATTTTACTTCTTTAATCTTGCAGCTGGAGTGTGGCAGTTTTGCTGTGATCATTGTGACATTTTGTCTCAGCCTGGTTTTCCTCTACTTCTGGACTGAAGCACAGAATGACTACAATGACTTTGACTGGTTGGTGTAAATACCTAATGTTGCCTGGTAGGATATAAACCATCTTAAAATATAGAGAAAAAAAGTAAAAAACCAAGGCACTCCTCATTAAATATAAGACTTTGTTATAACATGGCTATGGACAAAAAATCTTGTAACATGTTTCCGCTTGTGCTGTCATCAGGTAGAGTCAGAGTCGGTCTAAAAATATGTCTAACTTTTAAAAGCATTTTAAGAGTAAAATTATTTTAAGAGTAGAGTAATGTGATATGTATTGCCTTAGACTGCATGCCCTTTAGAGCACTGTTTGTGCATTTTTCTTCCCCTTCTCTAAGTCACCCTACAGCTGATAAGATAATCTGGTGAATTATATCAGTTAGAATGCCTGCATGCAGGCACCTGACTCCCCAGCACTGAGATAGAAAAACACTGCTGTAGATGATCTATGTGGCCTGAAGTGGGATTATATTTCCCAGATGAATTTCAAAAAGAGTGACTTTCAGTGGAGCGTTCTAGTTTAAAGGGCCCATATTATACAGTGTAGGCTAAAAGTACAGTACAGTGTAATGGCACAATACAGTCTAATAGTTCAGAACAGACTAATAGTATAGGATGATAATACAGAAAGTCTAATAGCACAGTATAGTCTATAATGTACAGTATAGCCTATAATGTACAGTATAATCTAATAGCAATGTACAGTACAATCTAATAGTACAGTACAGTCTAGAAAAGAGTGCAGACTAATAGCACAGTACAGTCTAACAGCACAGTCTAATAGTAAATTCTAATAGTACAATGCAGTCTAAAAGTTCAGTGCTGACTAACAGCACAGTACAGTACAGCCTAATAACATGATACGGTCTAATTGTACAGTTTAATAGTATAGTACAGTCTAATAATACAGTATAGTCTGATAGCAAAGTACAGTACAGTTTAGCAGTTTAGTACAGACTAATAGCACAGTACAGTTTAATAGTACAGTCTAATAGCACAGTACAGTTTAATAGTACAGTCTAATAGCACAGTACAGTTTAATAGTTCAGTACAGACTTACAGTACACTCTAATAGTATAGCATAGAACAGTCTAATAAGATAAGATAAGATAAGATAATCCTTTATTAGTCCCACAACAGGGAAATTCTCAGTAACAAAGGGATAGCAAGGCACTCAAGAAAAAGAAAACAAGTAACAAGAATAGAATTAATAAGTAAGTAATTAACTTTGTTAATTACTTAACAAGGTTTTTACAGTTTGTTACTTGTTACTATATAGACAATATATATAATACTAAAAGAAAAATATAAGATAAAAATATAAACTCTATCCTTCAAAAAAAAAACAATATAAAGAATTATGAATAAATAAAAGCTAAGATATTTACACTGTAAGCATATAGCACTATATAGTGTAGTTTAATAGCAAATGCCCTGAATTTTCCTTCCTTGTTTTTGTAATGTAAAAGTATTTGATGATGAGTTTGATGTAGAATGTAAACATTGTTAAAGTTTCAAAACTTTAATGAAGCACTGCACTACACTGCAGAAACAGCTTGTTCAGAATTAATTGTTTTTGTAATGACAAAATCAATGCATTTTTATACAGTATATCTGCCTGTTCAGCCTAAAGCAGTTTAGCACTACTCATTCACACAAAAAGGAGTGAAGTTATAAGTAATTTCAGTCATGACTGCTTTTTGACTTATTTTACATGTATCAGTCTTAAAAGCATAATAACCAAAAATAAATATTTTGTTTAATTCTAAAAGATCGTTTTGAAATTGGTTATGTAAAAATTAATTATGGCTGCAAAAGAAAAAAAAGGTTCTTGATAGTACATGCAGGCTTGGTCTCCACTGCCAGTCCACAGCAGGGTTTGTCTGGATACTGTGTAAGGATTACTGGTAAAGCTCAAGTTTACCACCACACATCCATTTAATGTTCTTTTACAATGGATTTTTTTCTGATTTTTTCTAGGTTTAACTTTGGCAACTTGGGCTTTTGGTTCCCGTGGTCCATGGTGTTGTTAGTCACTGCTGCAGTGTTCTTTACCTACATTGCTTTTCTGCTGGTACAGATGAATTCTAGTTTTTTTGCAAAAGTCATCTTTCCTAGCTATGAAAACTCTATGTTAGCCCCTTAACCTTCACTGCTCTGGTGACAGCTCTAAACTTCTGGTCATCTCTCCAATAACCTAATGTTAAATCTGTTAATTAGCATGTAGTTCTGAATACTAAGCTCCAGGTGCAGACATAAAAAGATTACAGGGTTAAGAAGGTTTGCTTTGGTCTGAATCAGTTGCACCGCTCTTTCTGTTTATCGTAGAAAGAAAAGTATTTTTGAAAGACATATTATAAAATATAGGAAGATAATATTCTCATACACTTTTCAAGAACCTCTCTGTTGTGCAAATAAGGGTGTTTATTTGCAGTTGCTGTCAGTGTGCCTCCTCTCAGAAGGACAAAGACTGTATTTACACTGGGGTCACAAGGTAATCCTTCATTTTTTACACATATACACATTTTTTTAAAAAACATAATTTTGTTAGTTTTCAACTTTATAGCTTATTGCAAACATCTTTGTTTTAGATTGGAATATTAGTGACTTTGATATTCTCCATTGCGGCTACAGCAGTGCTGTCAGACTTGTGGAATGAAAAGTGGGAAACTGTACTTCTTTCTTTTCAGGTAGAAACACACAATAATAATTATTTTCACATATACACGTTTTGTTTGTGTGTGTAGAAATTCAGTATTTATAAAAAATGATACTGAAAGTCCTGCAATCTGTCTCTTTTTTAGATGACAGCACCATATTTGCAGGTGGGAGGAGTGCTGTTAATGATATTTTTATCTTGGCCGTTAGCTTCACATTTGTTTTGTCTGAGACAGAGAGGCAAGTCTGCTTTACATTTCTTCTGTCTGAATAGAAGAGGCAGTGTTTTCTAACCCTTTGTCATGCTTTACTTTAGTAGAGTTTCCTACTATACAAAATGCAACCCAACCCAACCCAAAGGCTGTTTATCAATGTGTTTCCATGCTTTTCCCAAAACATGTGTCCCTTGTCAACCTCGACTCCCCACGTGTAAGTGTGTCACCCCTACGTTACGCAAATGGCCACTCGCGGTACAAGGCGAGGAGAGGACGGCAGGGAGCAGATTACTTAATCAGAATGCTTTTGCCACATTGCCTATATTGGCAATGCTCCCGGACAGTTATTTCCAGTCAAATAACACCAGGCTCCTTTCTCTTTGAATGGGAAGAAACTTTTGAAACTAACAGCCACATGAACCTTAAAAACACGTTTGAAATGTTAACAGTTAAAAATTAAAATCACAGTTTAAATACAGTTAAAATCACTGACCAATACTGCATTAATAGTTTGTAGTGTTTAGCTCAAGTAATGCAAAAAACAGCATTTTTTTGTTTTTTAAGCTAGTTTTGGCTGTTGCACATGCACATCTCTAAAACAAGGGAGGGCTGTACCTGCTCTCGGCTTTGCCAGCAAGCTGATTGGCTCTTTTTATTGAGGGGTGGGAGTTTCTTTATAAACAGATTCCATGTTAATGGTTATAAGCTTTCTCATTCATTTTTTAAATAGTGGATTGTCTCCTTCTCCTTTATAATGTCTCTGCCTTTGGCTAGATTAACCTCAGTGAGCTATACAGTTAGCTAGTCAAGCAAACTTTGAAATGCAAAACTTTTTTTTTTTAGTTTGAACATAACATGCTTGCTTTGTCTGGCTGTAAACTTTGTTCTTAAACTTTAGTACCTTGGTGCTAGCTGTGTGTCCATTTCATGCCAACTAGCAGGCTAGCAGAGCAAAATAGTGAAGTTGTGTCAGCAATCATGTGTAACAGAGGGAGTTTGCTACCTTAAACCCACTGTGAACAAAGCAAAGTCTGAGGGCTCATATAATAAACACTGCTTGAACCAAAAAGTAATCGAACAGCCCTTAAGATGGCGTCGGGAATTCCCCCAAGGAAAGCATGTTAAAGCTGGTATTGAAACAAATGGCTTGCTGTTGCAAACTTAAATGCTGCTAAATCACATACTGACGTAGTCATTTTTTTAGTATGAAGATTTTACATTGCATTCAGTTGCCTGTATATGTGTGTTTATTTCAGTGAGGCGAATGGTCATTATTGCGCTGTGTGGGGCAGTTCTCATATCTCTGTATCTGGTGCCGCTGGGCATGTATTCTCCCTGCATTAAGGAGAGAAACAGTCTGGGTCCAGCTCCAGCACTAATTGGCCACAGGGGAGCACCAATGGTAGGTTGGATTACAAACTATATTCTGAATAGTATACACTGAGTTGCCAGTTTATTAGGTACACCTACATTGTACAATCTAAGTTCACTTTGTAAGTTTACAGTTACAGGCTGAAGCCCATCTGCACAGTTTATCATCCACCCACTACCCCATCCATCAATGGAAATGGACCACCATAGGACCATCACTGAATAGATATTCGGCACAGGAGTGTTTCTGACACTAGCCATGACGCTGATGTGTATAAAAACCTAACACTGCATTGTCTAAAACACATACCAGCACAACATATACCACTACCATGTAAAAGGACACTGCTGTGCTGAGAATGGTCCACTACCCAAATGATATAGTAGTGCTATGGTCATCCTTTTCAATTTATAGACAGTGTAGAGTGTGGCTGACAAATTGTACAACAGATGGGCTACAGTTTACACACTAATTGTGTGTCTACAAGGTGCAACTATATGGGAAGTGTGTCTGATAATAAGTCATTATAAAGAACATAAAGGAAATTTGACCTAGATCATTTTTTGCTTCAGGAATGACTCCTGGGGTTATATCAGCTTTAACTGGGTCTTTAGCATGTATCCATTTGTTGTGATAAGATTAACATAAGGTTAACATAGATCATAATTATGTCAGAATGTTTATTTTATGCTCATTTTTTCTGTGATGCACCTTGTAGTTCACATTTAAGATGGCTCTAGCACTGGCTCTCAGTGCAGAGTAATGGCAGGGTAATGTGCCTATCAAGGTGTTTCATGTGTGGCTGCTGAATCACAGCTTGCTCCAGAGAACACCTACATGTCCTTCGAGAAGGTTGTTGCTGCTGGAGGGGATGGACTGGAGACTGATGTCACCATCAGGTCAGTGCTTTCACACCTAATCTCATAAAAAGCAACACCTGCTGCCTCTTAGAATACATTCATGTAGTTAATACAACAGTTATTTCTGGTCAAGAATCCTATTGACTGAAATTTAATTTACAGCCCTTTGCAAATACTCATATCAAGAAATAGTGTAATCATAAAGAGGTGTCCAAAAGTAGTGTTAAGCAGTTTTCCCAAGTAGCCAAAATACTAGCACTACCACCTGAGAAGAAATTTGAACCCCAGTCTCCAGTGTACAACACTGTAACGTGCTATCTAGTTGTTATGAACATCTGAGTTTTACCTCAGTTTAAGAGCTCCACTGATCCTGACATAATACCTCTTCTTTTACATTAACAAAAACCTGGTTTATGATGTTATTAACACCCCTTTCTGCTAATATTATATTTGAATGTTGTTCCAAATATCCTCATTATGATGTTATTAGTAGTTATTATTAGTGGGATTTCCAAAAATGTGGTGACGCATGCATTCATGACAGGTCAGAGTTACCAAAGGTCTCCATAGGTGGCCAATACTACACCAGAGGGGGCACCCAAGTCTGATGAAGCTTGTGAACCCAGAGCTGACCTACAAGCTCTATTCCTGAGACAAGGCCGAGCCTCATCTAGCTGAGTGTCCCTATAAAAGACAATTATTATACACGCAGAAAAGAGGGCACTTATATAGTCTGAGGGCATAAGGGCAGACGTTCAAGCCCATCTTGTGCACATGCCAAGCCTGCAGCCTTACTACAGCCATGATATTATTTGTAATAGTACACTCCCTCTCATATTCTACTGCTTTATAATATCTCACCACATATGTGAAGATATTTGTATATATCTTTATGACACACAGCTATGATGGCATGCCCTTCCTGATGCATGACAAGAGCCTGCGTAGGACAACAAATGTTGAGGACATATTCCCTAACCGAACACGCAGCCCAGCTGCCATGTTTACCTGGAATGAGCTACAGCAGCTCAATGCTGGAGCCTGGTTCTTCTCGGTGAGACCAACAGAAGTGCACTTTAACTCCCTTGGCCTAGAGCATGTCATGGTGAATGAAAGCTATTTCTGACATGATCTGTTTAGGAATTGCCAGATACCATTCATTGTTGCATAGTTGTGATTTTACTTCCTTTTTGAAATTAAAGAAAACATGACACATAGAAAACTTCCTCCCATAAAGCCTTTAGGAAGTGGTTTATGCACTCTTTTGGATTTCCTCCTTTGTTCCACAGCAAAACCCCTTCAAGACAGCCTCCTCCCTAAGCCCAGAAGATCGCACTCAGGCTCAGAATCAGTCTGTGTGTACTCTAAGAGCAGTCCTGGAGCTGGCTGCCCAGTATGGAAAACTTGTAATCTTTGACTTGTACAGGCCGCCACGTGGTCATCCTTACAGAGACATGTGGATCTCACGCACTCTAGAAGTCATTCAGAGTGAGTCGTCCATTCATTCTAGCCAGGTATGAATCTATAGTTTCCTGTTTTGCCACCTTGTAAAGCAGGGGTCTAAGTTCAGTCCTGGAGACCTGGAATCCAGCACCTGTATTCAATATACCTCATCACTTAATAAGCAGGTTTTGGTAGGTGTGCTTGTGCAAGTATTGTTACCAACAGTGCTGGACTCTGGCCTACCAGCACCGGATTTTGAGACCACTGTGGTAAAGGTTGCATTGCTCCATTCTTTCTGTTAGCACATGAAAAAACAAACATCACCACAGTATGCATGCCAATATAAACCGTAAGAGAAAGAAAAAAAAGACAAAAAAAAAGATCAGCATGGAATTATTGTTCCCATCCAAAACCCTCACTTGCCCTCTCTGCAAATGCCACCGAGTTGAAGTTGAAACAAATAATTATACTATAAAGATTCACTACACTCTCTACTGACATAAGAAAGGCCTACAGATCTTTTCAAATTCCCAAAATGTATACTTCAAGCGTGCCGTCTCTGCAAAAGAAGTAAATTTGTTTTGTAAACAGCTCCCACACTGATGGTTCTTAAGAATTTCCCCAAAATTGAAAGCACATTAAGGATAATTTGTATTATTTGACCTATATGAAAACCTTTTTATATAGAACAAGAACACTGTTTAAACATGCAGTCACAAACTACATTATAGAATAATTAGTTAAATACACTTAAGTGGACCTGGATCTATAAATCCACTTCATCATTTAGTGTATTTGTGTCAATGCTTAAATGGTGCGCTCTGTTGAATTGTGTTGGCGCAGGTGTTGTGGCTGCCTCCGGAGCTGAGGGAGTTAGTGCAAGAGACAGACCCCGAGCTGCAGCAGACCTCAGGCAGCCTGGCCCCAGTGGAGGAGCTGCAACACAACCACATTGTCAGACTCAACCTACACTACAGTTCCATGTCTGAGGCTGAAATAAGGTGTGAGGATGCATATTGTATCTGCAGCAGTGCAGTGTTTGTAAAGTAACTGTAACTGATTGCACTCTTAAACTAGAAGTTTGGGAAAAAAAATCAGGTGTACACGATATTCCCCTTCCTCAAAATGTAGTCAATCAGCCAAGACATGTTTGGTGATTTGCACTGGAGCTATGAGGCTTATTTAGATAACAAGAAATTGAGGCCTCCTATTAAAAGTGTGCGAAACCAAAACTGGATTTCAGTCAGGACCACTATGTCAGAGAAAATATTTTGTTTGCGTTTGCAGTAAGTTATATTTGGCAGTATGGCTCTGTTCTGGGACCTCCCTGCCCTTCCATGTGCATACATGGAAAGCCTAAGGTGGGGAGAGCAGCAGAAAGACCCCAAATGCAACAATGAACAAGTCTGACACATCATGAGGGATGAGTTGGGGTGCGGGCAGGTTGCAAAGTGGCTTGCAGAGGAGTGGCAAGAATGGGCAGGCTAAAGAAGGTTAAATAAGCACCCTGATGATTTTAGCCAATCGTATGCATAGCAGACGATCAACTGAGCCGTCACTTGATTGAGATTGTGATCGTGATTTGAGACTGGGGTCTGAGCATGACTTCGTGGCTTGCCTGAACGAACGCTATGCTCAATATGTTGCTAAGTTATATGCTGTTATATGGTTTCTGACATACTGTATCTATGAAAATGGACAAAAGCACAGACAATATTCAGACTTTACAGCCGTTTTTAGCTATGCTTTTGTCTGTTTTTTATAGATTATAGTATGTTAAACAGTATTAGAAAGTCCATATGCAAGTCTGTTTGAGATTACTCACAACTTGATACATTTTGAAGCAAGTATGTGTTGACTTAGTCATGTAGTTTGTATGGTGCCTTTTCAGGGGGCATACATTATCATTTTCTGTTAGATACATTAGCCTCGTAGCTCCAGTGCAAGAGGCAAGCTTCACCAATCTCTTGGCTGATGAACCACTTTGGGAAGTGGAAATTGAGTACATTTTCTTTTTTGGCAAACTATTACTTTAAGGTCTTTCAGGTGAAAATGTAGCTAGCAAAAGCCAACCTTGATTGCTGCTTTTTTGTTCTAATGGAAAATGCCTGCTGTGACAACCTGTGACCACTGGCAGCTTCACATGACATAAACAAATGGTAAATGATGAATGGTAATTTTCTTTTCCTTCTGCAAAAGGTGGTTTATTTCTGTGAGTGTCTATTTGTGGTTTTCTGTTTCAGTAAGTACTCTGCTGTAAACATCAGCACAAATCTGTATGTGGTCAGTGAGCCCTGGCTGTTCTCTCTGGCCTGGTGTGCGGGTGTCCACTCTGTCACTACTAATGCTGTTCACATCCTCAAGAGCCTTCGCCGCCCCCTCTTCTTTATGGTAAGGCAAACGTCAGCTCACATTTCTCTCCATCCAACAGACTCAGTCCCACACCTTCTTTAGCTTTCTGTCTTTCGCCTCCAGACACCTCAGGAATACAGCGCAATGTGGGTCCTAACTGACATGGTGTCACTGATCGTCATACTTGCTGTCTTTATATTCCACTGGTGAGTGAGATAAGAGCTTTTAGGTTTATTTACACTCAGCTACAAGGTAGCTTTGTGCCCTATGTTTGTGCCCTAAGGCCTTCTTCTTATACACCATTAAAAAATAAAGGTGTCAAAAAGCAGTGCCATAGAAGATTGACTTTTGGTTCCCTCAGTAACCTTTCAGGGCATGAACTGTGTTTAGAAATTAGATGTGTGAGTGTGAAGAACTTTTTAAAAGTTAAAAGAACCTCCACATAATGTTAAAATTCTGCAGCAATTTAAGGTTTTTCCTAGAAACATATGACCCTAGCCAAGAACCATTTAGCAACCCCCTTTTTTCAGAGTGTACAGTACTGTGCGAAAGAGCACCTTTCATTTATTTAATTTACAGTAGTACAAGTTATTGGACTGACCACTCAAGAGTCCAGACCACATTATTGAATGTGTTTGAGATCATTTGGATTGTGAGAAGCAAAAAATGCAACCAACTTCTAAGACCGAACGTTGAAGGTGTTGAAAAATATCCCTGCAGATGAAATGAAAGCAGGTCTGCCAAAAGAATAGAAGCTGTAAAAAAGGCAAAAGGTGGACACACTAAATACTGAAATTGATTTTATATTTAGTTGTTGAGGCTTCTGTGTAATTTTCAGTTAAATAGTTAAATATAGTTCCTACATTTTTTCTGATGCTGAAAAATACTAGTTTCTGATTTTTGCACAGTACAGTATATTTATGGAATTCTATTCTATTTCAGAGACTTTCAGAGACATACATGTTATAAATAACTAATAGTTTAAGTACCTGTAAATATTTATCAACCTTTATTTATAGAGGCAAAATTCTCCTGCAGTTCCTGACTTACTTCTTTGGAAAGCTAGGGTGAAATTATTCAATATTTATCTGTAGAATCATGTTGCTGATCTTTATCATGACTTACTGCAGGTGGAAGGAGCACAGAGTGACTCTTTGCTCAGGCAGAAACACGATACATGACAACGGACGCTCCCCTGAGTTCAGGACAGGTCAGAGGGATATCTTTCTCTGTCTAAATAATCTTTTACAATCTTACCTGCCTTTCATGCAAAGTGAATGGGAAATGAACAGTTTGAGACCACCATCATTTATCACCTCTTCTTTTGTTTTGGCAGGAATGAATGATGTGTGGTCCTTAACAATGCTGTAGGAGAGACCTTGCATCATTACCCAAGCAGTAACACTGAAGATAGCTCTGGGAAGTGTGTATCATATCTCTGAAGGCCGTTTCTCAGAGTACCGAGCAACTGTACAGAGCAGCCAAGCTCTAGAGTTGTTCTAGAGGTGAAGATCAATGTCGGTGGAGCTCAGATTTTAGTGTCCAAAGGCGGCTTTTGATGAGTGTGATTTCTAACAGAAGCAGTACTGTCCAAAAAGTGGTGCTGGTCCAAAAGTCTGAAGGACTTATGAAGAACAAGGAAAAGCTTTGACAATATTGCTGACAATTCCTGATAGAGTTACACTACTTTTTCTCCCAAATAATTGTTATTCTCAATTTCACATAATTTTAGAGGCACCAGCAGGGTTGGCTTCTCCTCATTCTCAAACACTGCACTAAAGCGGACGTTTCCTCTGTTAAACTAACTGTATTTTATATTTCACTATACAATTTCCTAGAAAATAAAGGTGTGCAATGTGAAACAGATTTATTGATTTGGACCTTCATTATGTGACCATGTAATGCAGAAATTGATTTTTCACAGTGCATCTATTTCTCTTATTCACCTGGCTTTACTTCAGGCTTAATTTACACAGTCCTCCCTTTGTAGTTCTGGAAGGGAAGAATGTTCTGTTTCCCCCAAACACAAAGAAATTCCATGGAATTCCAGTGTAAGTTATGGGCATTATTCAACAAATGTTGGAACTGCACCTCTGGAATGCAGGACACAGCCTAACATAGAGTAATTTAACAGCTTTTTTAATGTGTTTTAACAGATTCAAGTAGAATATGCTTTTGGTGTTCTTCTCACATTCCCAACACAACCAGCACATTTTCAGAGCAATCAGGCAGATATTTCCTGAGATTTATCTTGAAGACTGCTGGTGTAACAATTATCAACAGTAACTTTTTATAAAGTTTTCTTTTTCTCGATTACTGAGTTTGGTATACAAGTCACAGAATTTACACTTATATTATTTTAATCACCTTCTTAGTGCCTGTAACACAACCATTTAGTAGTGTATAAACAAGTCAAGGCTAAAGTACACACTTCAAGGGTTCTTTAGTAAACAAAATGGTTCTATGTAGAACCATGAACACTCATAGAACCGTTTGCATGATTAAATGGTTCTTTGCATTGTAAAATGGTTCTTCAGATTGATGGAGAATGTGTTGTATATGGTTCTATATAGAACCTTTTTGAAAAGGGTTCTATATAGCACTAAAAAGGGATCTTCTATTATTGCAAGCTTGACATTGTAACAATAGAACCCTTTTGGTGCTATATAGAACCCTTTTCAAAAAGATTCTGTATAGAACCATTTCACGATACAAAGAACCAGTGTTTCTTTGAGAGTTCATGGTTCTATATAAAACCACTTTCTTTACTAAATAATCTTTGAAGAACCATCATTTCTAAGTGTGTTCAGCCTCCACATGTACCTTCACCTCAAAGTTATAATATTAATATAATATTTTTAGTTGTATTGACCGTATACCCTGTCTTGATTCCAGGCGTTTTATTTCATCTTTTCTATTTTATTATGAAAACGAGCTATTTATTATATTATGAAAAGGTACAAATATGCTAATATACTGCACCTTAAGGACATTGTTGTACCTTTGAGGTTGCATTTACACTGTCTGTACTTTGGGGGGCAACAGTTTACCAAAACAGTACCTCTTTTCTGAAAATGTAGAGATGTGTAGGTCGCTTATATCGAATTTATTAAACTTGCTCGTGTTTTTAAAATGTATATAGCAAAAAAAAAAAAAAACTGAAAAAAACAAACAAAAAAACTCATAATACATTAGGCTGTGTCCCCCTCACCCCAAGTGCACATACTTTATTTACAAACTCAGAAGTGCAATGCAGTTGCACTGAATCATGTCTCCTCAATAAAGTCTATTGTACTTAACAATAATACACAGAATAAAGTCTCACGAACATTTTAGAGTTTTATTTCTCTTTATAAAACAGCAGCCTTCATCATTAGAAAACGACAATGGATCGTACAGCACAAACGTCCTCATTTGATACTACAACCAATAATCGTGCATTCTTAAAGTAAACTTAATAAATAAATCGAACAGAGTCTAACAGATTGGGCCCTGCACTAGCCTGATAAAATGACTTGCTCTTTCACAAATACTTCAGCATATAGCTACGTAATACTTGGTCCAACACTTATGTAGGAAAAGATTTACAGCCACTCTTGCAAGTACCTCTCTCTAGAAAGTAAGTCAATTTGAAATGTACTCTGATCACATATCTTATAAAGGTAACATTCATGGAAAAAGAAATCAAGTAGAACATCAGAGGTATGCAGCTTATAACAGTATAACAGTACACTGGCCTAGAGTCCTGAACGCAGCATCAAACCATGGTTTGGAAATCCTTATAGATTGAAATAGGATCGTATGACAAATCATCAGATCTTAAGATTTAGGAGCATGCTGATGAAATTACATCTTTGTCAGTCACATATGTATTAGAGTAAGTGTAAGTACTGCTCAAAGGCACTAATGACTGGGCCAAACTGTGCCTTACTTAAAACATCAGCAACTTGAGGTTTTAAAATCATGGTGTGCAAGTTAGGATACTTAGCCTAAAGAGCAGATATATTTTATAATATTCTTAAACAGCAGTTTCTAAAATGTGTTTTCAGTGGTTTGATTGTTGTATTGTAACTCATAATTCCAGTAAAGGTATTTAAAATGCAAAGACAAAGCTTTATCTGACGTTGAGGGAGTCCCAGCATCGCTATAAAGTTTAAAATTAAGGCTCTGAAATGACATAAAAAGAGCAGTTAAGTCAAAAATGTTTTCAGTGTAATGGATTAGACAGAAAAAGGCTTGTCATTTGTTCAGTGAACAGAATGTATATATTTGTTCATGCATAACCAACAGTCTTGGTCCTCGCACTGCTGCATTACTTGCTATTTCCACGAGAACTGCGCTGTTTCGTCATTGTGGTCAACATCTGACTGATGTAGGAGGTCAGGAGGTCATCCATTTTGTAGCCCTGTGATCAAAGAAAATCAGCCCAAGCATTATATTTATTTATCACTGCTGTACCAGAAGTTTGAGGTATGATTGTGGCGTGTCATATTAAAATGCACTTCACTCTGAGTTTGACATGAAGCCCTGTATGACTCACCAGTGACGTCTCACAGAGCAGCTTGCTGCCCCTCACCAGGTTGCCGATTGTGATGTGGAAATATGTGTTCCCACTGCTCCAGTTAGAGATTTTGGTGAAGGGATGCGTCATTAAGATGTCCTGTGGAGAGCAGAGCTGAGTGAATATCAAAACAGCAGGTACACATCCATCCAACTTTTTAAACCAAGTCTTTGAAGCCATACCTTTGTTTTTGGGTCGATGAGACTAACACCATGCTTGTTTATAGCGATCAACAGGATCTCTGGAAAATTTGGATCTGTTGCTTGCTGTGACAAAGAAATTTGTACAAGAAACAAGGTTTAAAAGGAGTCATCAATACTTAAAGAAGATGTATTTACTTATGTTTTCAATTTCTCAATGAAACATTACAAAATACCTTATGAAATATTGTAGATATTTTTAAATATCTGCAAACGTATGGTACTGTGCAAATGTCAGAGATCAACCTTCATTTATATAATCTCAAATTCAATGTGTTCGGGATTACTGGACTCTGGACATCAGAGGTCTGGACACTGGGGTGGTCAGTTCATTGTTTTGAGAACACCAGCAGTTTTTTTGATTTTTTTTCATTTCCTTTTCTTATTAACTGCTTCACATCCTTATAGACTTACAGCACTGAGTTGTCTTCTCACAGTGGAAGGATGGACAAACACATGGTCTGAGTGCAGATCTGAAGTGTGCAAGAGCAGAGCTTGATTTTTCCAGATGAAAGCTTTGAGTACTGTTTATCTGATAGATGCAGTTTTGGTGGTCTACTAGTGGGTCTCCCATTTTATCAATATTTTTAAATATTTTTTTGAACCTCAAGTTTTGGAAACTCCTGTTTTTTACTTATTTCCCTTTGATTTTCCTCTTTCTTATGTTAATGGTTTACAATAATATCTCCTCAGAAATATCTTGTGAATAAATAATAACTTGCACTTATAAGCCATTTTAACTGAATAAATGAAGGGTGTTCTCTGGTTTGTGCACAGTACTCCACAGTACTCTACAATGATAAAATTGACAATAATTGCACATGGGTGTTGTATTGTACACTGGAAAAACTAACTTTGACTTCAAAAAAGGCAGATCCAAATGTGGGCCACTTGTAAACGATTTTCAGGAACATGAGTTTGGCTTCTTCTTGAGTTTTCCCTGCATGTTTGTTGAAGCATGCCACAATGGACTGTGGATAAAAACAGATTAGTCACATAATTCACCTGATTTGAAGTGTTCAGTAAATCAATTCAGCATGGTCATATCTAGTACAGTGCTCAGTGTCACTCACCCGTTTCCAGTCATCAGGAGAGAGCTGTCTGATCTGATCTTGAGGGACCAGCTCTTTCAGCATCTTAGAGATGTTGATGAACTGGGATTTGTCCTCTTCAAACTTCACTCGGTAAATCAGAGCTGCCAGCTGGAAGACTTCCTCAGGAGTGCACTTGTGGTAACCACGCAGATATTTAGGAAGCTCCTGAAGCAGAAGTGGAAAACATGAAGCAGCATATTAAACACTACTGAGAGGGAATTTACCAGTACTAGGTACATCGTAAAGAAATAAAATAAAGAGACATTTCACTGTGGAATATCAGTCAAAACACAATCCGGTGGAGCTCTTTACCTGGTGGTAGTGAAAGATAGAGTCAGCCATTGAGTCTTTGCCTGGCACAGTGTTGGTCCACAGTTTCTTCATGAAATACACCTGATATGTCAGCGAAGGCACTATTCCTAGAACATAAAGAGCATGTATATTTATTCCTTTCTTTCAAGAAGATGCTGAATATTAAATATACAACGAATAATCAAATATTATTACCATCCTTTACAGGTCTGGCTTTTTTGATCCAATCAGTGAGGTGTCTTACAAAGTCAAAAAAGAAATCTCCATCTGGCACACTGATGACCTGAGACAACCCAAGTGTTGTACATATTATGTTAAAGAGACACAATGCAAAATGTGAGACAAAACAAGGTAATGCTTAAGCCTTAGCCTGTAGGCTGTATAGGGCTACATGACATCTACATAATCTCATCATGATTATTTTACATAATCCTTCCTAAACATTTATAAAAGCTTACTCCAGTAGGCATGGTCAGGGGTGCTTTAACCTGCTTGTGGGTCCTGGGGCTGCAGGTGGTCATGGGCCCTATGGGCCTAGTTACAGAGAGCCTCCAAAAACCTTTGTGTTTAATGAAGATGCGCACACTGCCGCCACCAGTCAGTGACTGCAGCATTGCCATCCATTACTGCATGAACTGAAACCCAGAACCAGAATACTAAAGCCATAGTCGGTCATACTTGGACATGCCTGTGACTGCTGCACTATTTAAGATGGAACAAAAAAGTATAAGAATAAGATGCTGACAAATAGGAACTGGAGGGCTGAGAAATGGCCATAATACAATGAAAGCACTTAAAGTAAACAAATAACATTTTCGCAGTTTATTGGGTAAGCCTGTGATCAATCAGGGTAGGCCCAGGTGGCAGAGATTTATTTATTATTTAAATAAAAAAATAGGTAAGCCTGTGTATTAAATCGCCCATGGATCTGATCTGATTCTGTAAACTTTGATGTCACCTATTTTGTTCTGTCATTGGGTTGTGTCTTGCGTTTTTACAACTGACTTTGACCTGTACTATAGGTTAAATCTTATAAATGGTACATTGAAACTCACTTCACTTAAGGGACTCACTTTTGTTCAACCAGCCTGACTTGGCAAGTTATGTCATATTATCAACATCGTGTCACTGTGACATACACTGGGCCACAACGTCTGTGTCATTTCACCCCATAAAGTGCCATGACCACCTAATGTTATAAAAAATTACCTGGCAAAAGCAACTTTTATGACAAATGATGACCACTGGTGTAAGTGTTTATATAGGTCTATGATAGCTGTCATGAAAGGCTTGTGTAGTTGTCATGTAGCCTTATTAACCCTGCCCTACAGTGTTACCCAAATCAACAATACATTTTATAAATATGTTATACACTGTTAAAAATGTGTCTGTGAGCCTCTATGTGGGCTTTTCAGTAATGCTTGTCAATCTAAAAACATACGACTCTCTTGGAGATTACAGCAGGTCATGAACTCTTACAGACACCTCTTTGACAGTTCTTTTGATATCTTTACCAATAGACATTGCTGTTTTTTGGTAGGTTTACTCTACCTTGTCAGAAATCTTGACAAACAGGCTGAACCCCTCGGATGATTTGAGCCGCATTCTGCCAGAAATGTTCAGACAGAAGTCTTTGGCCTTTGTGCTTGACTCCACTTCAAAAGCCTGGAAAATAAGATAGACCTTAGATAAGCACTTTATCAGACACCTGTCAGGGGAAATAAAAGGAAGGGTCAAGCTCAGTATTTCTCTTTTTCTTTGAACTGGTTTGCACTTTTGCCTTGGGCGCGAGTGAGTGTTGGCAAAATATTTCAACATTATCGAAATGAGGAGACAGTTAAGGCATTTTTAATAAGTAATCAGTGCATTTTTATAACATGAGCTGTCCATGCCAGTTGATTAACAAAAGGAACAAAGTAATAAAGTACACAATATATACTGTTCACCTAAAAGACAGTCCTGTTTATTAACATTAGGCTTTAATCACTACCTCTCTGTTTTAAATTCTTGGGTATGCTTTGTTCTTTAAAGCTCAGTATAAACAGCCCCACTCTATAATTCTGCTGCTGAAATTAGTTTGGAATTCTAATGAGGTCAGAGCATGACAGCATCGCTCCTGCATCCTGAGGCCTTGCCAATTACAGCTTAGTACTGGAGCGAAAGTGCCAAGAAAAATTCCTCAAGCATAGATTGCAAACCATTAACCACAAAACTCTAAAATAATGCTTGGCTTGAACATACACTCTTAGCATGTTCTATGTAGTACTACAAAGGTTATTTGACATTTTTGGGGCTATATAGAACTATTTTCAAAAGGCTCTTTAAAGAACCTTAAACAACATGTACTCCATCATAGTGAAGAACCATTTAATCATGCAAAGAACAATTAAAGCATTCAAATGGTTTGGTGAGTTTTTATGGTTGTATATATAACTATTGCTTTCACTGAAGAACTTTTTAGGTTATAGGAAAAGGTGCTAGATAAAACCTTAAACTGGAATAGAACCATTACATCATTTACACTTTAAAAATATTATTTACACACCTACTTTATAGAAACAGTTCCTTATAGAACCAGCCATTGAAATGTTCTTTAAGGAACCCAAAGTGGTTCTTCTGTGGTATCACTCCAAATAACCCTTTTTGGTTCCATTTGGCACCTTCATTGTTAAGAGTGTAGTATCAAAAGCTGAACCCCACCTCATCTGTGTCATCAGGGAAGTAAACTTTGTGAAAGATCTGTGTGGTTTTGTGTTGGATGGCTTCCACTTCCACCAGGTGAGGAGGATACTTCCTCGAGCCATTTCTGAAAAGCATAAGAGTAGATAAGTTAATATAAAGGATGATATGAGATACTGCATTTTGTGGTTGTGCATGTAGTTTATTTTGACCGTTACCTCAAGGCTTTCTGCAATCTCTGCATGCAGTCCGGTGCCAGCGGGTGGTGCTTCCTGGACTGCAGAAACTTCTGCACATGAGGCAAGAGGTTGTTACTGGGAGGGAAGAGGCCAGTGCAAAGCCACAGCAGCTCCCAGCCTTTCTCCTCACTGTACCTGCACACAGAAAACACATGAGGTCAGCCTTGCGTCCATCACAAAATATTGTATCAGCAGCTGGTCAGGGGGGAACTGTGAATGTTTGCTCCATGATGGCTGATGAGTGATGAAGCATGAGAAAAACAGTAGTGTAAAACAATGTTTAAGAATAAAGGTTTTATTCCATACCAACTCCAAAATTACCTGCATATATAAATATATATATATATATCTGTTCAACATGAAATTTATGCACAATGTAAAGGTCAACAGGCATCTAAAATAACTATAATAAAAGTAGCACCATCCTGAAATTCTGCATTTTTGCTTGATTTTGTCCATGAAAATCCATTACATGACCTGCCAGGCCTGAGGCAAGCTAGCATAGAATAACTCAATATGAAGAACCTCTAAGTGAAATGACTTACTTCACATGGTTTTCAGTGAGTTGCTTCATGATCTGGCAGAAGATCTCATCCTTCAGTGGTTCGGCCTTCAGAGCTCCCTCAAAGATCTGATCAGTGAGTTCATTAACGGATCGAGTTCTCTTAGAGGGATAGTCACCCATATACTTCATGATAGGTACAGCAGAGGAGTCAAGGATCAGAAGTGCTCATGCATCAAGCAATAGCTGATGTAAAAAGCCAATGATATAGTGCTACTTCAGTAAAACTAGCTTGTGAAGGATATCGATGAAGGCCAGGCAGGCGTCCTGAGAGAGCTCCTCATGGTTAAGGACCTTCTTCAGCAGAGGCTGCTTGAGAGGTTCTCTGGAGCAGCACCAGAGCTTATCCTTCCCTCTGCCTTTAGTAATCATCACACGGCTCAGAGTGCTCTTAGGAGGAGGTCTGAAGCCAGAGGAGCAACACCAATATACACAAAGAACAAAAGAGAGACATAGAGAAGGATTAATGTCACTGTACGATGACGAGTAAATGAAATTTCATTTTTCAACTTCTGGGATATAATGCTTAGTGCTAGAAATGCACATGATGTATCGTAATAGTTAAGCAGGAAGGGGAATTCCATCCATTTTTCAAAAATTCTGCATAATTAAGTCTTTAAGATTTAAAGAAAGTAATTCAGAGTGGTTTGAATTTAAATGTGCCATCACAGAGAGACATATCAAGTCAGAATTGTTCATAGTGGTGGTGATAGGAACCAGACATCTGAAGCATTTAATGTTTACAAATTGTTTTACGAAGTCAAAAAATTGGGGGTATAAATTAAATATGAGACTATCTGCAAGTTTAACATATTGAAAAAAACATACAGTATAAAATGTGCCATAACATTTGTATAGGCAAAACATGTTGAGATCAGCATATAAACAGTAATTGTGCATTACGTGTGTGTTCACTGAGGACGTGTTGTTTTCACTTAGAAAATCAACAAAATATCACTTAAGCAGAAGTGCCCAAATTTTGCATACGACTATATTTCAAATCTATTTACACAGAAGAAGTACATGCAGTGCGTTGAAAGGAAAAACCCAAAGAAAACATTTTTTTCTGATTTAACTTCATCAATATTACAAATAAAAACTCAGAAGACACATGTGGGTTCACTGGTCATTTTGGACAGTAAATAAAATGACTGTATTTGCATTGTAGACATCATGATGTCTGCTTCCTATCACCATCAATGTAAGGAAATCTGAGTTAGTACATTCCTCTACAATGCACAGGTTCTAATAAACCTGGAAGGCACTTTGCAAAAGCACTAATACCTGAATAATACCTGATGACTGAATAAATGCCAATATTTCCATTTCACATTCTTTAGGGAACCCAAAGTGGTTCTTCTGTAGCATCACTCCAAATAACCCTTTTTGGTTCCATTTGGCACCTTCATTTTTAAGAGTGTAGTATCAGTAACTGAACCCCACCTCATCTGTGCCATCAGGGAAGTAAACATTCAGACATGCTGTGTTCAGACATTCAGCTTTATGCTTCCACAGAGTGTGGGGTGCTTTGGGTCCTGTATCTTCATTTACATGATAAAGAAGGATGCAATTTTGCAAGACTGCAGGGTACTGGAGAGGTAACGATGGGCTTTTATTCAGCTATTTAAAGTCTCATTATTCATTAACTACTGTGAATTATTCAGTAGCTACTCTGAAACTAATAAAGGTTAGGCAGTTAAAGAGAGGACCTGAAGGGTGGGTCTACATACAAGTCCTTGGGGATTAATAGGTTAATAGGTTAAAATACCTGAAGTGATCGTAAGAGAACTCCTCCAAAGTGTAGGGCTTCACTTTCTCCTCACTCTCCATCATGTTCAGCTGTGATAAACTTATGGAGTCCTTCCTCTGGTCTGGAGACATAGTTACCAATGCCTAAAACATAAATAAACGTAAATAAAGAGAGAGACAGAGGAACCACAAATTACATACAGTACTGTGCAAAAAGTAGAGCCCACTCTTTATTAATTTCATTTCCAGTCAAAAGGCCTCATAAAAGCTATTAACTTTTCAGGAAATGTTTCTGATGAGATTTGACATAGGATAATCCACTTGCATAACGAAGGAGAAAGTCAAAAGAAAATGTGTGAAAAAACAGAAGTTTTTTCAAAGTTATAGAGAAATCGTGCAAGACCTGGTAGACCACCAAAACCATCACCATCAGATAAACAGATAAACCGCTTTTACTTTAGATCTGAATAATAAATTAATAAAATTATTTGAAAAATGATTGCTAATTAAATAATAAGCCTGAAGTTTGCTGGGTCAAAAGGCAAAAGAACAGCTGACTTACCACAATATCATACTGTGGTCTGGTGACAGTGGGCAGCACATAGACACTGTCTGCAGGGAAGGCTCCTCTCTTTTTGGTCCTGTCATTGACTCCATGGGCCCAGCCAGAGGTCAGCACGTGGTCTCCTGTGTGTTCGTCCAGCAGGATCAAATCTCCCTTTGAGAAACTCAGGAACGAGGAGTCATGCCCAGCTGCAGAAACCAACACACAATACACCAGAGTCATTCACTGATAGGCAGAATAATCTTGCATTAAATGCAAGATGTTATATGCAAAGTTTGAAACACCCCCTAAACAATTTACGTTTTGTTGATTTTCTAAGTGAAAACGTCATCTACAGGCATCACACTTCTGCATATTTTAATGCACAATTACTGTATAATCTGACCTGTGCAAAAGTAATTGCATGCTATTTTATGGGTGTTTTTGCAATTTCTTAAATTCAGCAAATAGTAGCAATTGTGCACTAAAATTCACAGAAGAATATTAGATTTAAATGTGTTCCCTGTAGAGATTCCCTCACTTTCAACAAAATCAACAAAATGTGTCATTTTACATGGTTTGTTCAAACTCTGTTCAAACAAATGCATATGACTGTAAATAAATCATACATGTAAACAATCATCTCATCTTGGATTTAATTCATCTGTTTATATTCATGTTAGACTGTGCAAACATATGCTGCAAACACTTTGATGTGTTCTATATAGCTCACCAGTATTATGGCTGTCCACAAGGGCCACCACAAACTTTGATCTTTTACGAAGGCCATCTAAGAAGGTGACGACCAGCTCTCGAATGTCTTCAGCATTGTTGGAGGTGAAAGTGTATTCGTCTCCTTTAATGGTGGCCAGAGTGAAACTCTGACCCTGGAGCTTGCCTCCCCTGAGAAGAGGTGAAACAACTGTTTTCATTCACGTCACAGTCATTCATATACACTGGAAAAGTTCACTACACTGGAAAAATTATTGCATTTAATTCATCATTTCAATCTGAATAAGATAGATTACCTCCAAACAATTACTGCTGGAGTGAAAGAAATCAAAAGATTGTATTCATGTAATATATTTTATTTATTTGTAAATAATGTACACAATTGAATCTAGTCATATCAATGTACTACTTTTTTAGTGTAGTAGACTAAGACATAAAGACATAGTCCTTTACTAAGCAAGTTCAGAGGAGAGTCTTAGTCCAAAAATAGTCTTAATTTTCACCAAATCCGCATAACTAAATCTTCAAGATGTAAACAAAGTCATTCTAAGTGGTTTGATGTGAAATCAGAATTGTCCACAGTGGTGGTGATAAAAACCAGACAGCCAAAGCATTTAATGCCTCTAAAGGCCAACTCACAGATAGTTATTACATGAATTTTTAAAAACACTTTGCTGGACACATTGTCTTATGATAGTTTTGAGTTTGCAATAAGGTTGGGGCCAAAAACACATTATCAATGTTATATATACATGAAGTCAGAAGTTGCAGTATCTGGTTCCGATCACCACCACTATAAAGATACAAATATTCTACAGGAGGAAATTTCTCCACGATGACCCTTTTTACATCAAATCACTCTGAAGACTGAATCTCAAAAAAATCAGAGCAATCTGCCACTGAGACACAGGCATGAAAAGACTGATTGAGTGAACTTTAAAGTGTGGTGGATTTATTAATACAGAAAGTTTTATACAGAAAGAACTGCTACTTTATAAGGGATTTTTGCTCAATTAAACAATGGCACAGTTATTGGAATTCTAATATCGTGTGCAGTGGTTCTAAGAAGGAAAGCTTTAATGGATTACTTCAACAGACCTGCTGCTGGATACTGCAGTTATTTCAGGAAAGGAAAGTTCCAGAAGAACCTGCTCTTGTTCATCCACAAAGTAAACTCCAGTCCAGTTCACTGCTACTATCACATCATTCTTTGGCAGACTGGGCCCTGTACATGCAGAACAAGAACCATATTATGATGATAATTACCATGATATCTAAAAATAAGAGTCACATAAGAGGTATGGTGTCAAATACCTAGTGATGCACGGATCCGATACTCACATTGACAGTGATGCTGACCCGAATGAATCAAATATCAGTAGGAGATGATCAATCCACATTTACGTCACAGTAAATAAATAGCTTGATGTACCTAACCTAAACAGGTAAGTTAACCTGGCTGCCTTCAAATTTAGATTTAAAATTGCTCTAAAATGATAGCTTCAAATAATAGATTAACAGAATGTAACGTTTATTGTTCTGTTAATGTACTTTTAGAAGTTCAATGACCTGAAAATGTCACAGAAACCATGTTTACATACTTTTTAAAGTTTTTTTTTTTACACTGTACCCTTTCTTAGTCATGGTCAATATAAAACTGTTATACTGTGATTTTCTAAACCTTCTAATACAAAAACATACTTTGTACTTTTAACCGTGCTAATTGCTTTTTAAGAGTAATGGTATCAGCCAACACTCTAAATTTACATATAAGAATCGGTATCGTGAAAGAAAACTCTGGATCAGTGCATCCCTACAAACGACACAGGTGCTCTACAGTGGTTATACCTGAGAATTTGAAGGCCTCATAGAAGCGTGAGAAAAGCAAAGGCCACTTGAACCGAGCAAAATCCACCACTTCCTCCTTCACTCTCTGTGGGTCGAACCGCTTCTGTGTGTATATTCCCTGTGGACATTTAACAGTCAATAACATGTCTCTTTCTCCTCGGATCCCATCGCTCCTTGAGGGCCAGTTCATATGCATAAAATATTACGAGCACATGCAATAACAGCCCACTCCATCAATCCATAATATAGATCTCCAGCAGCATTAAAGATTCATGTCCATCACTTTAACCTATGGGAGGCATAAGGGTAATTAAATCAGGCTTCACCTTTGACGGAAGGAACGCACGATTAATGTTCCACGGTCATCATCAGTCAAAGCTCAACCTGCTGCTTCGATCCAGTAAAAGAGAACTAGCACTGTGTGTGCGTGATCGATACAGTGTTAGTGGACTAAACTGATGATGAGAGGTCTTATATTTGATAGTGTAGTCTCAATTATGACGTGTGGATAAACAACAGTTTCATTATGGAGTAAAATGGAGTGACAGTTCAACCACCTTATTGATGCTCTGACAGCACTGAAATCACACCTCCTGTTCATTGTATCTCTGTGTCCTTGACGCAGTAACTTTACAGAACGAGGGAAAAAATTTTCTTAATTTTAATGGAAGTTACTGTAACAATATTGTATTCCAAGCAATTTAAGATGCAGAGTAAAGCTTTGTGTACTGATGAGTCTAAATTTATACATTTGTAATTGGGATTATTTGGATCATGAGAAGCAGAAAATGGAACCAACTTCTAAGCCTGAATTTTGGAGGTGCTTACAAGAAGCATGGAAGAATAAATCTTACAAAATAAAACAAGTCTCCTGAAGAATAGAAGCTGTGATAAAGGCATTAAGCGCATACACTAAATACCGAAAAATTTTACAATATATTTAGTTGTCGAGGCTTCTGCGTAATTTTCTGTTAAATATGTTCTTTGCTTTTCTTCCTAAAAAGAAAAATGAATAACTTAATGGCTGTTCTGACTTAAAATTAAATCAATGAGGTGTGGTCTCTGACATCTTCCACAGTACTGTAGATATTGTCCTATTGCTCTTGCTTATTGCCTTAAAACAAGTGTTCAGCTACTCTGTTTATAATTTATTGAACAATTGTTATCAAATGTAATTTCTTATGGGATTAAAAAGTTTTATCTCATCTCACGTGTTTAATTTGCATCTGGGTGTCTAATGACAGTGATCAGTCTGCCTTGTCTATTAAAGAAACCTCCAAAACTACAGCGATGTAGTGGATCCAGGTGACACAGTGGGCGACAAATTGAGGCTAATGATAGAGAGCCTGAGACCAGAACATGATGACGGAGGCTTTTTTGCCCTATCTAAATTTTGATTATAACCTATTACACCACGTACAGGGTAGAGGGGACAGAGAATTATGGGAAGGCTGCCCTTGGCACAGAGATTAGAGAGCAAGTCATTGCCATGTGAAATGTTAATAACAGTGGGCAGCAATACAGGTAGGGATGCCCTTGAGAATGCAGTGATACATGCAGACACTATTAGAGACACTTATAGATAAGGGTTAGAAACAGATATGGGCAAGAACATCAGAAGATTACTGACCACTAAAATAGCATTATATAAAAAAGAAATAGTTTAAATGTGAATATGCTGGGTGAGTGAACAGTGACTGAGCCAAATAATCATGTCTGAGCAACATTAATTTCTGCACTGCAATTAGGAAAGAGCTCAGCTGCTGATTTATTGCTCTGATTAGTGGATACCTTTTTGTGAGTTGCTATGATGACCTGGGCCCACTTGTCCATGGTTCTGGATGAGCTGATCTCTCGGTCTGGGATGTAGGAGGGGATGAGGCTAAGCAGACGGTCCTGCAGAATGTCCACACCATACTCCACATAATACTGCTGAGAGGCCAGCTCAGCCAAGTCCTCCTCCTGATATCATCATCATCACACACACACACACACAACCCCATATATGCTACAGTTCAAAAGTTTCACATTATCAACCATATAAAACTAATTTTATTGCAGATACAGATATAATATTATTGTAATATGATGCTAGTACTGTTCAACTTCATGAGTTTCAAATAATTTGTAGGAAGCTGTAGATTAGCAGATTAAGTAGATTAAATCCCAATGTCTACATTTTAGAAATGAAAGTATCAGTGTTTGTACAATATATGGAAAAAAAGAATTGAGACACACCTCTTAATCATTGAATTCAGGTGTTTCATTCAGCCCCATTGCCACAGGTATTTAAAATCAATCACCTAGCCATGCAGTCTGGCTTTACAAACATTTGTGAAAGAATGGGTTGTTCTAAAGAGCTCACTGAATTTAAGCATGGTACTGTAATAGGATGCCACTGTTGCAACAAGCCAGTCTGTGAAATTTCTTCCCTCCTAGATATTCCGCAATCAACTGTAAGTGGAATTATTGAAAAATGGAAGCGATTAGGAAGCACAGCAACTCAGCCACGAAATGGCAGACCACGTAAAGTTACAGAGCGGGGTTGCGGAGTGCTGAGGAGCATAGTGCATAAAAACTCGCCAACGCTCTGCTGACTCAACAACCGCAGACTTCCAAACCTCCTGTGGCTTTAACATCAGCACAAAAACTGTGCGCCAGGAGCTTCATGACATGGGTTTCCATAGTCGAGCAGCTGCATGCAAGCCTTAAATCAGCAAGTGCAATGCCAAACATCGGATGGAGTCGTGTAAAGCACGCTGTCATAAAAGCTCCTGTAGGTGTAATGTGTAGGTTTCCCTGATACATTCATATAATGTATCAACATCAGCAGATGCACACAAGAAAATTATCGGATATCAACATTGGCCTAAATTCCTATAACGCTGCACTCCTAACAATTAATTTAAGATTAATTTAAAATCATTTAAATATACACCTCAATACCTTCTGGTGTCTTGTTTATAATATTTTAATATACACCATATAAGTTGTTATTGTATATAAAATAACAAATATTAGTATGACAAGTGATTCCAAACTTTTGAATGGTAGTGTAACTTCATGCTATTCGTATGGCTCTAACAGTAGGTGGGGTGTCATATAACAAAATAACAACAATTATCAATGTGACAAGTGATTCTAAGCTTTTGAACAGCAACGTACAAAGAATAAGTTCAGGAAATTCTGGACTGGATATCAGAGGGAAAACGTTCCATCTGATTCGGTAACAAATCTATCCTGAAATGGATTTATGTATTGTTGTTACCTGTATATTTATTCCTGTAAGGGAGTAGAGTGTTTGAGCATGATAGTCTACTTTTAGATGCTCATCTTAAGTGAACTGCTTCATAGCTTAATTTAAAACTTAGCAGTTTTTAAAGAAAAATAATTTATATCAGTATCAAGATTTAAATATCTGTATCAGGACCAGAAAAGAAAAAGTGGTATTTTACCATCTCCATTCAATATACCATCATATACTTAAAGAACAATCCGTACCCTATCACAGCGGTACTCCCCAAACTTGACACCACGGACAATTTGCTGGTAGATGAGGTTAGTAGCTACACTGTCATCAGAAGGGTTGTGCCACGGTGTGAAGATTTCCTTCCTGAAGAACAGCCTCCAGGGGGCGTTACGCTCCTGAGCCCCTTGCTCTTTGGCATACTGCTCACACTGTGACACTGCATCCATCACATGGTCCTTTCCACTGCCCAGGGATGATACCTGAGCAAATCAGACATAAACAGAATGATAAGATGCCTAGAAGATTTTATAACTACAACCTTGCTTCCACAAAGGTTGGGATGCTGTGTGAAATATAAATAAAAACAGAATGCAATGATGTGCAAATCATTTAAACTATATTTATATTTAATTGAAAATAGTACCAAAACAACACATCAAATGTTGAAACTGAGAAATTTTATTGTTTTTGGAAAATATATGCCAATTTTGAATATGATGCCAACAACACATCGTAAAAAAGTTGGGACAGGGGCCATGTTTACCACCGCGTTTCATCACCTCTTCTTTTAACAACACTCTGTAAGCATTTGAGAACTGAGGAGACCAACTGCTGTAGTTTTGAAAGTGGATTGCTTTCCCATTCTTGCTTGATATAGGATTTCAGCTGCTCAATACTTTTCAATGGGGTGACAGGTCTGGACTGCTGGCAAGCCAGTTTAGCGCTCTGACTCTTTTACTATGGAGCCATGCTGTTGCACTATTGCACCCACCATACTATCACAGATGCTGGCGTTTGAACTGTGTGCTCATAACAAGTTGGATGGTCTCTTTCCTCTTTAGTCTGGAGGACGCAGTGTCCATGATTTCTTAAAAGAATTTCAAATTTTGACACATTTTCACAAGACACTTTTCCACTTTGCTTTATTCCATATTAAATGAGCTTGGCCCAGAGAAGGTGGTGGCGTTTCTGGATCCTGTTTATATTTTGTTTCTTCTTTGCATGGCAGAGTTTTAACTTGCATTTGTATATCCAGCGATGAACTGTTCCACCAGGTGCTTTCTTTAGCATTACACAACTTTACCAGTTTTTGTTGCCCTTGTTCAATCTTCATGTGGCTGGCATCAAATTCAAAACGGGCATATATTTTCAAAAAACAATGGAATTTCTCAGTGTATACATATGATATGTTGGCTTTGTACTATTTCCAGTGAAATAAAGTATTTAATCGATTTGCACATAATTGCATTCTGTTTTCATTTACATTTTGTACAGCGTCCCAACTTTTTTGGAAACTGGGTTGTACTTGAGTTTACTCAAGATAGCCTCAGTGATAGTTTATGTTTACAGTACTGTGCAAAAGTCCTCTGTTCATAGATTCAGTTTCCAGTCAAAATGGCTATTAAGATGGGATTTTTGAAAACTGGAAATGGTTAATAGATATAGAGAAAATAGGACTCCTAACAGCTGTGCAAGACCTGGAAACCACCAAAACTATCTCCATCAGATAAACCACCTCAGAGTCCAGACCTCAACATCATTGAATGTGTTTGGGATTATTTGGATCATTAAAAGCAGCGCAACCAGCTTCTAATACTGAACTTTGGGGGTGTAGAAAAATATCCTTGCAGATTTCTTTGTAAGACTGAAAGCAAGTCTCCTAATGATGGCAAACAGTGGACACACAAAATAATAAAAAAATCTGATGTTATATTTAATTGTTGATGTGTGGTTTTTTTCATGACACTGAAAAATTAATATTATGTTTTGATTTGAAATTAAATAAATGTAGGTAGGTCTCTGACTTTTGCACAGCACTGTATATAATAGTCATCTTTGCATTGGTATCATTGTTAACACTGATATTGAAGACACGAAAGCTGGGCTGAACATGCCTTATCAAAAAGAGCAATGTACAGGGAGAAGCCAAAGCGGTCCTTTAGGCCAATCTTGTCTGCCAGAGCATTACAGAGCTCTTTAGCTGTGGTGGCTGAATCAGTCAGCAGGGTCTTAGTGGTGCCATCCATGAAGGTCACTGGCAGCATGATGGGCTTCTTGGATTTAGTGGCCTGCAGGAGGAGAGAAAGATCCAGAAAATCCATATTCCAATTTCCATTTTCTAACACAGCTGGCTAATGGCTGTAGGGGGAACATTTCCAGCACCTGTAGCTCGAGCCAGGAGGGAGGCTGAGTTCTTGTCTTGTTCGCAAAAGTGCGTCTCAGTCTTTCCTCACAGTACGGGGCGTAGCCTGGAGGCCCAACGTTGATGAACGCCCGCAGATACTAAGAAAGATAACAAACAGACAAGAATGGATTGTACTTGCATAGGGTCTCCTGACAGGAGACTCAAACATCTAAAACAAGAAGTGAAGGTTCCTTTACTTTGACAAATTTCTCCGATGGTGCAAAGCAGCCCACGCAGAGTGAGAGCAAGATCCAGCCTCGGGCGTGGCTGCTTTTGGACGGGTTCTGAGTCAGCTGCTTACAGATCTGACAGTAAATCTCATCTCTGTAAAAGACAAATACGCTGATGTAACAAAAATGTACATGCTTTGCAGTAAGACACATGACAAATCATTCCTAAAAAAACAAACACAATAATTGACCTCAGGGCAGGCCGTAGGATGCCATTGCCAATGATGAAGTGGAGTTTCTCAAGGTTGGAAGTGGGCCGGTCCTCCAGCATGCTGTTCCCCTGTATACTGTATTCACCATCAGTCAGCCGTCTGGTCACCTAAACAAGAAGGATGTTAAGTTTTTTATGCAAAACTGAAATAATTAAATATTTATATATCTATACATTAGATAGAAGGTTCTCACCTCCTCTGTAATCTTTGTCTTCTTCTTCAGAGTGAGAGAAACCAGTTTATGCCTGACGCTGTTCCTCTTTTGGCTGTCAATGATGGAGCTCTGAAAGAGGGCAGACAAAACAGTCTGGCTTTGGTGCACGACAAAACTTTTGGGTTATTGGGTTATAGGACTGCTGGGAAGTCACAATAACAAGACTGACTGACACTTCTTTCCATTCGTTTTTTCTCAGGCATATGGTACACTTTGGTTGACATTACATCAATAAAAAATTCATAAGAATTTAAATCTAATAAAACTTTCAAAAATTAATTTTCATAAGTTTCTCTGTACTTTTTCCACCCTTGGCAGTGATGTTATACATTGCTTCTTCTACAAGTCTCTCCTTAATGTCCTTCCTCATGTTCTCACCTCCTCCTCCCCCTGCAGGGCCTGCAGCTCTCTCTTGTAGGTTCTCTTGCCCAGTGTCTCATAGATCTTGGTCATGACTGGGATCTTCTCACTGCCATCACTGACACTGATCTGATATTTGGGCTCTGGCAGATCTCCCATAAACCTCAGAACAGTCACCCATACAGCCAGAGCAGCCTGCACACGCAGAAACAAAACCACCACACACAATAAGAGAAATCATCCGCTAAGACTACAGTGTTGCATCAAAGTGCTTAACAATCAAGACTATTAAAATGGCAAAGGTCTTTTCATTTTAAGAAGCAGAATAAAATGAAAGACAAATTAACAGAATACCGCAACAAGTACAGCACAAAATATATTTGGCAGTTTACAGTGAATAGTTAAAACTAAAACACAAAGCTACTGCTTTTATCATTTCTTTATACACTTTTTTTATTTCCCCCATTTTTTTCTTAAACAGGTCCTCTTTCATTCTCAAGTCATAAGTCATTGACTTCCATCTCCAGCCATTGACTTTGGTTGGAAGATTTAGTCTAGGGCCAATTTCTGGTAATGGCCTTCTTACTAGCTGTATTTTGTCCAACAGTCTGAGCTGTTTCAACACAATCTCTGAAATAATGTCCAGGTACAATGTGGTACTCCTCTTCGGAATCATATAGCCTCACTCAGGACTGAATGCACCTTTTAGAGCCACACTTTTAACTTCAGAATTACACTGTAAGTTTACAAGTTTGTGAGCTGTGAGCAAATGGAAGGACTGAGTTATGAAGAAAAAAGAAGAAAAAAAATCTCACCAGCTGGTCACCTTCATCTTCATGGAAAAGCAGAGGCTGTTTAAGTGGCCGGCGCACATATGTGTGTGTTGTATTTCCCTGGAAGTAGGTAGCAGCAAACTTTGCAAACTTGTACTCTGACAGATCCTCTTGTTCCTCTTCAGGAAGAGGAAGAGCCTCATCAATGCTGTCTTCTTCATAGTCCTTAGAAACCTGCTCTAGGTCCTATTATAGATAAACACATATTAAACAGTATTGCTGTAATGGTTTTATTGGTCAAAACTGTTTCTATTCAGGCTCAATGCAAATAAAGTGCCCAAAAAGAGATAAACCTTTTGTATTGAATTTTCCTGCTCTTACCTTTCAATTAGGTAAGAAAAATAGCATAATAATGATAATCAAATAAAAAAATAAAAAAAAATAAAAGAATCGAATTGATTTAGGAAATCTGACAGTTTTAACAATAGTCTTTTCCAAACAATTGTTAAAAGTACATACTGAGACACCTAAAAAGATTTGAGTGTTAATAAGTGCTGACATCACAACAAGGAGTGAAATGCATGTGCTTTGATATTATTCCCAAGTTAGCACTGTCACAAACACTGTCATACATTTTTACATTTATCGTTTTTGTAAAGCAAAACCTGCTCATTCTTTACTATATTTCCATTTCTTTTTCTTGGGATGAGGGGAAGATTTCTACCCAGTGTTTCCCCAAATTTAGTTGAGGCCAATTTCCACCCACTAGCTAGGTCTCCACGATATCATGTAATGCTGCCAGTGTTTTCCAACTGCCATTAAGGTAATGTCACTAGACAGCTTAACTCACTTGGAGGAGAGCACTAACTGCCGATTATGTTACGTCAGCTAACCGACATGGAGCTGAGTGATGGGGAGACATAGGGCCATCCTAATCATCCAGAGAGAGCCAGGCCAATAATGCTGTCTTGGATTCCTGGTCATGGATGGCTGCGACATCGTCAGATATCTCTGCATTTCTATTCTATTGATGAAAAGCTTTGTTTTCCCTAAACTTTTGACAAGCAGTGTATATCACTACTGTCTAAACAAAACTTCTCCAAAACGGTCACTTTACAGGAGAAGGAAAAAATATACTTTACTTTCAATGTAAGTCAATGGAACCAGACTTCTCTCGTTTCCATTCATCATGAAATCTACACACATTGTAAAGGGCAACAGGCATTTTCAAATTATGGCAAAAACTGAAAAACGACAAAAATGGAGAAAGGTTTTGTTCCGACAGCAGCAATATGCTAGAAATTTTATGTAAACAAAGAACTGCAGCAATATGTTCAGCTGTGGCTTTAAGACAGTTAATGACAGAACAATGTGAGCAGCGTGATACATAACACAGTGGTCACCAACCTTCTCTCTGGAGATTTTTTCCTACAGAGTTTAGTTCTAGCTTATATCTAACATGCTGTTCCCTTTATCAGATAACACTAATTAACCTGATCAAGCCAATCACAGACATGTTAGTAAGCTGAAGATGTTAATTAGCTGGAGCTGTAACTCAGAAAAGCTGCTTTATCATTTTAAGTTGACATAAACCTCAAATCCTGCAGGTGCTTCTCCCTCAAGGTTGGGCAGGGATGTAGAGTTGCCCAGAAAGCCGAACATCTTGTCCACCATCTCCGAAACGCTGACAGGTTCCTGCCTGGCCTGCTCCATCTGCTCCAGCAACTCCTTCTTCCTGCGTGCCTCCTCTCGTTCGGCCATCTCTCTCTCCTCCCGCTCACGGGCCAGCTGGGCCAGTCGCTCCTGATGCTTCCTCTCAGCCTCAGCCCGCGCACGCCGTGCCGTCATCAGATTCCTCAACCTCTCCTCTTCAGCCAGACGCTGACGCTCAGCCTCCAGCCTGTGCTCCCTCTGCACACACACACACACACACACACACACACACACACACAAACAAACATACACAAGCACACAAAGACAAACAAACACACAAAAGCAGAGTGAGAGAACAAGAGGTCAGAGAAGATTCACAAGAACTGAAAGGTCAACACGTTTTCCATAAAGCAAACAAGGACACACAGTGCCTGCTAAACATGAGTGAGTTAAAAGCCAGGTCCATGACGTGCTTTGCACCTAAAAAGTTAAGGATTAATTAAAACTATATACAGCATCTCACCATATCACTTATGTTCAGTTCTTGATGTGATTTGAGTTTGAGAATTGCTGTATTATATGTTTCTGTTATAAACATCTTTTTATATTCTGTTGTTAGCTTATTACAGGTTTATATATGCACAGACCCAATAAGATGTGCATGGGAAGGTGGAAATTCAACTGCTTTCATTTTATAATCAAGTTTCAAGCCAATTTTCAAACTTAAAATCCTACACAAGTATTGTTTCAAATAAAATTAGAATCTTTAAATATCATGAAAAAAGAAAAATAGTATGTGAAATAAAATAATAATAAAATAACTGGTAACACTTGTTATTTACAAAGCTACATGACAATTACATAAGCCTTTAATAACAAATATATTTAATAACATAAATCTTCATAAGCATTAATAAAGCTTATCCCAATATGCGTCAGCTGTCACAAAGCCTGTTTTTGTCAAGTTGACTGTCATTTCACTTCAGAAAATGTGTGACAATTGACTTGTTGGAAACAGCTTTTAAAATGTTTACATAGGTTTATGTCAGTTGTCATAAAAGGCAGTATGTGTCATGTAGCCTTATGAGTGATGCCCTTCAGTAGAGCATTATCAAATAACTTTACTAGGTAAAATGACATAAAACAAGCAAATCTGTCTAGAAATAAGTTGAATAATCTGATAATATTCTCACAGCAATCATATAATGAGAAATATTAGTTATATAGACTAGATTTAAGATGATTTCACTTGCCAAGATATCATATTTTGCAGTGAAGCTTGGTGTCTTGTCTACACTGCTAAAATATTCTAATCAAATTGAATATTTTTCTAAAAAAAATAAAAAATAAAAAATCCAGTCAATTCATTGTAAAATCAGATTCACCTCTATGATGGCTATTCATTTCTATTTATTATTCTATGATTCTTTTTGTAATTTCAGTTGTAGTTTTTATTTACTACAAAACTCCTGTTATAAAGTATTTGCAGTGAGCAGTCACACTACTGTACCTCTAATCTGAGGCGCTTGCAGAGTCTGCGTGCGATCATGCCGCGAGCATAGGCCTGGATTGTGCGAATGGCATTTAAGCGTTTCCAGAACGTCCGTCTGACCAGGAAACCACGGCAACGACCCTGCAGCAGAATGATGCGTGTCCTGGCATCTCGGTACACCAAGTAATGCTTCCGGGAGCGGCACAGGGCCTGCAGCCTCAAGAAACCTGCACGCATCTGCAGAAGAGGCATGAATCTAGTTGAATAATTACTATAGTGACTGACTGCAGCCAAGTGGGAAAAATAAGGTAATTTTGTTTTTTACACAGCTGTAAAGCTGTAAATTCAATAAAAGGTGATAAAACATACCACTCTATAGTTCTTTCTACAGATATAGCCCCTCCACATTGTCTGGATCAGTGTCACCGCTCTCTTAGCCTTCAGGAAGTTGGCTCTGGAGGTCAGAAACGCAGGTTACATACAGATACCCCTATGTTTTACATCCATTCACCATCCATTACCTGCATCATTACCTGTCTTTCATTCCACGCACTGCTTTCTGGATCAGGATGACCTTGTCTGTGATGGTCTTGTCCCTCTCAATCTCCAGCTGCATGTCATGGTGATCCTACAATATGATAAGACCAAATAAAACATTTTTCTGCCTCCACTCTGTCAATGTCTTTCCATCTGCTTAATCAGTTTGATCAATATTTAGCTTGTTAGTGTCCAGCTGCACAGTGGATGTCTGTTTTTTCTTTGCAGTCTTTCAGAAACACTGTAAACCAAGGCCTGTAAACCACAAGTGAAAATAATTCCACTAATCCTATTGTTCAAATGCATACAATGTTTTGAGAAATATCAAACCTTGAGGAAGATCTTTGTCTTCCCTATCTGCCAGTCATCATTTCGCCCCAGGACTGATGTCACTATCCTTTGGCATGTCCCCCGCAGATTCTCCTACAAAATGTTAATGATTGGTCATAGAATATAAGCTGAAAGCAAGCCTTACAGACTTTGTGACTTCCTAAGTAACAGACAGGCCCATTTTTTTCCCTTTGCCTCCATATAGCACAAAATCTGCAGATGTGCTTGAAATTTTGCAGTATTTGTTCATCTCAGTTCATCTTAGTTTCATTCTGTTCTTGTGGTTCAGCATCTGTTGCTCACACTGCTTATCATACTATTTTAGATCAAAAGGACCCCAGAAGGAAAAGATTTTTCCCAACAAACTTCATTTTCTATGTTGGTACATGCTGGATGTACTAACAAGTTCTACTGTAGTTCTGAAAGGAACTTAAGTTTTTAGACATTTTTTGGACTTTTTGTGTACAGTTTGTGCACTTTATTAATGCTATTGACCCACTTGTAAATGGGCTGGTTTGACACCAGGCATGAGGACCCGGTAACGGTCCACAAATTCAGCGAAGGTGTAGCGAATAGGGTATCCAGCCCGGCGGATCCGAATGGTCTCCATCATCCCAGAGTACCGCAACTGCCGTACGCACAGTCCTCGATCAAATAACTGCATTAGAAAGAAGTGCAGCAAGAAGTTCATAACACAATGAGCTCTGAAACAGTTCTTTATTCATTTTCTCAATTTTAAATACAAGATTTTCCTATATTTGATAAATGCATTAAATGCGGTTGTGACTATGGGGCAGATTTACTAAGAGAGGCACTAATTACTGACAGTCTACTGACACTTTGTGCCAGTGGGTTGGCCAATTTAGAGGGTTATATACTAAGAATGTCTATGCAAATTAACAAAGTTGCAACATTGTTAACATAATAACATGAGATCACTACGAGATACGTGCCTGGTTCACAATTGTTTTTGTATGAAAGCCTATTTCCACCAGGTAGGTTGAAATATGGGTTGAAATTATGTTGAAATAATGACTTAATTATTATGACTTAATATTTCAAGACTTTGACTTAGTAAGTCAGAATAATGACTAACTTGAGTTATTACTTATTGAGAATGTATGTGATTATTTAAACATCATTTCAACAATAATTATTATGACAAAAACATCAGAAATTTGCGCAAGTAAGTAATTATTATGACTGTTCATGTTCATTCTGATGATGTATGCTGATCTTTAGTTCAGCACCAAGTGCATATGGACGAACCTCTTTGACACTGTGAAATCCCTGTTTAATTTCATGGAGTGCACCTAGGTAATTTGGGAATTATTGATTTTGAATGTGACCATTTAAACTACAGCACACAGAAGCCAAAGTGTACACAAATAACAAAGCCACAATAGCTTTAGTAATGTATTGAGTTTCAACATGTGCTTTTAATAACTATTTGGAGAAGAAAACTGTCAAATCATACTTTAGGCAAAACCTGCTCTGTGACTATTTGCTTTTAGTTTTTTTTAATTTACTTCATCAAAAAAGTCTAAATAAATAAGACAAAAATAAATAAATGTGTTTGAAAAACTCTCTCTTTCCAAAAATAAGTTTTTCACAGGCATTAAATAATGCACAGTCAGTATTTACTATCAGTCTTGGTAAATCTGAGTAGCTGCTTCATTATAATAATCTCTCATTACACTGCACTTTTACATGGAAACTCCTATAAATGCACATACCATGAGGCATACATACATACATACATCATCTAAACCGCTTATCCTTCTGGGTTGCGGTGGGGTGCTGGAGCCTATCCCAGCTGTCATTGGGCGGAAGGCAGGATACACCCTGGACAGGTCGCCAGTCCATCACAGGGCAGACAGACAGACATACACATTCACACACTCACACCTAGGGGCAATTTTTAGCACGTCCAATCGGCCTGATTGCATGTCTTTGGACTGTGGGAGGAAACCGGAGTACCCGGAGGAAACCCACGCAGACACGGGGAGAACAGGCAAACTCCACACAGAAATGACCCTGGTCGCCCGGCCGGGAATCGAACCCAGGCCATTCTTGCTGTGAGGCGACAGCGCTACCCACTGCGCCACCGTGCCGCCTATACCATGAGGCAAAAGAGCAAAAAAAAGCAGTGACTGCCTATTTGATGGTATTTTTGGGTGCTATGGGCTGTTGTGTTTGTTTAGTAAATTGCAACACTTTTATGTTTTATGCAAACACTTTTATGCAAAACAGGTATGTTTTGCTCCAACTGCAGTGACCGCCAAAAACAAACACACACTTCTAGGCACAGACTCACCATTGGCTTCTTGAGCTCGTTGGGTTTGATGCAGCGCACGAAGAAAGGCTGACACACACTCAGAGTCTGCATGAGCAGCTCCAGCGAACGCTTGAACTGACTGCTCAGAGTCGGAGAGCGCTTTCTAGTCTCCACACCCTAAACACACACACATGTACAAAAAATCAATTACACATCACAAACACTCACTTACAATCATGAGCATAGAGACATCTCCCTCTTATAAATACATATGCAAAGAAATATGCACATACATGCTACTAATACACACCACACGTCACATATACAGCATACATGTTCTCACCACCATACACAGCACATATACATTTAAACTGCAAAATACACCACATATACAGCATATATACCAAATACAGCAGTTATACATTTAAAACACCAAATACAGCACATACACATTCGAAACAGACCATAGTGGAGGATTTACATTTTCACCTTGACAATATCTATCCACCAGTCCTTCCATTTTTTTACACCTCCTCTTGTGAATCTTATCCTTACATGCTTTCTCCCTCTCTTTTTTGACATTCTATCTCTTCCTGAAACTTTCATTGGTTCCTTATATGTTCCTCTCTGTATACTTCTCACTCTCACTGCCTGAGCTTTGTGTTGGAATAATGAAGAAAAGACGCTGGTGGGCAGAGTGAAAAAAAATGGAAGGACTTGGAGGCTTTTTTTCCTCCCCAACCTCATACGGTGCCAGGAAAGTCATACAAAAACAAAGCTTCTCCTCAGTAAAGTGCAGAACACCAGTAAGACCAGGCCACATTTAACTTGAAACAGAACCATATTTCCCTTGATTTTTATATATTGCTTTGATGACTACATTTTCCCAGAATTCAAATTCATTACCACATATAAAGCCACTACTAGACTTAACAAAATGACTCAGTGAAAATGCTAAAGCTGAACACTCTGTCATAGATAGTTTCCACTGAGGAAAATAACCACAGGAATGAGTTCTGGAGAGAGATACTGCAGAGAGATCATTGCTGGTTAACGGTGCAGAGATGCTGTTTTTTAGCACTGAGGATGGAAGCCTCAGAGGGACACACAAGCACCAAGGATTGATTACCTTGTGAGGGGATGTGGTGGGCTGTAAATAGCCACAGAGAAACTGAAGCCAGAAATCAGGCAGAAAGAGAAAGAGAGGGAGAGAATTGACAGAGAAAGAGAGAATTGACTGGTGTTAGCCAAGTCTGCTGAGGCAGAACAGCAAGAATACACTCAGCCAAGACTTAATAAGCTGACATCACCACACAGAGAATGGGAAAAGAAGCAGTGCTGTCCAAACAACACCTAGAGACAATAAACATGAAGGAAATGAAATCTCACATCACAATAAACCAGTGTTAGTGAGACAACGGGAAAATTCCCAACACCACACACTCACAGCAAGAAACCCTCTCTAATCTACTGGCGATACTTACAAAGGCCCAGCACTTTGGCATTTTCGCTTTCAATATGAAACCCAACATCAGCTTTTCAAACACAAACTCAAAACTGACTCCTTTGCACTGGTATGCACTCCTAAGTTGGCAAAAATTGGGCATATTAATGCAGGATACATATGGATTTCATATTGGAAAAGGGCATCACCATAGCGACGTCAGCCTGAAAGATCTGCTTGATGAACTTGTTTTTGGAAGAATGCACCAGCTGGATGATGTCACTGTGGAGGCTGTCTCTGTTCTTCTCTAGAAAACCTGTACAAATGACATGCAAGAGCAACTTTCAAAACACTCTTAAATAAATAAAAGTGCCAGGAGGAATGACAATAATAAATTGGTTTCATTTCAAAGATGAGTGCCATCTCTTTAGTAGGAACACAAAACTAATGGATAGAAGTCAACATAGAGCTGTCAGCCCTGGACTAAAGAGAAATGGGCAATGAAATTGTAAAAGGATGTGTCATTGTGAAGCTGAAAATACATACAAAGATAAGAATTCCTAAAAATAAAGAACAGGAATACAGAACGAACCAACAAGGCTTTAAAAACATTTGTCTCATTCTGGCATCAGTTGAGAAACGAGGTGTATAAATGAGTAAAGCCATTTGTTTCAGCATTTGTCAAAAACTGAAATATTTTGATTAAAAAACAAAATATATAACAATCTAAACTGTAGTTCATGTCTGAGACTACTGTAATTTTTCTATTTTCTCTTAAAATTTTCTCAAGAAATTACAGGGCCGTCACTGTGAACTCTAGGCTGCTGTGGGGTCTAGAGCAGGGGTTCCCAACCCCAGTCCTGGCGACCCTTTGCCCTGCACATTTTTGCGGCTTCCATATTCTGCACACCTGACTGAGACAACGAGGCGCTTGTTAATTAGTTAATGAACTGAATCAGGTGAGTTTGATGAGGCAAATCACAAAAATGTTTAGCGTTGGGTTTTCAGGACAGGGAACCCCTGCTCTAGAGGGTTAATAATAAGTAGATGTGGAGTAAATTACCAGACTTTTGTAAACAGAACTGTATTTAATATTTTTGTTATTACTTGTACCACTTTTAGAAATTTCATTATTTTGGGAAATCTCGTTATGTGCAGTGTGACAAAGACAGATTAGCTACTCTCTGAGATACCTTTAGTTTCATAGTGGACCACACCAGCAAAGTGCTGAATGCCAAAATAGGTCTCATGACTGTGCTTAGAGGGGATGTAGTTGATGTTGAGCTTGTGCTGGGAGTTCAGTTTGCTCAGCATGGTGGCATCAGTTCCCTAAAAAACACAAAATATAGCAAAGCATTCAAATATCCACATCCACGTCAAAAAAGCCCCTTTCCAAAGCTGAGAAGAGAGTATATCAGAAACCCCACCAGCACTAGGGGGTTTATCCATCATTATTCATCCAAACATTCATGCAAGTGCAAGTGAACTGAGTCAAAGTAAATCAGTCATGTGACTGGAATCTCACCATAGGTTCTGTAATCCCCTGCAGTAATGCATAGAGGACAATGCATATGGTTCAAAGTGAATTCAAACAGTACTATTGTCTAGGCACTGATGTGAGACCCTATAGATGCTCCCTTTGATCCAGAATTTCGAATTGTGGCAGAGGTCTTAGGGGTCCTCTGGAAGAAGTCTAACTATGAAATGACCTATGTTTTGATGCACACTACTTTCACAGTATATGAAGAGTTTAACTGTAAAATGCGTTATAGATCACTTTAGAGAAGTGTCAAGTGTCTTTTATCATTATATACGTTGTTGGGAATGAGTTTTACACATACTAGAAACATCAGTGCTTTATTACAACTAATACAACCTTTATTAGAGAAATAAAATGTGTTTTCCATTATATATCAGCTATTCAGCTATCAAAAACTTGTTATATCCAAAATTATTTCAAATGAATACAGGACACTGAATTTTTGGAACGAAACTCATATTCTTGCGGTTTACCCTTGTAGTTTTTTCAAAAGTACTTTATATCTTTATCAATACAGAATTCGAATTGAGGGGGGCTAGGGGGTCCCAGATCTCCCATAAGAAATACAAACTGAATTACACTGACTACATTAGCAAGTAACTGGAATACCACAACTAACAAAGAGACACCACATCTTATTTCTACATAAAAGTAGACTTCTCACCAATGGAGGTACTCGTCATCTACTTCTCAACGTTTTTAGCAAAACCTTGGTGATAACAATGTACAGGATGGTACATACAAAAGTATAATAATATTAATATTTGAGCTGAATATTTTTTAAATTATTAAACTGTTCCACTGTACAGCCCTGATGTTCACTCTCCGGTGTTCTGATGTATTGTGCTACCTTGTCCAAATGTCCTACCATAGTACAACATTATTAGGTAGCTCCTTACATAAAACTGTAGGAAGGAAGTTTGATTAGGATATTAGGTAGGATATTTTGACAGCCTAAATCATCTTATCAGGGGTAAGTAGTAATATTAAGCTGTACAATATACTTGAGGTAAAGCTGAGTCAGCATTAAAAACAAATTATTATTAGGCTGTAGTTTATTAGGCAAAAAAATTATTAGGCTGTAGTCATCTCTCTCCTTGTCAACCGTCACAGCAGATGAGCAGTTGGATGAGTCTCTCGCATAAACATATATACCAATCAGCTGGCCTTATTCTTGTCAGATCCTTAGTTCTACACTCATTGTCCATTTTATCAGCTCCACTTACCATATAGATGCACTTTGTAGTTCTACAATTACAGACTGTGGTCCATCTGTTTCTCTTCATATTTAGTTAGCCCCCTTTTACCCTGTTTTTCAATGGAAAGGAGGCGGATCATTCTCAGCACAGCAGTGACACTGATGTGGTGGTGGTGTATTAGTATGTGTTGTGCTGGTATGAGTGGATCAGACACAGCAGTGCTGCTGAGTTTGTAAACACCTCAGTATCGCTGCTGGACTGAGCATAGTCCACCAACCAAAAATATTCAGCTAATAGTGTCCTGTAGGCAGCATCCTGTGACCACTGATGAAGGACTAGAGGATGACCAACACAAACTGTGCAGCAACAAATGAGCTATTGTCTCTGACTTTACATCTACAAGGTGGCCCCACAAGGTAGGTGTGTCTAATAGAGCACCTAATACAGTGTTTAAAAACTCCAGCAGCACTGTTGTGTCTGATCACACTTACACACCACCACCACGTCCGTGTCACTCCAATGCTGAGAATGAGACAATAGCTTATCTGCTGCTGCACAGTTTGTGTTAGTCATCCTCTAATGCTTTACCAGTGGTCACAGGATGCTGCCCACAGGACACTGTTGGCTGGATATTTTTGGTTGGTGGAGTTTAAAAGCTCAAGCAGCACTGCTGTGTCTGATTCAGTTGTACCATCACTGCAGTGCTGATAATGATCCACCGCCCAAATAATGCCTGTCCTGTGGTGGTCCTGTGGGTGCCCTGACCATTAAAGAGCAGGGTGAAAGGGGGTTAACTAAGTATGCAGAGAAACAGATGGAGTCTTTAATTCTAGAACTACAGACAGTACCAACATGGTAAGTGGAGATATATTTCTTTTCAATATTGGGTATTTCATCACACCTCTAAGTCTCCCCTGTGGTTACCTTGGGGAACTTGCTCTCCTCGTCGATCAGAGAGATTATGTTCATAGGTTTGATGGCGATCATGTCCAGGGCCTCCTGGTTGTCAGTGAACTCGATGTGCTGCCAGTTGATGCCCTCCAGGTTGTACTCTTCCTGCTCCAGCTTGAAGACGTGCCGCACAAAGAACTGCTGCAAGTTCTCATTGGCAAAGTTGATGCAGAGCTGCTCAAAGCTGGAAAAAAGGTCCGTGATTAGAGAGAGAATTTAAGTTCAGCCATCAATCATCATCAAGCCTGAGGTAACTACAAACTCTGAATATGAAAATAAATGAGCGCAAATGATGTTGATATAGTTTCAGACAGCAGTACACACCTGTTGATGTTGAAATTCTCAAAGCCAAAGATGTCAAGCAGCCCAACGGACCTGCGGATAGTATTGTCCTCAGAGGACGGGGCCCTGAAGATTGCAGCGTTGATTTTGTCCACTATCCACACAAACAACCTCCCATATATCCCCTGAAAAAAAGATAAACATCATTAGCTATCATCTAACGTACATCGGCATTATTTAACTATGAAAAGTTCGTAGTAGGGTTGTAAATCTCTTCATTACGATTTGATTCAATTACGATTCTTTAAGAACTTATTCAATGCATGAAATTTCTAATTTCAAAGTTCAATTTGATTATTTTAGCACTACTCAGGCCTAAAACATGCAGAAATACACTGACTATACAAATGTCAAATGTCACAGAGAAACTATTTACACAGCAGTGCTGAAGGCATTAAAACAATATACCAAGCGGTTGTGTTTTTATTTTTATATTAAACATTTTTTTTATTTAAATAGAATATAATTATAATCGATTCTATCATTCCAAAATCTATGCAGCTGAATTGCCACCTTCAGACCTATTCATGACGCACTTCACACCTATTCACTGACGATACATTTTTGCACTCCTAATGTCTGACGTCATTATTTTGCCTAAAATGCTAAAACAACTTAGCGCCTAACCTTGACGAAAGCATCCCGAACATCAAGCCCCTGATCCACACTCAGAGGGGTGGACACACTCTCCCCTCGAGTGATGAGGGTACGAGTGGTCAAACAGCTCATGACATCTTGATGGTCCACCTGTAGAAGAAAATGTACACATTTTCATGAAACACAGCTGTTCATACTGAACATTTCAACATATTTTCCAATAACTTTGGCCTTTTAGTATTTCAAGACAATAAGACTTCTGCTCTATGCTCATACACTGTAAAATGTATATTTCAAACATAAATTTACAGTGGTGGACTGCAAAGCGTTTACTATAATTTTTCATCAACAAAATCACAGTTACTTTTGTAAACACAGCACAACTATAGCAAGCTACAGTACTGTGCAAAAGTCAGAAATCACCCTTCATTTATTTCATTTCCAGGCAAAATGTCTGTACAAACTCATTTTTCAGGAGATACTTTCGAAGAGAGTAGAAATAAGAATATTAGCAAAAAAAACATGGCTTTCTAAAACTGGAGTTCAAGAAATGATTAAACGATACAGAGAAAATGACAACCACGCAAGACCTGGAAGACCACCAAAACTGTAACCATCGGATAAACAGCACTTTCATATTTAAGAGAGAGGACAAAATCAAGCTCCACTGCTACTTCAGATCTGAAACAATCACAGGTACTACTGTCCATCCTTCCACTGTGAGAAGACAACTCAACACCATGAGCCTGAATGGATGTGAAGCTGCCAAGAAGTCGATACTAAGAAAAGAAAATAGACAAAGAAAAAAGAACATTTGCAAATCAAACAAAGAAGCTGCTGGTGTTCTCAGAACAACAGAGTGACCACCCCAGAGTCCAGATCTCAACATTATTGAAAGGATTACTTGGATTGTGAGAAGCAGACCAAACACAACCAACTTCTAACACTGATTTTTGGAGGTGTGGAAAAATGTCCCTGCAGATTTCTTTGAAAAAACTGGAAGCAAGTCTCCTGATAAGAATGGAAGCTGTAATAAAGGCAAAGGATATTGAATACTGTATTTAATTGTTAAATGTGCTTTCTACTTTTCTCATATGCTGAAAAATGAATACCTTGTACTTTATTGCCTTTTTGAGGGTAAATTAAACAAATGAAAGGTGGTCTCTTACAGTTCCAGTTTCCAGTACTTAATTCCACACAGATACAGGTGGCATTTTCTGTCTACCCATGGATTTTCCTGAAATTCTGCATGTTGCCACCAGGGGGCAGATGCACAACTGAACTGTGTAAAGCACAGCACTTTGTTCACACTTAAACTTTCAAACTTTGCAGCTGTCTGTGAGATGGGAGTGCAGCGCAGTGATGAAGCAGTGGAGAGCTGCAGGCAGTGTGAGTGTGAAGGCCACGCTGCGCACACACACTCCGATAACAACATCTGATCCCTCTCTAATGACTGCATTTATCTCCAACTCCCCTTCTCTCCCCTCTAACAGCACTGATAACTCCCTCCCACCAGGATAATGAGCAAGCAAGAGAGAGAAATCAGAGACAGACAGTAAGAGGGAGAAGATGGAAAAGAATCAGCAGAGCACCCTGCTAGCTGCTGCCAGATGATTGACAGAAACAAGCAGATATGAAATATGCTTCACTCAGTTGAGTCACTCACAGCTATACATACAGACAGACTGGGACACGACACGGTGAATGACGTGGCTATAACCTCAGACATACACACAGGTTTGTTTTCATACAACGACAGAACAAGGAGACATACATAGACAGTCATATGCAAAGGTGTGGGCACCCCTAGTGAAATGATGTGTTTTGTTAATTAAGTGAAAATAAGTTACATCATACATGCTCTACAGTACAGAACACACTTTTGTACATTTTAATGCACAATTACTGTTTATTGGTGAATTTAACATCTTGGGGAAAGAAAATGTGGCTTGTGCAAAAGTTATGGCACATTTATATTTTATGTTTCATATTTTTTAATACGTTAAAGGTGCTGTGTGTAAGATTGAGGGGGATTTATTAGCAGAAATGTTATATAGTTTATAAATCCATGTTGTCATTAGTGTATAATCACCTGTAACTACAAATCACTGTGTTTTTGGTAGCTTAGAACGAGCCCTTCATATCTACACAGGTAGCAGGTCCTTTTCGAACAGAGGCTCCCATGTTGCGCAACCATGTTTCTACAGTAGCCCAGAAAGGACAAACCAAACACTGGCTCTAGAGGGTGTCTTTCACATTTTTATGTTGAAGCAGCAGCTTGAATTTGGTGCTGTTTGGAAGACATAGAAAGAAGAAGAATCAGTGGTTGCTGCTGGTTCTGGCTAACCATTTTGTGTTGTGAGAAGAAGAACATTTAGCAAATGGAGCATCATACTTATTATTTAACACAAGAAAAAGCAAGCGAAGGTGAATTATCATCCTCAAAGAAGAGAAAACATGAAGAGGCAAAATGAAATTGGGCCAGACGGCACCAGAAAACCTGATGGGCACCGTAGGTTCCACTATACGCATGGAAATAGAGCAGTGAGGGAGGGATTATTCATTTGGTTGCAATCTGCAGCTTCACTGCTAAATACCACTAAATCTTACACACTGCACCTTTAAACTCAGCAAATAACCAGAAATGTGTGCTAATGTTAGCAGAAAAAAAATTATTTGTTCCCTGTAGTGTTAAAATCAATAAAACGTCTCATTACTATTACAGTTGCTCCCCACACGTGGTCCCACTCCTTTCTCTGTTCAAGTCCCTTTTGTCTTTGTCTAACTCTCCCGCTTAATTATCGTAGTCACCTGTGTGTAGTTTCTACCCTTCTTCTCCAGGAGTTTCTACTACTGTCTGCTGTATAGATAGACCTCATGTTTCTCTTCCTGGACTTGCATCAATGTCAGGAAAAGTAGCTGCAATTATTCCACAGGGTCCCTAAGCAGTACCCTTATACACTCTACACACTGAGCATGCAATGTCAGTAAAGTCCACTGCAGTTGATTAAATCCCTTCATCAGGAGTGTCCTGCAATGTCATAAAGCATCAAGCACTCTTCAAGAGACATGCAGTAACTGATGGGAAAATCATCAGCTGTCAAACATCAGCATTGACTAGCATTGTGCTGAGTGTAGAGGTCATTATCAAGCTCTCTTGGACTCCCAAGAACGGATGGCTGTGGCATCACCTAGGAATTGAACTTTCCATCTCCTAATGATGGGGTCAATGCTTAAATAAAGTTCCCAACTCACACATATATCCTGCCACAATGCTTCTCCATTCATGATAGATATATTAATGTATATTTTCCATTCTTCCCCCACAAATTTACCATTTCTAAGATGCTAGATTTTCTTATGATATCTGTAATTTCTAAGTCCCTGAATTTTCTAATCCTAATCCTAAACTGAAGCCTAATCTTTACCTAAATAACTAAAAAGACCTCTCAACTAAAAAAATATATGAAATGTGCAGCATTTGGAAAAAGCACTTTACAACAACAGAACCCTGATGTTGGCTCCCCGTTTTTTCTTTTTTTTTAACATTGTCAGGAACACTCTGGGCCTGAAAATGCATGAAAACAAGCACATTCAGTCACCCACACCAACACACACACACACCCCACACACACACACACCAACACACACACCCTCCTCACCTCCAGCAGAGCTGCTGCTTTAGTCAGGTCAGGAGAACGCACCACTACACAGGCATCCAGGTTTTTAAATGTGCGGGCTGTGAATCAAAGAATTACACAGATCAGTTCATAACTCAGTGCTGTCATAGAGATCATATCCCAACAGCTGTACACAGATGTTTTGTCTGTTGGTTTGTGTCTCCTGTGGTTTACCCTCAAAGCGCAGGTTGCCCATGTGCAGGACGGCAGCCAGCAGTTTGGAGATCTCCCAGTTCTCTGTGTCTGTGAACATCAGGACCTTCATGGCTGACAGGATGCTCGAGTACTCCTTCATATCATCCCGCCCGTCACACACTGTACAGTTCCCCTGGAGAGCAGCCGAGGACAACAGGACAGCAGAAAACACACACACACACACACACACACACACACACACACACACACACACAGTTATGTAAGTACATTTTTAGGTATCAAAAACAGCTCACACACGAATGTCTATATTTATACGTTGGCCTATACATATCAACGTTACTGATACAGTATTTATTAAATAACAATTGGTTTAATAAATATTGGTTTAATAATATTTAATAAATAAAAATAGGTGGAGCTTAAAAAAAACCCGCAGCACTGCTGTATGTAATTCACCAGCATAACACACACAACCATGTCAATGTCAGTGCAGTGCTAAGAATGATCCACCACCTAAATAATACCTGCTCTGTAGTGGTCCTGTGGGGTCCAAACCATTGATGAATAGGGTAGTAGGGGGCTAACAAAGTATGCAGAAAAATAGACTACAGTCTGTAATTTAGGACTACAAAGTGCACCTGTATGGTAAGTGGAGCTGACAAAATGGAAAATGATTGTAGATACAAGGAGATGTGGTTAATGAAGTATCCAGTTGGTGTATAACTAATATCACAGGAGAAATGATTTAAGCACATGTTAAGGCTGAAACAGTGCTTTATTCTGATCAGACGAATGCAGTCTCTCACCATGGTTAGGTAGTTGTAGTCTGTAGCCAGGCCGAGTCCAAGTTTAGTCTTCTGGTCTGGGCTCATGCCCTTCAGCATGCAGTAAAATATGTGGTAGTTTCTCTCATCTGGAGCCTGTAAAACAACAGCGTCTCTGAACTTATGAGAAACGTCCTGATCTACAGCATAACATAGACTAGAACACTTCCATAAACAGCCTGCAGTGAAAAAGTAAAGGCGATGAATATGGATTATTCCTATGTGTACATCACTTCCACATGAAAAAATAATTAATATTAGCACGATTACTGCTAAAACTAAATAAACAGAAAGACAAATTCATGTTGATGTAATATGTTTTATTCATGTGGAAATGATGTACACATTTAAGTAAAGCAAATGCAATACATCACTTTTTCTGTGTACTTGCAAGTTATATTAAAGGGTCCATACCCTACATTTTTAATGCATTTTATTTTCTTCACTAGGCGTCCACTGATAAAGTTTGTGTGGTCTGACCAGTCATAATTCATTCTTACATGACAATTTTTCAATCTCTTTTTATCTTTAAGAATTAAACAGACTGTTTTCATTGCTGTGCATTTTAGACTGATATCTGGAAAGTATCTCTGTTTATAGTGGCTGTCTTGTGTTTTGTCTCATTCAAAGCGAAGTCCAGGCTCAAACCCTCCTTATAACTTCAGTGAGAATGGGTGAGCTAAACTGCCTTAGGTGGAAAAGGTGAATAAGGATATTTGCAAATGTGCTGTTTTTTTGTGACATTACAAACACAATGAATTCAGAACAGGCAAAAATAAAACATTACTATATTTTATATATTACATATATTGTATATTCCTGTGAGATAACAAGGAGTCATGTAGATATGCACTGTGGCCCAAACGTCCAGCTTCTCTTACCTGTCTGCAAACTCTTGACTTCTCCAGCAGGTACTGCTCTATCTTTGCCCCCTCAATAGCCCCCCTCTTGTTGAAGTGAATATCAATGTATTTCCCAAATCGGCTGGAGTTGTCATTCCGTATTGTCTTAGCATTGCCAAACGCTGCATGAACAAGAGAAATTCCCATTAAAACAGAATTAATTCACAAACATTTCTCTCATGCATCACTTCACTGAAGACTAACAGAGAATGGGTTTGTTAACGTGTTTAATATGATAAAACAGCTTCGCTCTAGAATACAGAAGCACTGATGTACAGCGGACCAGCTTCATAGTTTGGTTTGAAGAAAAAACAGTGTTTGAAGTTCAGATGAGTTTTGTTAAGCATCTGTCACAGACACTGCTAGGAGGTCAGATGGGAGTCCTACTGGGAGCTGAAGCCTGCTAATGAATTCCCCTCTGCACTACAGAAGAATCCCCTCCCATATGGTTGAACTCCATTAGCAGGAGCTGTGAGCAGCAGGTGAGGTGTCATATTAGAAGAACAGAGCAAATCCTTGAATAATTCCCCATCATGAAATCTACCCAGGAGGCCAAACTGACATGCTGACTACTGGTTTAACCCTGTAAAACAAATACTTCAGTGCTTTTCAACCTAATCTCTATCTTCTGTATAGTTGCTTACCATGGCAAATAATAGAAGCCACTGGGCAGTGGCTAAATTTCTGCCAGTAATCTTTATGTAAAATATGTATTTCTGTAGAAGACTTTCAGGAATTCTTTAGTAAACTAAGCTATCAATCATAGTATAATGACTTCTTTTGGAAATGGGACTAGTTTTTCAGAGAGAAGAATTTATGATACTATATTACCAATGTAGTGGTGTGGGTGGAATATAAAAAGCAACATTTGTATATTTATGAACAGCATACATCAGTATTCGAGAGATAGCATACAATGCTTTATAACGTAAATGACATTGTATTGACAGAAAGGCTCTTGAACTAAAGTGACAGACAGTTTTCCATTTATAACACATTAAGAAGGGTCATTATGAAGTATCATTCCCAGGTAATGGGACTTCTAAGGCTGAGGCCTAGTTAAGAACCCCATATATCAGTTCTATGAAAGATTCAGATGTCCTCAAGTTAAGTGCTAATTTTTATGCATATTGTCACTATTCAAAGAATCTCCATATGGTTGTCAATTTTGATTTTTCTACATCATTTGAACATGACAGTTGTTCTTTGTATTATGGAAAAACTTAAAGATGAATAGTCCAAAAGAAATTCTCTAAAAATAAGAAAAGGTTCTGTTCTGGAGATACATATTTTCCCTCGGACAGCAACGATATATTCCCATATCATTTAAGTTTGAGGGTATCTTTCGTACTACTAGTATACAGTGTCCTTAATGACACAATCTGTGTTATGTATTATTTTATAAAGTAATTAAAGGTGTCATCTTAAGAACACGTACAGAAGCTGTCTGTAAATACTAAAGTATTACATTTAAAATGTTTTGCAAGGCTTATGCATGTGTTTTAAAGCCTTTAAATAAAGTTTTACCAAAGTCTTTTAAATTAACTTGAATTGCATTTTGGAATTAAACTTTACAGCTTTTGTAAGTTACTCTCTCATCTGTCTTCCTAAGACATGTATTTTTAGAGTTGAACAGCTACAGTTTTTGAATTTGCATTAGTGAAATTATTCAACTGTTTATTCACAGAATTCAGCAACTGCACAAAGAATTCTATTGTGAGTTTTGAGTCAGCAGGTTTTCTGTTCTTTCCTATGTACAAAGAAACAGTCGACAATTGACAGTGTAACACAGCAAGTAGAGATTAGGTTGAAAAACAGTGTTGCTTTAAACTGCAGGCTTATTCAGACATAACTACTCAATAACTACTATCAAAGTAATATGAGCGTTATGTAGTGATAAGGGTCAGAAACTGTGGCCGCTTTGGGTTTAGAGGGGCTAACAGAATCTATCAAAACACTGTGAAAAAGATATCACTCCTACCTTCTAAAATAGGATTGGCCTCCAGAACCTGCTGCTCGATCCAGGAGTGCTGTCCGCTAATAGCAGCCAGAAACTGCAAGATCAGCTTGGTGCTCTCAGTCTTCCCTGCTCCAGACTCGCCACTGGAGAACAATACAGATTACCCAATAACTCAAAAAACACACCTCCAAAACAGCAAGTTTACAGGACAGGGCAAAACAGTTCTTGTACTATGTAAATGTAAAGAGATTTTATTCCATGTGCTTCAATTTTGGAGCATTTCCATTCAACCCAAAATCATGACATTTTCACACAATGTAAAGGGCAGCTGTTGTGTTCAAATGATGGAGAAAAATAACAATTTAAAAAATAGACATATATGTTTCTTTTTTACAATATGTTGTTAAATGTACACACATACACAGACTCAACACTCAATGCTAAGTCCTATTATACATAGATGTTAGAGGCCATAGAGTCACTCAAATGTATTTGTAGCTGTTACCTGATGATGCAGCACTGGTCCTTGTTGTTCCTCTGCATGTTAAAGTAGCAGTTATCAGCAATGCCAAAGATGTGCGGAGGCATTTCTCCAATCTTCTTATTAGTATAAAGGCGAATGTGGTCTGCTGTGTAGATGGGCAGCAGCTGGTAGGGGTTTACTGCCACCAGGATTGACCCTGTGTATGTCTGAAATGCCAAAGATTAACAAAAATGTTTCACTTCTGCTGTAAAATAGCTCATATCCCTGAAACAGCAACCTAACAGAAGAGGAAAAAAACATCAAAATTTCAAAGGTCTGCTTCTCTAAATTTCTTTTGGCCCACTCTGTGTTCCGTTGGTCCATCCATTCTATTGTTCATACAGGGTAAAGTGCAACTAGCACTTTTAAATTGAGCTTAAATGAAAAAATAAACACATTTTAGAAATGAAGCCACAGGTTAGACAGAGACATTTTCTCTTGACCCATCCATAAATAGCATTTAACTTCATCGCTAAAATTTGCACATCAGCTCTTTATTTTGACTGTCTTGTCATTAGATTAGATTAGGAACAGTCATGTAATCATTCACAGTAAGCAAAAACTTAGGACACCAGTATATTTAAATTTAATTATTTTGTAGTTGTTTTCAGTGTATTTCACAAAATATGGACACAGAATGATGGCATGTACCTGCAACAATGGTATGCAAAAGTCTGGGCACCTCAGCCAAATTACATGTTTTGTTGATCTCTTTAAGTGAAAATAAGTCAAAATCTTCTTCATATTTTAATGCACAACCACTGCGTATTTTTAAAAAATGTGGCCTGTGCAAAACTTACAGCATATTTTATGTTTTCAATTTTCCCTAATATGCTAAACAAATTGTGCACCAGATTAAACAACTGTATAATCACACCATGTGACTGCTATCAACATTGCCATTACGTACCTGTCTGCTCTGTACTCACAAAACACCACATCATATGATCTGCAAGAGGTCTGAGCAAATTCTATGCAATGACCTAATGTCTAACCAGTCCAATGAGCTTTTATATACATGGAACTGAGAGAGGAAATATACTCTGTGAATTCCCAAAAATGAATGAGCCTTAATAATGCTGAGCAATGATGTCATACATTCTTGCTCAACACTTTTCATATTAAATAATTTAAATCATATAAACCCGAAACCAAGAGACATTTGTTTTATTCAGTGTTTCACATACAAAAATAAATTAAATTATAAATATATAATGGCACTTTGCAATAATGACTCACTGTGATTTGACCACAACATTGCAAATAAGATGCATTCTGGCTGTTCATTTTATTCTAACAATGCTCTCAATGCTCTACAGCTTTTCTCAGATATGGAATCATCTGCAGCTCCATTTATCACCTCTAAAAATCTCTTCATTTTATTATATATTCTTATAAATTATTTGAAGACTATAAAGTTGCACAGAGCTACCATTATATCAGAATCAAGGGTTTGAAAACAATGATTACAACCCTGTGAGCAGTAGCATAAACAGCGAGACCGTTTGAAGAGGGTTACCAGAAAACAGGCATACACAAACAGCCTTAGCATAAGATAAGCATTTTCAATCACTGCCAGCTGATTCAATCATAGTGCAGCTCAAACTTCTCTCTGACTTTGTCAGACTCTCTGTGCCCTCAATCATGCATTCTTGCAGTGAAAATGGCTGAAGGGGATTTGCTGATGAGCCAAGAGAAAAAGGTCATATTTTAGCAAAGCAATCTGATCTGAGCACCCTCCAAAACAACGACAACCAAACAAAGCTATTCCATTTAAGTGGCCACAACAAATCCTGCAGAATAACTCTGATGAAGATGAAAAACAAAGTTACTGCTCAAACTCAATGCTCTGTGCGAAGAATATATAATGTTTTTTCATTTTTTATTGCTGTGTGGGTCACATGTCTGCACAAGATCGAATTAAGGCATATTGGCTTTCAAACATAATGAAAAGCTTTTAGCAGGCAGGGGATATCCATTAGAGAGGCGGGAATTCAACTGAATAATTAAACAAACTGAATTTAAAGTAATTAAATATTTTTTATTAAATAAGCATGCATGGCTTTAGAGCTAATTAAGTCATCAATTCTCAAAAGACCAGAATAAAACATGAACAAATGTAAAGCTGTGAAAAAAGACTAATTTAGAGATAAAGCGTCCTGGATACTCACATATATGACCCTCTCATTGTAGCGGATGAAGAGGTTTCTGAGGATGCCCTCCTCATTCAGGTCCCCCAGCTGAATCATGTCCTCCACGCCATGGATGGAGGCGGGGTGCATGGGCTTTATGTTAGTGGCATTCTGAGGGGAGATCCAGTGCTCCTGTACAGGGGGAGGGTTAAGACACTTTACCTGACTTTGCCCCATCATCTCTGACTCTGACCTGTCTAAAGCTTCTCGTACCAGGTTAAGAAAACCTGGCTAACCCATCATAGTCTACAAATACAGCTGAGGTGCTAATTTTAAACCTATCTGAGGAAACTCATGTTAAAAATTAAATGTTAAATGAACATAATTCATGTACAAGTAGGACCACGATTATTTCTGGTGAGTATCCTCAAAGGGCTTTTATAATTGTATGCTATAGTATTTTCACGTTACCTTGTTTGGTTTTTCCAGACTGCTGTATGTTTTTTGGTAACTTTCAGTTCTGTGGCAAAAGATCTGTCTACATTGGCATGTCATGACTTCTTTTCTTATTTTGGAGATTTCGCTGCAATGTCCAGCTTTTTCCATGTGTTTTCATCATATGCTGCATTTTGTCATTGTAAACCTAACATGCATATAAATAAATTCACTGTTTTAGTCTTATACACGAGGCACACAATGGATCTTACTCATATCTCGCGCTCACTTAAGTTTAGCAGACTGAAGATTCTCCACAAGGGGGAGCTATTAGCACTCAAGTGGCTTTTGTGTGCATTATTAGAATAGAGTAAAATGCATAAATAACTATTCTAATATCAGGAACCAGTGGAACGTACTGCAGGTCAAGGCTGCAGAGTCCAGTATGAGAATAATGGCACTGCCCTCCCAGCTGCAAAATTATGCCATGTCACTGGTTTTATCTACCAAAAGCAAACATAATTTATTTTTTATGGCCGTTTTCCACTTTTTTATTGTTCAGAACAACTGTTGGCTGAATGGGTGGTCATTTGTAAAAGTGTTCATAGTTGTAACATCATAACCACAATAACAAAAAAGGTTGTTTTTGCAGCTTAGTTTGCATATATGGACTGTATGAACTGGAGAGCAGATAATGGACATCAAGCTTATTTATTTCAAAAGAATGAGGAAAATTCCATTTTTATGATCTGGCTGCTTTTAAACACTCACATGGCCCTCATCATCCACAACCAGGATCTGGCCCGAGTCACAGAGCTTGACCACAGCTCCAAGTGGAACGTCAAACTCATGGCCTCTCTTGGGATCCAACCAGACATAGTCTCCCTGTAGGGAAAACCAGTAAACAAGCAAGGAATCAGCCAAAGACCTCAGCAAGCTTTACTGGGTCATTAATGTAACAATAATAATTAGGTAATGCACCAGATAAGACCCAGTACAGGGAGGCAAATCCCGGAGAAGGGTTTGTTTGCCAGGACTCGCTGGGAGTCATTCTTATTTGGACAGTACAATGCCTAGGGCATAGAGCACTGAGACTCCTTTCACACTGTGGCCTGGTGTCATTTCACCTTTGTGTTACAGAGAAATGTAGGATGGAGGCCCACCTGTTGCAGAATGACCATGTTTCTGGTTTACTTCTTGACATTAGAGGTCACCATGTGAAGATCCTGTATAAAGTAAAGGATTCATGATTAGGAGAGGAATACAAAGATGTAAGGAGGCATAATACTAATGCTAAAAACAGACTGGATAAAACAGGAACGGTACAATAAAATAGCATTTCAACACAAACTGTGTACACTGCTCTTATAGACTGTGAAATATAGTATCATATAAACATACAAAGGTACCAAAAAGATGCTGATCTACAGATGATGTATGTGGATGTAAATATCTTAAATACTTTGTGTAAAGTAGTGTGCAGAAATCAAATAATATCCTTAACATCAGATTTTGCAGTATTTAGTGTGTCCACTCTGCCTTTCCTTTTCAAGAGTCGCTTTCAGTTTTTTCAAGAAATATGCAGGGATATTTTTCCACACCTGCAAAGTTCAGTCTTAGAAGTTGGTTGCATTTTCCGCTTCTTATGATGCAAGTAAGCTTAAACACATTCAGTGATGTTGCAATCTGGACTCTGGGGTGGACAGTCCATTGTTCTAAAAACACAAGCAGCTTCTTGGTTTGATTTGCACATTTTCCTCTTTTTTCTATTTCTTTTCTCAGTATCAGCTTCTTGACAGCTATACATCCTTTAAGAGTCATAGTGTTGAGTTGTCTTCTAACAGATGGACAGAAACACCTGTGGGTTTTTTCAGATCTGAAGCAATGAAACCTTTCAATACTGTTTATCTGATGGTGACAGTTTTGGTCCACCAGGTCTTGCAAAGTTGTTAGGAGTCCAATCTTCTCTTTATTTTTGAATAATTTTACTAACTCCAGTTTTGGAAACCCCTGTGTTTTTAGTTGTTTTCCTTTGCCTTGTTCATGCCTTACGTAAGTGCATTATCTTATAATCTAATATCCCAAAAATATATCCTGAAAAATGAATAACGTGTCATTAATAGCTGTTTTGACTGGAAATTAAATGAATGAAGTTAGTGAAGAATGAATGTAGTACTGCATATGTGAAGGATAAGGCACATAGAAGCAAAAGAAGAAAAGAACAGGAGAGAAATAGCTTGCTGTATTTGACAAATCAGCCTAGATTTGTGTATCAGAAGAAACAAGTGCAGGTATTTGTATAAGAGATTATGTCTGCTGCCAGCATGGCCTCTTACAAAAGGGCTTATTCTACCAGATGTAGGTCAAACAAAATCAGACATTGACCCCACATGGACTCAATCCAGCAGTGAATCAGAGAAACAGAGGTAAATTTAGACCAAAACAATGCTGAGTTATGGTTCATTACATATGGAATTGCTTTTGCTTCTACTGTGAACAAATCATGAATGTAATAAGGAAATGCCTGTTTTCTAGTTTACTAACTGCTAATGTGCAACGTGAGCAACCACAATGAGTCAAATGTTAATGGTGTCTGTATAAAATGCAGTTTTAAACAACCAACTGTCATTATATTAGGCACACAGATGGTACAATAAGAAGATTGATTGTCCCTTTCAGCAAAACAAATCCTAAAATGTCTGAGCTGAAGTTAAATCCCACTTTAATTAGAAGGAATTAAAGAATATAAATTGCTAAAGATTTCAGTTCCTGGAAAGTAGCAGCACACACATATGCTTGATGTCAAAGCCCATTACTGAAACAGATTACTGCTGCTTCTCCTGGGTGTGGAGTAGGCCGGCCGTGGGTAATATTTCTCTAGACGCACAAACGCTGTAGATGTCTCCTGTTGTGAAATTTATGAGTATTAGTGGTTCAACTGTAATGCATCCCTCCCCAGTGTCAGTGGCTATATGTGCGGCTGCAGGATTGAGAACAGCAGGAAAAAGCCTTTTCAGGAAGGATGGATATAACTACAGCCAGTGTGCTGCTGTATGGCCTGAAATGTGCACTGAACTAACAAGCAGTCATTCACACCTAATGGAACAATGGATAGATGCAGTAGGTAACAGGCCTGGAGGTGTATTTCCATCTGTCTCTAGTGTGCAGGCATGGGCTCTTACTTTGGTAGTCATGTTAATGATTATTTGAGAAACATCCCTAAAAAAAGCAACTGTGCAACCTAGTTAAAAAAACTGAAGGCAACAGTTTGATGGATTTTTTTTTGCATTGTTTTAACCTGCTTTGTTTTTTTAAGTGATCATTTCAGATCAAGTACATTAGTTTGCAGTTCTAGTTAAACCTAGTTTAAAGTTAAAGTTAGCAAAGTACCTGGCTATCAACATACCTTACTTTAGCTGAAAGAACTTCGCTGGCTATACTAATGCTAGCTTGGTTGTATTTATTTGCCTATAGATCAGTAGCTAAGCTAGCAGTCAGGATTGGTTGACATCAGTTGTTGTATGACATATTTGCGTAAGGCACTCCGAGAGACACTGATGAACAAAAACATCATAAAATTGTAAACACGACAAATAACCTACCAAAATTTAGTTTAAGGCTGGAATATTCTTTGAATCAACTGCATTTACTATGCTGTTAACTCAAAAACTACGAGAAACTTCTGTCAACCTGCTTAATTAAGCATATGATAGAAAGAATGAAGGTTCTTACATTATAATTCCTTGAGTTATTTGAGTATTATTTTCTTTCTGGTGTAAGGTCTAACAGACTCCACTAGGTTCCCTCTCTTTATCTCTTCAGTTTAACTTCTGTTCTATTTTAACCCTCCCAGCAAGACACCATGGTAATCCATACAAACTTGGCAACGGAATTAGACAGGATGATTGCTGGTTGAACAGCCCTCATTAAAACACAGGGCTGCAGCCTCTAACAGCCTCAGACTGAGCTGCCATGAATTACAACCAGTAGCCTGTGACTTTTCAAGTCATTCAAACAAGCATTGTTTATAATACACCCACAGTGTAGATATGCCTGTCTAAAGACATCCTAAGTACATTACAGATTTAAATACATTTTAAAATAGATCATCTGTACCATTACTTATCATAGTATCACTGTACAAATGTTCACATCACTCTATAATATAATGTAAATAACATTTATACCCAGGTAAATAACAGAACTGTGCAAAAGTCAGAGACCACTCTGGCATTTATTTAATGTCCAGTCAAAACTGTCAGTAAGTAATTTGTCAGTATCAGGAAAAGCGCAAAAACATACACAGAAGCCCCAACAACTCAATATGATATTTATTTATTGAGTATTTATTTTGTCCACTCTTTGCCTTTATTATAGTTTCCACTTTTTTCAAGAGTCATGCTTTCTTTTTCAAAATCTGCAGGAATATTTGTCCACACCTCCAAAGTTCAGTCATAGAAGTTGGTTGCATTTTTGGCTTCTCACTATCCAAGCAATCCCAAACACAAATTTACAAGTGTAGACAAATCAGTCCATAAAACCTTATTCCACATCTCAGACGTCCAGTTTCGCTGTTGTAGTGAAAATATGCATTTTCCCTTTGTCTTCTTCACTGTTAAGTATTCAAGTGTTGAGGTCTACCAGGTCCTCCAATTTTCTCTGCATCTTTAAATCACGTTTTTAACTCCAATTTTCCTTTGCTTTTTTAAAAAAAATATACCAGAAATATCTCCTTTAGCGATTTTAGGTACATATGAGAAAGAAATCTACAAGGCAGCTTAGGTGTGTTTGGATAGTTGCTTGTGTACACAGCAGTAACTGCATGGTTTTAACACTGGAAGGATGAAGTTGAAGTGGCAGCAGGTGCAGAAAAGCAAAAAATGGACAAAGTATATTCAATACTGAAATATTTGATATACTTTGTGTTGGAGGCTTTTGTGCATTTTCTGTTAAAATTTCCTTTTTTCTGACACTAAAAAATGAACGACAAAAGCCGTTTTGACTGGAAATTGAATAAATTAAAGGGTGGGCTCCGACCTTTGCACAATACCTTACATATTCACATATGTATTTGTTTTTGGCTCTTTTTAAACACTGGATCATGTTAATATCATTTTCTATCTTTTTTCATTTTACTGTAGCTAATATTGGGATTTGTAACATACTTTGTGAAATAAAATTTATTCTGATTCTGAAAAATACATTTTAAATAGACGACCAAATGCTATGCAGAGCAACTGTGTGATTCCTGCTTTTGAGTACATTACTGGCCTTGGCGTTGAGGAACAATCGCTGGCCTGTTCTTTCTCACCTCTAAACAGCTGTGTAACCAGATATAGCAATAACACTGGAATCACCCAACCAGAACCTCTAATCCCCAGAGGAGCGCTGCTATTCTACCCACCATGTACAGTGCACTTCAAACCCACACGGCTATGAACTGGCAAGGACAAAACACTTCTCTCAATGAAGATTTTAACAGGCTAATAGGATAATAGCCTGTAGTTTAGCATTAGCCACCAGATTGTGCCAAAAAGTAGCTAACAGAAGCCAAATGCCAGAGAGAAGGGTATGGATTAGGCCCAGCGTGAATGGGGAGACATGCGGCTGCCCCCCATTACTCTGAATAAAAAAAAGGACTGCATCAAATTTACCTCATTTAAATGCGTTTGTGAATAAAATATATTACATTAGCACAACCACCGTCTTTCAGTTTACTTCTTTCAGCAATAACTGAATGTATATATTTTCAGTGCACACAACGAGTTGCTAGACTTTACTGTAGAGTCTTGTCAGTTAACTAAAGTTAATGAGTAGTTTGTGGCAGACAGCTTAACTGAACCCGTACTCTGTGGTAATTGGCTTGCAGACTGGCTGGGTCAAAAGGATAGTTGAGGTCTGTGGTCAATGCACTGAAGCATAGCACTGATACTGATAACTATTAATAATCGTTTCCCAATAAGACCCTTCTTCACATCTTCGAATCAATTAGCAAATCTTCAAACCTAAAACACAATGAGAAAAGCAACGTATTGAATTTCCTTGATTCAGATATGTGCAACATTTCCACATTAATAAAATGTATTACTTTCAGCAATATTTAAGTTGCTGTAATATACTTTACTGATGTGTATTTTTTGTACACATAAATCAAGTAAATTCAGTGCATTACTTTTTTCAGGGCCGATCTGAAAAGGGAATAATGTTAAAGAATGTGAATTACATA